AGAAACATTAAAGTTCACTGTGCCTATAGCTCTGTCTGGCCTATGGCTTTGGGGTAGATGTTCCTAATTGCTCACGTGGAGATACTGGAAAGGTGGCTGATTATCCAGCTTTCCCACCATCCAGGTACAACAGATTTAGTACCACAGGGATGGAAACAGTAACAGATTTGTCAGGCAACTCTGACGATCTGAAAGCTCTCAAGGAAATGGCAAAGCAGCTGGGTCAGATACACAAATGTGGGTAACAAAAGCTGGTAAGAGAACTCATGACTTACTAAACAAACATCTGGGGCCAGACCCACGTGTTGCAATATGTGAAGATACCAAAATAGCCAACTCTAATGACAATTAGCGAGGTTGTGCACAGTGTGATAATCACAAGGAACGGTGTTTGCTGACCAATGCTGAAAAGCTATTTACAAGCTGGACTAAACTGAGCCATGAATTTGCAGAGAAGCAGTTTATTTTTAGTTACTGTAGACCCTGCTGTGGTTGTGTCACAGAACACGTGATTTTGCTGCAGGGCAAATTCAAGAGGAGCTGTGCATACAATCAAGATGTACAGAATCTGTGCATACAGCAGATGAGCCAGCTCTCACAATCCCACCTGAGGGTTTCTAGTTCTCTTGTCTTTATTACTGATCTTTGTAAGCATATTCAATAGTTTATTGATTGCTTTGCTTATCACAAAGGATTAGTCTGAAAAGACAATGGTTTCATTTCAACTAAGGAAGGCCCTAAACATTTGGCATCCAGTTTAACAAGCCACTCAAGGCTGCAAGCAGATTTGGAGAAGTGCTTTCTTAATGTGTAGCAATGGATGACGATATTGCATTTCACCATGATTAGTCATCCTTTTGGTAAATGGGTATTAATCCTCACATTGCTGTTGCTGTTTTAGATCTGTAGCTATGACACTAGTGCTGATTTGGTCCCCAGATGATAAGCTTCCTGGCTGACTGCTTCCTACAGACAAGCAGTATCAAGTGACAAGATATGGTGTGTAATGTCTGAGTTTCTGGAACAGGAACTGGCCCCTTCTGAGCCAAAACTGTTGGCGTTTAATTTGTATGTGGACTTGAGAGATTCACTGGAATGTCTTCAATGAAGGCAGTCCTGCCAGAGGTGGGGAAGTGAAATGCTAAACACCATGGCAAAGCTATTCTTAAATCATGATCTAAGTTAAAAAAACTACAGATTATAAAGCAATACAGAATTCAGTATCAACAACTTTGCAATTACCATAACTACTGCAAGCATTACTACTGCTAAGTTCAAATGTTTGTTGCATAAAGTGAGAGGAGCACAAGACAATAAATGCTTATTGGCATCCAGCTTTGCATATAATGTGTGTCAGTGATGCTAGAAACAGGCTTTCAGAGAAGTGGATATTTGAGGCCATAAGGAAAGCCTCATCAGATAACTATGAATTTTTAGTAATATGGTCTTAATCTCTATACATATTTCTTATTTCTTGCCTATATCCCAACTAGGTTGCAATAATTCTGGTGCCCAGATGACAGCTGTGTGAAAATTGTATCAGAATTATGCACAAGAAACTACTGCATTATTGCTTACTCGTTTTAGATCCACAGAATTGGATCAAAGCAGTTAATTAAAACACGTCTTGTGCTGCCTTAAGCAAAATAGCAGGAAGTTTGAACTTCAGATTTAGATCAGTGGTCAGATACCAGAAGAGCTGGCAAGGCTGATTTACAGCCAAGACTATACCACAGGTTGGCCAAGCAGCAGATCTGGCATTATTCTGCAGAAAGGGCAACAAGATGGGATTTTTGCACCTCTTCATTCAGCAGTGGCATCAGAGCAGTGGAAATCATGCTTCAGTTCTGTCTACAGGAAAAATAATCTGGCAGCTTTATTTTTAAAATCACATCCTTCCTGTACCCTGTCAAGGGAGTAGGAAGATGAATTCGAAGGGTTAATGGTTAGAGAATCATAATTTTTCCTCTCTGTTTTCTCATGTCATTAATAGATAATCCATCAAATAATGGATGACTTAATCAGGACAGATCTGCTGTTTTTAAATGTGAAGCTTTTCTATCATTTCTTTCTGGTTGTTCATGCTAGGAGAACCATTACTGACAGTGAATGGTTATTCTCCTTGTAATTCTTTACATGAAGTGCCAAATGTTCAGGGAGAAAGAAATCTATCATTACCTCTTTTGACACCACGCTGCTGTCTCGCTCTCTAGGGGAGATGATATGGTTTACATGCTTAAATATTTTGCTGTAGTGTGAAACAGTACTTTGCAGTCTGGCAGCTGTTACTAGCTGTTATGATGATCAAATAACACTATGGGAGCTGGTAATTAAGAAGGAAGTAATATTGGAAGGACAGTAAAGCACTAATATTTAGGTTTGGATTAATTTAGCAATTCTGTCAACCAGTTGCAACCCTGGGGGATCATTTGCAGTTTTAGACTAGATTTTAGACTAGATTTTCACATGGTAAATCCATTAATATTCCTGTCTTGCACAAGCATATTACCCCACATACAACCAACCTGCAGATGAAAAAAAGAGGTCTCTTTTTCCTCAGTGATCATGCTAAGAAGGGCTTGTACAGTGAGGAGGGTGCACACTTGGGGTGGGAGATGTTTAGTATCAGGAGGAGCTGTTGTGATACCTTAAACTAAGAGCTGGCCTGCCAGGGAAGGGGACAGTCTGACCCTGCTCTGTGGAGGCAGGGAAGGACACCTTGTGTGTCTGTCTGGCACATGGACAGCCTCTAGGGGAAGGAGTTCAGGTAAGTAAATGGGCAGCTGCAGCTCAACAGAGAGAACAGCAGCAGCCAGGAAACCTCAGCCCCACCAGAGAGCACAAGTGTCTGAGTGGCCGGTGGGGCGAAGACACTGGAAGAAAATGGGAACTGAGAAAGAAGAGGATTTTATGCAAGATAACATGTCTGAGGGCTGACTTGAAGTCATAATTTCTCTATTGTGAGGGGGGTTTTTGTGTTTTTTTTTCCCCTACCAGTTCCATGTTGGTGTGGAGCAATAGTGTAAACCATGATGCTGTCAATCACGAGGCATTTATCTTCACAAAGGAGTTTCTGAAAGGGAGGGTGTATCTGTAGTCTCTCCAACCTCTTTCTCTTTTTTCCCCCCCATCCCCTCTGTCACACACAGAATTTATTTGGGGATAATTTCAGTTGAAGATATTAGCTCCCAAATGAACATTGCAAAGCCTCTATCACAATTTGGTTTTTTTTTTTTAAGCCAAGTGTTTGGGAACCAGGGTTCAAGGTAACCCACTTCCTGGAAGTTTTGACCCCAGGCTCTGCTCTTGTTCACACAATCAAACTGCACCATACTTTCCCATGAATTTGGCACCTCTTGACGTCAGACTGTTTGACAACTGCATGTCAGTATATTTGTTTATATTGAACAGAGCTAGTGCTCACCCAAGCAGAAACAATACAGCAGTGTTACCTAGGCCTGCCTCTGCAAGCTGTTAATGATTGGGTTATTAGCTCTGAAGCATTTTGTGATCAGGAGTTTTGCAGTAATAGTACATGAGAGGAAGTATATTATGGCTGTGCTTATTTTTAATTATTGTAGATGCTTTTATGTGCGCTCACTTAAAAGTAGCCTAGAGAACAAAACTGTACTGTCTGACAGTACAACCAAAGTGCTGAAGCTACTATAGAGTGGGTCTGGAAGAAAAATAAGGTGACATTAAGGTTTACTTATTTTACACACTAAGGCCATATTGCAGTATGTAAAATATGACTAACAGGCTGTCAAATGTACATCAACTTCTGAACTTCATTTAGCTTCTTTGGTGGAAAGTTGCTGCTTTAGGAACAAAAGCGAATAACTCCAGCATTCATTTTTGGGGCTAAACTGACATCTGCTGGTGTTCTGTAATACAATATGTGCAATTAGTGTGATGACCAAACATACACTGTATTCTGTGTACTTTTCCCTTTCCATGGTGCTGTTGGCAGCCTCAGTGATGACTCAGGAGAACTCAGAGAGGTGTAACAGTGGATAGAGCAGGTGGGGCTGCCCAGCACATCCTGCCACGGGACTGGTGATGCAGCAGAGCTGCTCGTGGTTACCTCGTACTGCACTCACACTTCAAGCTTATGAAATTGCCACGTGGCCTTTTTTTTCTTATAATTTTTAAAAAATAAGTAATTTTTATAATCTTCAGGTACACAGCTCATGGGGGCAGGGGGAGAGGTAAAAAAGATGTAGCAATTTCTAGCCAGGCTTCCTCATTCACGCCTTGAGCTGGCGCCAGCCGTCCCCACCCAGTCACCTGCTCTGCTGCAGGAAGAGAACTGCCCTGGGTTCCTACACGGGCAGCAGCTTTGGGGGAGCTGTGCTGCTTTGCTGGGGGAGCACCCTGCCTACCCTAGCCAGGCTGGCAGGCTGCAGCTCTATTCCATCAGTCTGAAATCTGGCAGAAAATAACCTCCTTTGCGCTGGAGATCAGAGGGGCTGGAAGCAGCTGGGCTTAATTTCTGATTATTATCAATTTGGCGTTGTAAGTCTGGTTGTGTTTAATAAGAATATTCACAATCACGGATTCACAAACAGTGCTGTTTTACTGAAGAAACAGCCCCACCCTTCACCCCAGACACCATGCAGTTTTTAAGCCTCACTCAAGGGAGGTGTAAGATAAGCAAGCGGCTCGACTCAGCCCCATGGATTTCTCCATAGCAAACCTGCCATTTTTCCACAAACTTGCCACTGAAAATTGGGAATAAAACTCCTTAACACCGATGTGGTATTAAGAAGCAGGCATTACTTTATTACAGCTGTCAATACACGGAAGGAAACTCTGCCTTACCTGCATGGTTGGCTCAACATAGCACACGTACTTATTAGCCAGGATATAAATATTCATCAGAAAAGTGTTACAGTTTGTTACTTTGGGTGGCCACAGTGCCCCTAAAGTGGATTGGGCTGACTTGACTTGTTACCAAACTGTCACAGTTCCACTGACCATTACATAACGTTCTGTTAACTGTGATGTCTGTGCTGTTTGCAGCAAGCTCCCAGACCCTGTGGTGACCTGGCCAACCACTGACTGACTAAAAGTGAGTCTTCTTTTGCCCAGTGCCATCCAGCAAAATGTCTGGAAAGGCAGGAACTGGAGAATGGTGAGCTGAGTGGGAAGGAGGGCGGTTAGTGAGAGGAAATACACTCCTGTCCTGGTACATGGATGCTGACTGCTTGCTGTACTGGGACATTGGATGGAAACAGTGGTCAGGCAAAAAGGAGAAATGTTGCTGGGGTCCCCAAGGAGGAGCATGAGCCAGTCTCTGATTAGATGCAAGAAAAAACATGGGAGAGAGCACGGCAATTGGAGTAAGAAGGCTTCCAGTTGAAGGTCATGCCTTATTTTGTTCTGGGAGATGTGTTCAGTCATGGCATCCTTCTCCTCTGGCTTCTAAGCTGCTCATAGCCACCTTGAGAAGGGGATTTAGTTACTAAGAGAAAAATTATTCCATTTTTAGTTAATACAGGGCACCAAAGCCAAAATTACTCATGTTCTGCTCCTGAGAAAAATAATATGTAATGTGATTTCTTGAAAATGATGTAAATTTATTCACCTCTATGTCTAGTTCTAATCCCACTGAATGCTGCTGAATCACAGTTTATACCTTCTCCCTGTTCCCCCTGAGTCAGGGAATGGGAGTATTCATGCCCTCAATACTCCAACATCGATGACATCCCCAAGCACCAGTACCTGCAGGTGATTCAGTAATTAATGTGACCACAGAGCTTGATGTTGGGCTCACTGTCACTGGGATAAGAGTCCCTTTTGTCCTATAAAACCTGACTCCTTGCTCCAGGATGGGTTTGAATTGAAGCTTTGTGCATGTTACTTAGGAAGAGGTCCAATAAAGGTTTTAAATACAAAAATAGGACTTTAACCGATTTTAGATGCTTTCAGCCAAAAGGCCTAATGCACAATCCCTGCTGAGCCCACAGGGGTCATTGACTCCCTTCAGTCTGAGCTAGATTCACCCAAACTACAGCATATGAAGCGATCCCTGTTGAATCCCTTTCAGGGATTTGGCCAGTAATTCACTTTTTGTGTTATCTTGAAGCTGGATAGAGAAAGGAGTGACATACTCCATGTTTTCCAAAGACTGAATCCAACTAAATTGCTTGTAAAGGCACTAACTAAAATCACTGAATCTGTTGAAGGTTTTGTTGATCATTTTATGTGCTCTTGCACGTTGTCTGAAATAACTGATCTGGTAACCTACGGGACATTGCAGAAATAGGGGAGGGTTTTTTTCCTCAAGTGTTACAGAACATGGAGCCTGGAAAGCTGAAGACCACTGGTTTGTCAATCTGTGAGCGAACTCTTGGCAAGAGCCGCGGAGTTCCCGGTCCCGGGGACTGCCAAGTTGCGTCAGGAGTGACTGTCCTTCCACCCAGTTTTCCCGTTCCCGTTCCCCGCCGCCCGCGCCCAGACGCGCCTCTCCCGCTGCCGGTGGGTCGGCGGGAGCGCTCGGGCGAGGCGGCTCCTCCGACAGCCCGGGAAGGGAGGAGGAACCCGCGGGTGGGGACGGGACGGGGACAACCCTGCTGACGGGTGCACCGGCGAGCGGAGCGGAGCGGGCGAGCAGAGCGAGGAGGGTCGGCGGGCACGGCCCGGACGCGGTAAGGGCGTGCCCGGAGCCGGGGGCGGGCAGGGCAGCGGGCAGCAGCAGAGCACATCAGAGGGCAAGGGCAAACGCAGAGCAGAGAGAGCAAGGCAGAGGCAGAGGCAGAGCAGGGGGGGGGCTTTGCTCCCGGCCCCGAGCGCTGCCGCTTCCCGGGCCGCTCCCGGCGCTCCGTCCGGGCCGGGGGAGCCCCGGGGCACCGCGGGCTGGTTGGGGCTGGGGCACAGCGGAGCCCGGGCGGGCGGCCCGGCCCGGGACGGTCCGGACAGCGCAGGGAGCCCGCGGGCGGTGGCTCCTGCCGGGGAGGCGGGCTCGGGGCCGGCCAGGCAGGAGTTTCGTTTTCCCGAGCGTTTTGGGCGGCAGCCGGCACAGCCCCTTGGCTCAGGGAATGCGCTCGGGAACGGCTCGTTTGGGACGGGCCCTGCCCTGCCCCGGGGAGGGGTGTCCGGCCCCAGCAGCACCCGGGGTGAAGCCGCTCGCAGGGTTATTCCGAGGCTGTTGATTACTTGGGTTATTTCGGGCAGAACTCAGCGTGTGGTGCTATTTCTACTTTACCAGTATAAAATTCCGTGTGACTTCAGTGCCATTGTTTGTGTTACTAAAATAATAGTATGTCAAAGTCTTTTTTGTTTTTTGTAGTTATTACTGAATTTTATTCTCTCAAAAACGCCTGAGAAGTTTAAACGACTTTAAGATAATATTTCTCAGCAAGTTGGCCAACTAGGAAGTTGTTGTCCAGAATTCAGATAACCAGGGTGGTGGCCCAAGTGAGTGCTGTGTTAGGGCTTGCTGCCGTGAACTGGAAAAGTCCCCAGTACTCCAGTAAACCTGTATATCCTGCTGGATTTTTAACAAAAATTCGCTTCAACCTGTGTTTCATTCCAGGTACTGATCGGTAGCTGTCTTAAACTCTGCTGTGCAGGGAGCCCCTCTAATTACACGTGGTGTTGGAGGGCAGCTTGGCATTTCAAGTGAAGAGAACTGTATAGAAATTGTTTAATTTAAGGATTAAATTGTGTTAATTCTTAGCAAGAGATTATGGGAAGGGCAACAACAGATTTGTATGGCTAAACTGGGTTAGGAAAGCTGTATTTGTAAGCAGTTCTTTACTGGGTGGGTTGTTGGTTGGTTGGTTGATTGGTTTGTTTTTTGCATACCAAGCAGAGAGGTGAGTTATTACCTTCTTTTTCCCTTGTCCCCTACGTAATATCCAAGTAGTGACCCCGACTGAGACAGATGCTTGCATTGACTGCATGAAGTGATAGTTCAGTCTCTCAGTTCACATTTAAAGCAGAAGGGACATCAGAAAAATGAAGTTGAAAAGCTGAAGTTGTGGTTATCTCCACAATACTCAGTATTTTGAGGAGGTTTTTTGTAGTCCTGATGTCCTCTTGATCTTTATTAGGAGTTTTCGTTTTGATAGATAACTTACAGGGACTCATGTGCTTTTAGTTTTATACTATTCACTGTAGTACTTTGTAAATGTTATATGTATTACAGTTTTGAAACTTTAAAAAAAGGCAGGCATAGGGGAGGTGGTTGCCACAAAGTGCTGTGAAGACCTGAGACCTGTTTGCATCTGTCTTCAGTAAAGGGGGGAAAAAAAAAAAAGGAAAGTGCAGAAAAAGCACAGCGATCATTTTTAAATAGAAACAGTTGTTCAAAAGCAAGCAGTGGTAAGAAGTGAACATACAACATAATTTAAAAATTAGTATTGAAAGTTAAATATCGAGGCTAGAAGTGTTCACGTTGGAAGTTATGATCATGATCATTTTGAAATCTGTGAAAGGGTGTTGATTTCTTAGAACTCGCCCTTCGGTGACGCAGAGCTGAGGATGGTCTTTGAGCAGAAGTAGCTGTGTTGTGGTTTAACCCCCTCCTGGCAATTGAGCACCAGCTCGCTCACTGCTCCCTCAGCAGGACCGGCTGAAGAGAACTGCAAGGGGCAAAGTTAGAAACCTCATGGGTTGAGATAAGAACTGTTTCATAATTCAAATAAAATAACAATAATAATAATAAAAGTTGTAATGAAAAGGAAAATTACAGAGAGAAATAAAACCCAGCAAGTGATGTAAATGAGAACAATTACTCACCACCAGCAAACCGACGCCCGGCCTGAGCAGCATTTCCCTCCCAGCCACCCTCTTCCTAGATTTATTGCTGAGTGTGATGCTGTATGGTCTGGAATATCCCAGCTGGGGTCAGCTGTCTCAGCAGCATCCCTTCCCAGTTCCTAGTGCACCCCCAGCCAAAACCAGCCACTGTGACTGGGGCGATAGATCCTGATTCAGCTCTGTAGTTTAGTCACAAGGGGAAAACTTTTCTAAAGAAAACAGAAGGTCAGTGGTTTTTAAAAGTATAGCTGTGGGATACTTGATAATACAAAAACTGTCACTAAAACTTACTCAGTTTAGATATCTTTGGCTGCTGTCTTGTTCCCTTGTCAGTCTGCCAAAGCTGCAGTGTGAGTGTGAGAATGGTGGGAAGGAGCAGTGCCTGTCCCCAGGGTTACCAAATTACTGTCCCTGCCTACACACTGTGCATGTAGCCACGTCTGTCCTTCGGCACAAGCTTCTGGTTACTTAGTTTGTCTGAGCTACTGTAAATCCCACACTTGACTGAGTGCACAGTTCCCTTTCTAACAAACCTTTTCACGTTTCCGCTTAGTCTGCTGGGAAGACTGTTGGACTACTGAAATGTATAAACACTGGTGTTTGCTGATGTATCACCACGCCTCCAGTGCAGCAGATTAGCCCTGTGTAACCTGGAAGGGTGAACAAACTTGTGACAAGGTCTCTGCAGAAGTGTTGACGTCACTGAAATCCTGATGAAAGCTGTGCTGTGTAAGGAAGGCAATCGCCGATATTCCAGAGCCTTTTTCCGTGCTCCAAGCATGGAAAGCAGAAAGGCGTGTGTCATTGTTGGGAACCCCGGATGGAGTGACTCCAGCCCTAATTGGATACTTAAGACTGAAATTCTTTTTCTTTGCACATTAAGTTTTGTCCCTGCAAAGTTCTCTGTAGGCTGAAAGGGCCTTTTGACTTGAAAAGCGTAGTCAGCTAAAGTGTAAAATTAAGAGGTGCTCCCTGGAGCCTGTTTTGAGAACTTTGAAGAATGACCATGGAAATGTGTACAGGAATGGGCTTGGTTGGAGAAGAGCAGACATGGATTGCAAGTGGATTTGGTTTTGTTGCTTAGAAATAACACTTGCTTTGTTTTTGAGGTTTGCAGTCTGGAGATGTGTGTCCACAGAGCCTTATCCTTGTAGTTGAGGGTTTAAGGGGGAGATTTTTGGATGCTGAGTGAGGAAAGGCTGAATAAATAGCTACCAGAAGAGGAACCACCAAGAATTTTAGATTACTTTTTTTTTCTTTTTTGATATGTGGACAGGTGGCACATAGGATAAGAGGGATAAGGGCTGGCTGCTGACTCAGCAGAGGAATTGGCTCACAGGGCTGCTGAGGCACTGAGGGTGACTGGCTGCATAGCTGAGCTCTGCTTGTTCTTGCCTGGTGTGGTCAGAGTTGATTATTCCCAGGTGGAATGTGGAAGGAAAAGATCCTGGAGGGCAGCAGTGTCCACATGGACAGGTACAGACGTGAGTGGTGAGGAGGCAGCATGGACATTGTCAGACCAGCAGAGGGGATGAGTTAAGGTTAAAACTTACTACAAAGTTTGGAGCCATGATGGATGGGAGTTTCTAGAGCATCTCACAAAAATACAAGAAAATCGAACTTGTCTTATAATGGTCAGAAATTCATATGTTCTCAAATAGATGTATTTACATTATGTCTTGTGAAGTAAGGGGGAAAATAGTCACGAGCAGTAATAAAACCCAGCTTCCTTTTGGTATCAAGATACCGATCCAGAGTCTGCATTGCACTATGTGTACACCAGTATTTGGGGCAGTGGGAGTATTGAATAGTCATACAGTTCCTGTTGTTGCTGCCAGTCTGTACTTGAGATGAATTAGTGCTTCTGTGACCTGAACCAAGCTGGCAGCAGTGGAGGCAGTTCAGCAAGTGGCAGTTTTCTGGAGGATTGTCCTCAGTGAAGAATCCATTAAAGCAAATGAACTTGTTTGATTTCCATCATGAGTGGTATCTTCTGCATCAGTTTTGTCATAACTTAGTATTTAGTCTTTAGTGCTTGGATACAATCAGAACTAGACCTTTGTAACCTTCTTCTAGAAGAATAAACTAACTTCTGTTTCCTGGATTGTTACAGAGTAATTTAGGTTGGACAGGTGTTGTTTGGATCAGCCACCTGCTTAGGACCTACTTAGGTGACGTTCTTCAAGGCCCTTGGACTTTGTATGCACCTTTACTTTTACTTTTCATTCCAAAGTGTGTTTCCTACTTTTGTTCTTGTTATGGAATTATTTAGAGCCAGATAAGGTCCTGATGAGGAAATTCTGCATTATTATCTGGCTTGTTTACTACTCCTTTTGTTTGCTTCTGGTAAAAACTCCCTGGTTGTAGTTTCTGTTTCCTTCCAGCCAATCTGTTCTGTGCCCTTGTGTGTTTTGCCTACAGATTCTGCTGGTATTCCTAAGGGGTGTCTTCTCAGACCTAAAGATTAGGTACCAGAGTCATCTGTGGGCAGCAACTTTGTGCTGTGTGTAACGAAAGTGCAACAATCCAAGTAAATTTTCTTACTGCCTGAGACTTTTTTCCCCCTTATTTCTCTCCCTGCCAAGTGCAGGCTGTGCTGTGCTCTGTACCACCTTGAGGCCTGCTAAGGTAAAGTCCTTCAAATTGAGGGCTATAGCTTCTTGGAATAAGCTTGGGCAGTGGGAGTATGTGAAGGATGCCATATCCAGGAGAAGGTGGTTGGGCTGGCAATAGGGCAGCGGGAGTACAGAGCCTGGCAGGAGTTTCTGAGACAAGCTGTGAGCTCTTAGGTTTGGATGGCAGTGGCAGAGAGACAGTGGCTTGTCTCTTGTGCTCCTGGCAGCCACATGGATCTTCTGGTTTTGTTCTCAGTGGTGTCTGCTCCCTTGCTCAGCTGAAGTCCCTTGCATGCTGTGCTGTTTGACAGCCTTCCTCTGGCCCCGTTTCTCCTGCCAGCTCCTCTGCTGTGCCCCCAGCAGGAGTTGTCAGCACTGTCTTCATCCTGGGCAGAAGCCAGGATGGCCCTGCTTGAGATCTGCTCTCTTGTACACAAACATGAATAACCAAATTTACATACGTCTTGTTTCTTTTCATCCCCCAAACACACTATTCAATGAAAGTCCCTGAGATAATGAAGGCTGCTAAGAAATCTAAGAAAATAACCAGTTGTTATGCCCTTATAAAAAGCATGCTTTGTTGGTGATATTGCCACCTCGTTCATCACTTGGGTAGCCAGATACAGACTTGCTTTATGTTCTCGTCCTTGCTTTATGTTGTGGTTTAACCCCATCCAGCAGCTCAATACCACAAAACTGCTCACCACTCTCCTGGTGGGGAGGAGAATCAGAAGAAAGCAGGATCTGTTGCTTGTTGGTCTCTGCAGCCAGCATAAGTAACTAATCTGCTTTCACTTCAGTAGAATGGTTTCTGAATGCTGTACCTTTCCCCCCCCTTTAGGCCAGCTTGGTTCTGTATGCAGAGCAGTAGAACTGCAGAAAGGCATGGACTGGAGGGGTGCTTTGTCCCAGTGCATATGTTCCAAATACAGATTAACCTTCCCAGATAGTACTGAGTGAAAAGATTTGCATGAACACAAAGTGATTGTGCAACAACAGAATGGAATGTGGCTCTTGGAGAGCTGTCTGATGGTCCTTAAGAGGAGGAGAAAAGGGGAGATGATGAAGTCAGCACTGATGTTCCACAGAAAATGGTGGGCAGAGTATAGGAAATGCGTAGGTGGGAAGGAGAGGAAGTCTGCACTGAAACCACAGTTGTTTCTTTCCATTTTGGGAAAAAGCCATGGTCAGCATTCTTATACTCTGGAATGAAATAAGAATTGGTGGAGGAGAGTTGCATTACAAACTCATTAAAACTTTGTTAAATGGCAAAAATGGCAACCTTAGATATCTTTGAGGGTCATAAAAGCTTTGAGTTGAGTTGGATATACTTAATTGTTTTGGTTTCTTTTTCCTTCAATGTAAATATTTTTTATTTCAAGTCACAACAGAGATAAATACTGTTTTTTAAATATTTGAGCTTCATTTCAAACACTCAGGCTCATGTTGGCTAGCAACTACCACGTGGCCTATTGTACTGTTTGATTTTTCAGGTGAACAAGAGGGATCAGAAATACTGTTCTTGGAGAATTAGGAGACTGCCAGATAGATTAGTATACTAATAAACACACCCCACATCCCTGTTTTAGCATTTTTAACTTAGAAAGGGAGAACTGGTATTTACTGCCCTGTGAGAAGGAAGTGGGAAGTAGGCAACAACAACAATGAAATCAAGATCAACCTTTAATTCTGTCAGAAACAAATACCAGTCAATAGACTTTATGCTGGTAAAAGTCCATTTTAATCTAGTTATATTCTTGCTTCTGAATTGAACGTAATTATTTACTACTTGCCCTTAATAAATAATGTCTTTTGTTACAATTTTCTCTCTATTATGTTTTAGATACCATGTCTGCTCCGAGTGTCAACCCTGTCCCATCTGCACCACCTTCTTATGAGGAAACTGTAGGAATCAATATGAACTACCCTCACCCTTATCCTGTTCCTGACCCTGGAGTGAAGCCAGATGTGAAGGGAATGAACCCTCCCCCATACATGGGACAGCATGCACCAGCAAATAACCCCAGTAAGCCTCAAAAACTCTTCTGTACCTCAGGCTGAGGAGGTGTCAGGTGGCTGTGGGACAGGTGCTGTCAGAAGATGAAAGATCTGGTTCACAGGTGTTCACCACCTTCCAAAAAATACTTTTGAAGGGAATAACGTGAACCAATTCTCATGAATCCTTCAGGGTACACTAACATCAATAACATCATTTGGCTTTCTGCAGTTTTTAGTGCACCCTTATTCTTAAGACAATGTATTTTGCATTAGCAAATGCCACGGTGGTTTCTCTTTGTCATTGTGCATTTCATCGCTCTGAGTCCCTTATGTTTCAAAGTTATAGCTGGTTCTGGCTCAGGGGAAATTTCTTACTGTTCTTTTTTCCTTATTTGCTCACTGATTAAACAGCATATTTCTCTGCCCAGTTAGAGTTCAGACGGTGTATGTGCAGCAACCAGTGGTGTTCTATGACCGTCCTGTTCAGATGTGCTGCCCCTCCTGCAACCAGATGATAGTGACACGTCTCTCCTACGAGGCAGGAGCTCTGACCTGGCTGTCCTGTGGTGGCCTCTGCCTGCTGGGGTAGGTCAAGTCCAGTTTCCCCTCTTTTTACTTCTTACCTGACCTTTTATATTTCTGAAGAGTAACAGAGCTCTCAGTTTGCTTTGTCTTTCTGTCTGAGGCCTGAGCCTTTGTGATTCAAACAGCCTACATCTGCATTTATGTCCTGTAGGACCTTAAAGCAGGTCTGGAACACTATAGACTCCAGAGCCATGTGTGTTCTTCCTAAAGCTTCACGGCACCAGTTTTACCGATGGATTTCACAGGAAATATATTTTAACTTTTTGTGTATGGAACAAGTGGCAAACCAATGTTTTTCTCTTCTTTTTTTTCCTTTGCAGGTGTATAGGAGGCTGCTGCTTGTTTCCATTCTGCATTAATGCTCTCAAGGACGTGGATCACACCTGTCCGAACTGCAATACTCTTCTTGGTGCTTACAAACGTTTCTAGGCAGTGTTAAAACATTGATTGATGAAGTTGGTTAGCACCTCTGCAAGCCCTCTCTGAAGCTTCATATGGAGACTGCTCGTTTCTGTGCATCTTGTCACTGGAAACCAATAAAAAGTAATGTTTCTTACTAGGTTGTTTGAAAACAAGTTTGCCTGAGGGGATTTTCACTTAGGTCTGTAAAAAGTCTACATAATCTGTATGGGCCAGTCAGTCCAGCAGCAGCTGAGAGCAAGGGAACATTTCCCTTTTTGCTTTATGCAAAACAGGTTGGTGATGCTCTGCAGGTAATCTTATCTCAGTCATGTTGCACGTTGTTCTTGCTGCAGTCTCAGCACAGACCAAGAGGAGGATGCCTATGGAGAACTCTTTAGGCTCATGCTTGGTGTCAATGCTTTGGCAACAGCACTGTTTACACACTGGCAGGGAGTTGCCTCAGAGACAGGTGCCCTTCTTTGACAAAAGAAATTATTTGCTGGCATCTTTTCATGAGCACTAGAATTCACTTTAAAACTTGGAAGAGAACCAAACCTAAAGGCTTCTTCCTTCTTGGAGGTTGCTTTACCAAATGGACAACTCAGGTTATTGTGCATCAGTGGTGATTGAATCCAGTATCTGAATTTTCTTACCAATTTAAAGTCTCTAATCTGCAGTAAAGGTGTTCACACAGGAATTTTTAAGAGATACTTGTCCAATGTTTGGCTGGAGTTTTTTTTTACCATCGACTGCAAGTCTGTGAAGTGTTCTCTTCATCCGAGAGAGCCTTGGTTATAGCATTGGAAAACTTCCTTGTATATCTGTATAAGTCATCTGATAGATCATACACAAACCTCAGCCTTTCTTAAGGCTTGAATTCTGCCTGAAAAACATTAGATAAAGGACCTGGGCTTCTAACTGTTGATCTGCTTGTTAATTACTATTTCTTCATTAAGAAGGCTAAATAAATGTTTGTTAAGGAGTTTCTCTGACTTGTACTATGATTTTTTTTAAATGAAATAAAAGATAAATTTTGTTTTCAGATATACTTATTTAAGACAATAATCATAAAAAACTAGGGAATGAGGCTCTGAAGGTTGAAGTAATTTCCATGTCATAAGCAGCAGATTTGATGCATTTGAATGATACCTGTCCAGAAAAGGCAGACAGGTATTTAAACAAGGCTATGATGGTAACACTGTGTTAACCTCTGTAAAAGTAAAAAACTAAAATAAATACAAATAAAAAATACTGCATTTACTGTTCTTGCCAAATGTGCCTTCTGTAAATACCTGCTATAAGTTAGTTTTTCAAAAGTCTTTCAACACTTCAGGTTTGAAATCCAGTAATTCTGTAGATCACATACAACCTCTAGGCCTCCTGTTAATTAGTTTCTGTAAACTGCTGCTGCTTGTGAGTCAGTCTGCAAGTGGTTTAAGAGCTTCCTTGTGCATTTGTAAAAGGTTTCTGGTCTCCCCATACCATAAGAATTTACATCAGTAGCTACTGACTGTCAAAAGAATGAAGGAGATAAAAAGCTGGTAGTTTTGTAGCTTTCCCCGTTGATGTTGCAGTACCAGCATGTGCTTTTGTCTCCTGGTGCTCCACCACAGTGCTCTCCGTGTTCTTGAGGGCCCTGGGTGGTGCTGCATTGAATTTTCTGTTCTGGTGGCATAAGCAAGACAAAAGTGTGCTACTGGAAAGCAGCACAACCCCACTGCGTGTCACAGAAAATGTGCTGCTTGTCAGTTTATCACCAGAGCAAGGCAGGAGGAAGCAATGAAGATTGCAGAGTTCCCAAACTTGGTATTTGCTTGCACGGTGGGGAGGATTTTTAGTTCTGTTAGTACTTCTGTTAGTCAATCTGGTCTGGGTAATCCTCCCATATATTAATTTGGTAAGTTTTCTAGTTGTTATTCTCTGAGCTCCCTTTTTCTCTCCAGAGTGATGGTTGGAAAGTCTGAGGTGGTGGCACCAGAATATAGAACACTGACCAAAACAAAAGTGTTTTTCTTTCTTTTATGTGCACAGTCCATTGCTTCTCTTTGAGTTCCCTGTATGGATTGAGAGTGGGACATACAATGTTGGCAGCTCTTCAGTCTAGTTCAGCATTCTGCAAAACTTTCTGCTGCCCCCTCTATACTTAAATTTCCTTAAATGCAAAGCCTGTGTTTGTTCTCTTGCGTATGGAATTATCTACAGAATGCACCACTTTGTTAAACTTATCTTGGAAAAACAAATGCAGGATATAACTTGCCTTGTGTGAAAGCACTTTGTGTTTATTATGTTGAAATTATTGTTTGGGTTTTCTTTTAAAACTGACTGGTTTTAAAATAAAAACTTTGTCTTTCCTATCTAGTGGTTGTAATTGGAAAATTGTAACACTTGGACTGTTTCCAAACATATGGAGAGCTGAAATGTTAAGAAATGTTATTACAGGAAGAAATTTTTCAGTGTCACTTGGGCCAAGTCTCTGATGAATGGCATTCTCTGCCCTGCAGACCAACTGTCACACATGGACCCACATGGAAAATGTGTTGTTTTTCTGCAACTCAGGCACATTGAATAGTTTTTCAGTTAAAACACTTCTGGGTAAAACTTCTGGGTAAAACCTGCAATACAACTAAACAAACACACATAAATATGGCTCCACACTCACATACCAGTAACCAGTGGAGAGAAAATAGATACCAAATATCACTGTATTTAGTTGGAAAGAATCCCTGTTAATCAGGTAAGGATACCCTGGGGTTTTTTTAATGTCTGAAGCACTTTTTTTTTATGAGGTGCAGAAAATACAGGAAGGTGATGTTAATACCTCAAACAATTTTGTTCTAATGCATTGGGATTTCTTTTATTAAGTAATTTTATGGTTATTTTGGTAGTAAGCAAGTGGTGAACAAATGGTTTTTCTTCTGTTGCCACATACAGAGGTGACATGCTGACTTTGTGGGCTCATCCTATTTTCACAAATAAGTAAAGAAGGGACATAGGCTGTCTGAAATCCTCCGGCCTTCCATGACAAATTCAAGTGAAGCCTTCCCCTGCTCCCACCTGCATTAGTTTTCCAGGATGACATTGCTTTCTGTTAGGCTTTGACAGTGTTATTTCCGTTGGATTTCTATTTTTCATGGACAGAATCTTACACAATGTTAAAATTCTGATGAGGCTTGAGCCAGAAGGAAATACAATTTGATTTGTCATCCAAAATAAAAGCTGTTAAAACCAGTAAAAAGCAGCTGATAGCCTTACCAGAGGGAGTTGTTAGCAAGTTCAGTGTGGTTTCCAAAAGTTGCTATTTATTGCAGTGTTTGAGAAAATACTTCTGTCAGTCTAACCACAAGTTCTTTTCTGAAGAAATGAATTGTGATTTGTCTACTCAAACCCAGTTAAACATTCTTCATAACTGAGCAGCAAGAGGTGAGTATTGTCATTCTGGAAGTAAAAACTAAGAAGTGAAAGTCCTGTGACGAAGGTGTGATGCGTTCAGAGTTCAGGTGAATTGTATTTTATACAATTTAGGATGACTTTTAATCTATTTTTGTGAGAGGAATACCCTCCTGTATGATATGCTGGGTGTGAATCCAGTATAGAAATAAATTTGCCATAAATAAATGAGCATCTTATTACTTTTTCAAAGTAGGACATCAAAAGGTGCATGTGAAACCTACTGATTTCAAAGGAAGTGCTTCTTGTTATCACTTGTAATTGATTTTAACAGTCTGAAAATATAATGTCTGTTTGAACAGGTGGCTGTGTGTGGTCTGGAATTGCTAAAAGTAGTTGTGCCTGTGTCGAGAATGAACTCAGAATGAGTAGGCGGGTTTTTAAAGTCCTTTTGTGGTTGTGTGCTTGATCGTTGTAACAAAAAAAATCCCCAAAAAAGCAGCTTCAGCGACCTCCAGAGGACTGTTGCATTAACGGGTGTGTGACAGGCACTGCTCTGGGACCTAAAGCCGTGGTGTATTTGGGTGTGGCTGCAGGGCGGTCACAAAAACATTAGGGGGGATAAAAAGACAACCCCCAAACAATTTCTACCTCTTGCTCCACACAGCCTCTGAAGCGCCTTCTCCTGGCCGGTGGGCTGTCTTGACAACTAGTTGTACTAAAGTTACCTCAGGCTCATGCCTCGTAAAATGCTTTTTTTGTTCACAAAGTAGTGCTGAAGATTTTTCTCTCTCTAGGATAATACAATCACAGAGTCATGAAGGTTGGAAAAGACCTCTGAGATCCTCGAGCCCAACTATTACCCTGACCCTGCCAGGTCCAACGCTCAGCCGTGTCCCCAGGCACCACATCCACGTGTTTTTTTGAATGCTTCCAGGGACGGCGATTCCACCCTTCCCTGTACAGCCTGTTCCAATGCTTGACCACCCTGTTAGGGAGTTGTAGAGAGAGAGGTCGCCCCTGAAGCCTCTTTTCTAAACACCTGGGCTGAACCCCCCAGCTGCTCCTCATCAAGAGCAATGAGGAGCTCCTTTGCTTTGCTCTGGACACGCTGCAGCAGCTCCATGTCCTTGGAGCGAGGGGCACAGACCTGGACACAGGGCTGGAGGTGCGGACACATCACCCCGTTTCCCCGCAGCCCTCGTCGGCCCTTTTCGCCGGCGCTTGGGGCCGGTGCTCCGGGGGGCGGCCACAGCCTCGGGGCTTTCGGGTGACCCTTCCATGGCTCGATTTCCTCCGGGAAAGCGGGCTGGGAAGTGCCGGTGCCTCCCGGCCCCTCGCGGTGTTGGAGATGCGGCGCTCCCGGAGCGCTGGGCAGGGCTCGGTGCCCTGAGGGGCTCCGGGGGTCGCTCCAGGCCCGTTTTGGGTCCGGAACCAGCCAAAGCTCCCGGACACCCTATTCCGTAGGCACAGGGAGGTGAGTGAGCTGGAGTCGAGTTTGGAGCTGTCTGCGAGGGCGCTTCCCTCCTGCTTTGGGCTGTCGGGGTTAAACATCAGCGTTACAATAACACCGCGTTTAAAATATCTGTGGGGCCTTTAACAGAACAGACTTTCCCAGTTTGTTACGGATTTTCTTGACAATGCTGGTGCACCGTTTTCAGGTGTCCCCGGACAGGCTTACCCTGTTGTGTGCCAGATGGTGATTTTTATTAAATTTGTTTTCCGAACTTGAGTACAGTATCCATTAAAATGGAGGAATACTTTTCTGAGACTTACAGCCAGCGTGGGTCTCCTGTGTGTCATTAAAGTGTGCCTGTAGCACATGTGCCAGTATTTTCTTCAGTACTTTAAGGTTACCTAGGACAGCAACATGGGGGAAATTTCTCTTCAGGAGGTTCTTTGTCAGCCTCTTTTGGGGGAGTTGTTCTGATCGGTTTTTTTAGAAAAATCTCATTTGGGGGAGGTAGAAAAAATGCTTAAAAAATGTTAAATTTGAGTCTTGGGCTGCATCCTGCACTTACCAACCATCACATGAGGGAAGCCAGTCCAGTGCACAGGACACTGATGCCATCCATGTTTTATCTTAGAGGTTTGGCTCCAGAGTGCATTTAAGAGTCAACTGCAATTCAGGCATTTAATTCCTAGTTTAGAAGTTTCAATACAAAGGGCCCCAAATCTCTGCTATACTGAAAGCAGCTGAAATATTTTTAGCAAAAAAGCCCTGGAGTTTCATTTGCAAATTTCTTTATTTTTGGGTCTATGAAACTCAAGATTCAAGCAAGCTCAGATTTATAAATTCTGGAGTGTGCTCATATACCTACAGTAAAATATTTTTCTTTTTTTTGTTTTAATTAATGTAGTTTCTTCCCTAAGAAATGGGAAGCTGCAAATTTAAAACTTGAAATTCAAACTGGAGAGCAGATCATTTGCTCAGCTGTGATGCCATATACTTGCTCTCTTTCCCTTGCAGTTTTGTGGAATTTCTAATATGTTAACATCTCTCTCCCTTTTTTTGCAAAAGGGTTGGAATGCTGTTGGAGATGGGACCATTGTTTGTGTGTGTCTGTCTCTCCCCCTCGCTATACATGCGCCCCTTCCCCTCTGCCAGAGCCCCTCCTCTGGCTGCAAGAGGGGAGTTGAAATAGTGAGATCCTGCTTTGTGAAGGAAATTTTCTTTCACTGCCTTGCTCAGAGGTGCCTTTGAGAGGAGAACTGATGTGTTTTTGTTAACTTCTGGCCAGAGGAGGTGCTTTCGATGGCCATGGGGTTGCACGCCATCATTTTACTCTGTGCTGTTGTGGCAGGAGCTTCAGGGAGTAAGTAGAAGAAGCTTTTTCCTCTGCTCTCAATGCAGAATACTTCTGTTAAGGAATGATCTCGCTAGCAAAACTCTTGAGATGTTGTAAATTATGTTACAGCTTGTAGGTTTGTGGTAATTCTTGTAGCAGCTTTGTCTTGATTTTCAGCGTGGTGTAGCAGTTTGCTTTACTGAGCTCTCTGGGTGGTACTGGGCAAGTGGGAGAGCTTTACCTGGAAAGGGGGCAGTTAAATAGTGCATCTTCCTTCAGGATTTTAGGGAAAGCAGCAGAAACACTGGGGTTGTGCCAGTCATTTTATTATCCTCGCCTGAAAATCGTATGTTAGTATCGTGTTCTAAAATTGTGCTCACTTTGGTATTCGGCAGATGAAGGGTTCTGAGAAGTGTGAATAGATCACGAACTGTCAGTAGTTTGTTACTCTTATCAGTTGAAGGGAGATAAGTGTGGGCTATTTCCAGAACCAAAATAAATGAAGGAAGAAAATTTAAAATTCAAAAAGAACAAAGCAAAGAGCAGAAACCCTAAATTTAGGAACTCTAACAAAGTTAATCAGGTGCCTGATTGTCCAGGCTGCTCAGCCTCCCACACTCTGCCAGTGATGAGCACGATTAACAATTCTGAGCTCAGCATTCAGGTGCCTCCTGATGCTGCACTGAACAGTTGGATTTTCCAAGTTTGTCTTACCATATTTGTTTTAAGGTTCTTTAATAAGTTGTACAGGTTTCTTTGTTGAAAGTCGTTAACTTAACACTGCCTTTTCCCACTGTTTAAAAGAAAGGGGGGGCTGAATTGCCCTTTTCTCACCTCATCCACTCTCTAGGATGATCTAGGGATGATTTTTTTCCCTCCAAGGAAACTGAGAAATGTGATATGTTTGGAATATTGAAATTAATGCACATGTTTTATGTACAGATAGGTATATTTATAAAAATTTATAGTCTAGCAATAATTCTCATGTATTACCTGACCTGATCTCTCTGTGCCCAAAAGTTTTATCACTTTGCAGGTATCTCTAGCACTGGATCAGGTTTGCTTGAAAATAATGTTATTCATACTTTTGGAGGGTAAAACCTGAAGTTCTATACAGAGAATTAATTCTGCAAAACGAAAAGGAGCATTGGATGGGAAGAAATATAAGTGTGGGATAAGATCTTTTCAAGAAAAATGTAATTCTACTCTCTAGAAACTTAAATTTTAATTTGGGAATAAAAATGTATGTAAGATCGAGGGGGAGGGTGAAGAAACAAACCCTTTCTTGTTTTCGTCCTAAATCCAGTGAATTCCCTTCTTTCCTCCTGCCAATAGTTTTGACGTTTAACAAAAAGGATTAAGAGAAGAGAAAATTAGTTTGAAATAAATAATATTAATGTGGATTTTTAAATGTTGTAGTTTGACAAGGGCGTTTCCTTTGGGCACATGTAAAACACCCAAAAGCCAGAACCAGAATAAAGAGGTTCTTTTACCTTCTGTCTCCAGTGGGAGACAAAGCTGAGCAGCACAGGGGTGTTAGTTACTGCTTCACAGGGAGGCTCATTAGCTTTTCATGGCATAGGGGTTGGGGTGATTGTACTTATTATTGAATTGCTTGGGACATTTTCTTTCACTGTGGCACATACAAGTGCAGCAGGACTATGTATCTGATTTTGGCTGTTCCTGTTAGCCCAGCCCTTTTGAGTTCCCAGTCATGCCTGCAGGGGCAATCACAGTGATGCAGAGGAAATGGATACCCTAAAAATTTCTTTTCACAGAGGAGTTTTTGAGGGTGAATGAGAATTTTTCTTCCAGTTCATTGTGGATGTTTTGCTGTCTAGCAGTGCTTTCAATAACTGCTGCATGTAATTCTGCCAGGCTCATTTTAGGTCGTTCAGCATCAGAGCATTGGAATGAAAGTCCTGCTAGCTCATTGTGCAGAGATGTGTGCACAGAAAGAGGAGGAGTGGAAGCTCTGAACCAGCAGCCCCAGCTGTTTCCCCTGTTAGTGCCAACGTGAATCTACAGCAGTTCCATCTCTGTGGTGTGTTCTACATCCCCTTGAACTCGCTGCCCTCCCAGTCAAAGTCTGAGTGAAAGTCATGCAGGAGAACAGGCTCCCCAGTGTTAAAGGACATCTGAACCAACTGCCATGCTCAAGTTGTGATGTTTGTGTTCCTTAGTGTGCTGCTGCAGCAAAAGTTTTTCTTAGGCAGTAAAGTTTGCTCTTGTTCTCAGTGATGCTTAGGATTTCTTGAATGACCATGTGCAGTAAAAGTCATAGCTATGTAGAAATTTTCCTGAACTGCAATAAAGTTAAAAGACCATGGATATGAAGAAATGTGGTGGATAATACGTAATTCTTTCTTGGATTAAGAAACTCTTTCTTAAATTCACTTGGTAGCCACTGTATTGTTGCATTTCCATGCTTACCTCAATAAATACACTAAGGCAGGTCATTCCTTTATGTATGTGCTTGTGAGTAAGATGTGTGGAATGGGGTGAGAGCAAAGTCTTGTCCCTGTGTACTCGGTAGAAAAACTGTCATGGATTTATTTATTTGTTTTTAGGACCATGCTTTGATTTCAGTTATTTCATTGAAATTTAAAAGCAGTGGGTCTGTACTGAGCTGCACACACATTTTCAGTGCTTTTCTGTTCTCTTACCTGTCATTGCAGAATCCTCAGAGAGTTTAAGTTATGGAGCATCTTGCTTTGCAGAGTGTGTAGGTGAGTAAAACAAAACTGTACTCAGGTCTTCTATGTGATAAGGAAGGAGGGATTTTTCCTTCCCTTCCGTAGGGATGTTGTGTTCTGAGAGGAATGATACCTGTGTCTGAGGAATCAGCATTCATGGAAGTAGAGGAGAAGTTCCACTAAGCTTTACCAGGCCCACACTTGCCTAAAGTTCTCATTCTGTGCACTCAGAAAGCTCCCAGACTTTAAAGCTGAGCAAGGACTAAACGAGTACAGGACTAAACCCAGCCATGGGCATTAAGAGCACTGTGAATGCATCAGCAGATCTACTTCATCTGGCTCTTGCTGCTCTCTGAAAGGTGTCAGAAGAACATCATGCTGTGAATGCACTGCATCCCTTTTCTGCCCTTGGAAATTGTCTTCCTGCCTCGAAGGAGTTGGTGAGGTTCTGTGCATAGGAGAGAGGGGAAAGATTTTCACCTTCTGTGCAGGAGCTATAGCCAGCTTTGAAAAACCCAGGTGCTTTCTGGGTTTTTAAAAAGATTAAAAGGCAGAAAAAAATAGGGGAAGGGGAAAGCCTCATAAACTGAAAAAAACACCCCATTTTTTTGTTTGTTTCCCAGGACACAGTGCATGGTACTTCCCCAAAAGAGCTAGATACAGCTACAGGTATTCAGCAGTCACCAGCACATTCCTGCAGGGAAGTATTCACAAAAGAAGTGGCATCTCTCTGGAGAGCACAGTGATCATCGAGGTATTGGGGAATTGCCAGATGGTTTTGAAAGTAAGTATTGTCATAACAATCTGAGAGATTGGGAGGAGCTGACATGTAACCTTACCTTTCTTTGGGATTATTGCTACATTTGAGACCCTTGTTTTTCTTGTAAGTAAAAGATGAGATCCAGTTCCAGTTCAATTCTGGATTTCATAATTAGAATTGCAGCATTGCTTTGATGTGACACAACTTCCTTTTGACAATGAAATACATTGCCTATATCTTTGCTCCTAGGTGCAAGATGTGCAGATTAAGAAAAGTTTTGCATCCAGAGAGGAGCCTCTGAAGGAAATGGACAGTCTAAGGTAGAAAACTTAATCTGGTGTAGTTTGGGGGTTTTTTTGAAGCTATATGGCTTAGCAGCTACTTGACTGGACATCGTTCAGTGTGTTTCATACTATGTTTAGGTTTAGAGTTTCTTTTGAGTTTTTTTTTTTTTGTTTTTTTTTTTTTTTTTTGAAAAAGCAAGGATCAGGATGTGCACACCACCAGCAAAATGAGAAGTATTTGGTCCAAACAGGTTTTTTTTAAACCTAATTTTCATCCCTTTGCATGTAAAAATAATTGGAGAGCAGACTATTAAAATTATTCTGGGCACAAATTACCAGGCCTCTAGCTGGTTAGCAGCCTGTATGGATCAGAGATCTCTAGGCTGTAGTTGTTACTTGTACAGACTCTTGAGTTTTGAAGTACATTTCAGAAGTTATTGCTTTGGAAGAGTCTCACAATGCAAAACATTGGGTTTTTTTTTCCTTCCCAGATATTTAAACTGCATTTATTTATCTAATTTAATTTTCTTCCTTTTATGTTCTTGGTTTTAGTAGCTCATTCATAACATATGTCAGTGTGTTTCTCACTGACTTCTCAAGGTATAGTCTCCAGTGTAGATGCCTATACAAAAAGATCTCTTCAAACTGTGGAGGTCTGGCATTTTCCCAGCGAGCTGACGCTTCTTGTGTTGTCAAAAGAAAAGCAGTTCTGTTGTCTGATTAAGCTCAGCCTTGTAATCTTCCTCTTTGTCCTGCCACTTGGATTCTCAGCCTTTAAACAACACTGAAAACTGAGGTAATTGACTCAATTCAAAGGGTCAAAAAGAGCAAGCTTGGAGTAAATGCATTGCTTTTTATATTAATCAGGAAGAACTTTGTGTTCCCCAGTGTGGGCAGTGGTATCAGAGTTCAAATGAGAATACAGGCACATCTTCTGTGAAGTTCTCTGCAGGATTTTCATAGCTGTAAGAGTAGTTGTGCCTCATTCTTTGCAGAGAAGCCAAAAAATAGAGATAGCAAAGAAAGCATTCAGTGAAGCTTGGCTATTGAAAATAATTATTCACATGAGTAAACCTTATTAGCATTTGCCTCAGCCTATTGTGAACATACAGTAGTCTGACTTGTCCTCTGAACACGCATGTAATTTCCACAGATAGTAGCAAAAGCAGCCACAGTTGCCTAGGAGTTCAGAACCCCTTATCCCATGGGCCCAGTCTCTTCCTCTGGAAAGACTTTATCCAGATGTTGGTGTGTTTAAAGTTTACCTCTTACTCTGTGACCCGGCTGATGAGATGAACGATTAGTTCCACAGTTAATGGGCAGGTGAACTGTCTGTCTCCCTGTATGGGAGCTGAACACTGGGCTACTGCAGAATTCTTCCTTTGGATGGCTTGTTTTTCCCCATTTAGAGGGGAATTATATGATTAAAGTACATTATATAAGGAGTGAAAATCAATGTTAAAAAGTGATCTCTTGCAAATGTAGAAAATGCTGTGTACTCTGGGATAGCAAAAGCAGTTAGGGAGTGTACTGATAGCAGAGGTGGGGGAACAAATTTGGGATAAAGCCCAGGTATAAACACCTAGCAGAGCAGGAAGGTATGGGTTCATTGGAAAGCAGTTGTTCTTGTGTATGACACCTGAAGAGACATAATATTACTTTACAGTTCAGACAGGCCTTCCAATGCCAAAGGTACCCTGAATTATAAAATGAAATTTCTTTCCTACATTGAACAAGAACATTAAGTGCATTACACTTGTAACATCTAATAAAAGCAGCTCCAGGTGAATTCTTTACAATTATGTCAAGGGTGCTGTGATTATCTTGAGAGGATTTATTTTTAGGGTTTTATGAGGGGTTTTTTAAGGACTCCTAGGGTCAGGGTGGATTTATGAAGAACAGAGGCATGCTACAAAGAGTGGAGATACAGAATGAGACAGATCCATTGTGGAGGAACAGCTCTGTTGAGGAATCTGAGCCTGTCATAGACCGACTTGCACTATTCAAAGCAAGAAACAATAAACTATTTTATTGCAGGGGAATACTAGAACAGCATCCTCTTCATTTTTCTTTCCATGATGGGAAAGTTCTGAAGCTCTGCCCTGTGAGGAGTGAGCAGCCCTGGGCACTGAACATAAAACGAGGCATTCTCAGTGTCCTGCAGACAGCGCAAGCACCCGCTGCCGGTGCCGTTGTTGAGGAGGTGAGACCATCACTACAGTCATGCTCTGAGCTCACTGAGGCCCTTGGACATGCTAAGTCTATGCCTTTTGTAAATAAATAAGGGTTTTTTCCACTTGGTTCAGCAGACAGCGGCAGTCACCTAATTGTTTTTTGTAGTGGATGTTATAAATTCTCATTCTTGCTAAATCCACTGCTTCGTTACCAGGGTGGTAACACCAGGGCTTTACCTGTCCTCTGGGGAAAATATTATATTCATTATTCATGGTTACTCCTCCTTTCTTTTTTTTCATTAATTTCAGGAGGCTTTACGATCTGGCTTCTCGGAGTTCTTTGCAATTATTTTAATGCTTAAGCTCAAGTTCTGCTGGGTTAGACTGGAACAATAGGCCAGCCTACCCTGCTGTCACCTGTGTGTTTGCACGAGTGCAGCTGAGACACCTCAAGGGCTCTGGTTCTGTTGTGAAGAGCTGTCTCTAGACTGACCTTCAGCATGATGTGCACTACCTCATTCTCCTGCTATTGCTGCATGTCAGTGCTTAAAGGGATTTTCTGCTGTAAGGCTTGAGAGATCCATATGTAATTAAATTTATGCTGATTAGTAACGTTCTTCTGAATTAATGTTTCCCTGTACACCCACAAAACCTCAACTGAAAAAGCATACAACTGTAAATGATCTGATTCAGAATAACACAGAGAGGTTAAACAGATCAGCAGGCCCTGGCTACTATAAAGTTTGACCAAAGTCTTTAAAATTATTTGCCTTTTCACAGCTTTTGTGGCAAAGCCAGTGTTCTGCCAGGGAGAATTTAGGTCTCTGTTGTTACTACAAAAAAGTAATTATTGAAATGAATTGTAATAACCCACAATACCTCCTTGTATTGCATGTGTGACTCAGCAGTGTATGTTTGTTACTAGGTGGACGTTCTGGGAATATGCCCAACCAAGTACCAGCGAAAGGGTCCTGTTCTTGTAAAGACAAGGGACTTAAACCTCTGCTCCCATCGATATTCTGGTTTTACTTCTGTGCAGTCTGTTGTTCTTCCTCATGTGTCGGTGAGTTTCAGGGGAATGACACTGATTATTCCACGGGACCTTTTAGCTTATTTGAAGAGTGTGTCTGCCCAAACTTGAGTCCTTAGCAAAGAAATTATGAATATAATTCTGCCTGAAATGCCTGTTATTTACAGAATTTGTTTTCATGCCAATTTGCACTGTAATTGATGAATGTTACAGTACAAAGGCAAGAGGTTCTTAGGGACCTGGATTAAACTCTCATTAAAACATGTTATAGTGATAAACTGAAAGTGGAGCATGGAAAAGGGGAATAGAGAGATGTGAACAAGAAAAAAACACATTATGAAAAGAAAGTTATTCTTTTGAGAAAACTTTGGAAAGATAGGAGCTTTTCTAAGAGCCAGACTTGCAGCTTTCCACTGTTGACAGCAAATACAGTCAATGTTTGTATCTTATGCCATTTTATTAGGTGGATATTACTTGTTTCTTGTATACTAGCTAGTTGTAGTTTACCAGCCTTTTGCTTTTTTCAGCTCTACTGACCAAAAAGAGCCGCTTAACACTGAGGCTTTGTGAACTGAAATGAATTGAGACCATTTGATGTTGAAAGTTAGCAGCAGTTGCTTTTCAGTGATGAAAAGCTAGACTGAAAATAAAGAGCATGTTAACCTCCCCAGGCTGGGCACTGTCAGAGGTCTAGACAGGGGACTGCAGCTATTCCAGAGCTGGAATCCTCTGTGAAGCTGGGAGAGGAAGGATTGGGAGGATTAAACAGGTCATCAATAACTTTACCTGAAGTATCTGTTCTTCCCAGTCTGAGCAACAGGTCCTGTCTTCCAAACTGGAATGTGTTCAGAGCATTAAGGATGGAGTCCTGGCAGAGGCCAGATGCACCGAGTCCGACCGTGTGACGCTGTTCCCTCAGAAGGGTGGTGGGACAGACACACAGACACAGTCCTCGCTGCAGCTCCTTCAGGTGGAAGCAGACACACTGCACAAAAAAGGTTTCTGCTAAAATAAAATAAATGTATTTCCTAGAAAAGTCTTGGGATTGTGTCTTGCCTGTGAGAACTCTTTGCCCATGGCATTTCCTCCAATGTATTAAATGATTTGGAAGTGGGTGTTTTTACAGGCTGGGCTGAGCTGTCCCTTCTTCAAGAGCTGGAGCCTGCCATAACAAAGCAGGGTGGGTCTCCAAAAATGACTTTCTGTAATGGCCAACTCCTTTTTGCCTACTTTACATACCTAGTGCCTTGTACACAGAGCATCAGCCTTCCTGTGCCTGTGGACAATTCCTAATTATTATGCAAATGCGTCCTAATTAATTGTAAGTGCTAATGGAACTGACACACCCCGTCTGAGAACTGTTTTGACTTTTTCTCCTTCTTTGCTCTGCGTGCTTCTCCTTAGGAGAATGATTTTACTCTGCGTGCTTCTCCTTAGGAGAATGATTTTACAACAAGCAACTTGCCTGAGGAAAGATTTTAAAGTTGGGCTCTAAATGTTGAGAAACATTTTGTATTATTTTTGTCTGCTTCTAAATAGTTGGATTTTTTCTTTAAAAGGAAACTCCAAATTTCCAGGATGCCTTTTGTTTATAGTTATGCCAACATAAGATGACAAGATTCTTCCCCAGGAAGAGATTAAGAGCCAAGCCATTTATTTTTCTTGGCACCCAGACCTCCTGTTGATTTTTTGGGAGGTTGAAGTGTTGGATGAGTGATTAGATGACATTGAATGTAATGTAGCAGGGCCATTCTAAGAGGCATATTGATGGAAAGTAGGACTTTTTTCATGTGTATCTTTGTCTTGTTTCTCTGACTCACACAGGTCACAGTTATCTTTAGATTTTATTCTCTTGTGTTCTTAAATTCAAGCTGGCTGCAGGCATTTATATTATATTTACTGGGACTAGAGGGACTCTCAGAGGTAAAAATAAAGACTCAGAGAGAAATTTCCCCCCAGCATAGAGGATTAACCACAGCAAATGGCCAGCAACCAGCAGATCTCTGATTTTTCCTTATGTCTTTCCAGTGGACTATGAGGATCTGTACGTGACCAGCATTCTCTATGAAAGGGAAGAAATGGAGAGGCAGGTCAAAGGAAGGGAAGTGACTGAACTGGTGTGGAAACTTTGCTTAGCACACAGTGCGAGTTATGAGGTGAGCTTTTATACACAGCCTCTGTTTCCCTTGAGTCTCTTTGTGGTCAGGGAATTCTCTTACACGGATAAGAGGTGACCAGGAGAGCAGCAATTTTGAAATACTGAAGCAGTTCATTGTTTTGGACGTTTTTTAAATGTAAAATTAGAGAAAAATAAAATGCTTCGAAGTGTTGTTTTCCTATGTAAACGGTAAATCAAACCAAGGTGTCAAAACATCATATCTCTTGTAAATGCTCATAGGCACAAGGGATGTTAACTGAAAGCTTCAGGCCTAGCATAGAGGGCACTTCACCTTCCTTTATCTAGAGCAAGTCCCAGGTCAAGGAACAGAAGCTCTGCCTGTCTCTTTGCTGGGGTGGGACACAGACACTGGGAGATGGAGTAAGGGCTCTATGGGACTGGAGAAGAGTTCACTGCTGGATTACAGCTCTGCAGTAATACACTGTGTGTATTCACCTCTCTCTTGTCTTTAGCTGTGATTAACAAGCACAAATAGGCATTTAATATGTGATGTGAGACTTAAGGGTAAGGCACAATGCCCCGGGCTCAGGGGAAAGCAGCAGGTGGCCTTCCTGGGTGGTGGAGTATGGGATAGGTTTCTGTTTCTGAGTTACAAGCAAATCTGCTCTGTCCTTTAGCTGCATGCTGTGGAGATTGGGGCTATGGAGAGCTAACAGAGCCATATATATGTTGGTTCTTGCTAAGGTAGAATAGAAGCAGCCTCTTTTGGTACTGTAATGCTTAATTCTAGGTGTCTGCCAGTGTGACAGCAGTATACAATAGTGTTTAGGCGCAGACTAGAGGGCTACACACTGGCTGGAAAATGCTGAAAGAAGAAATTACTGCAGTGGATCTGAGAAACTTTCTCCAAATTCACCCATAATTCATTGTCTTTGAAAGAATGGTAGACGATTTTTCCCAGTAACAGTGGGATGTCACTTCTGCCTCCAAAGAGGTCTACTGGCTCCATGTGTGGGAAATTTGTTTAGTAAATCACTAGGATTAGCACAAGTGGCTGTTGTCTGTGCCACTGCCTAAAGGAGAGGTGAATTATTCATCATATGCCTGTCCCAGCACAGGGTTCGATTGGTCGCGAACCATTTCCACTGTTTCAGGGTGTTCCTTCTGTGTGACAAGACATTTCAAAGAGAATCTTTATTATCCCTCATTTCAACCAATAAAATGTCCTTTGGACCAGGAAAGAAGTTATGGGAATGGCCACAGGTTGCTTGGGAGACAGCTGCAGTTGTTCTGCGTGTACAGCTTGTTTGTCCCCTTATTGTTTGACTCTGAATGAGGTGAGATTATGCATTTCTTTCAGGACACAAAGCCAAGAATAAGTGGAAGGGAAAAATCCCCAACTCCAGGGAAAACAGTGAAGGGATGAGAAAATGGAGGTGGAGACTGTCATTTCCAAGAAGCAAAGTCGTTGTTTAATTTTTTAATGCTATTATGGAACAAGATTGAATTTCAATGTGGATGTAGATTAGCTAATGGACCATTAAGTGAACAAACTACATACTGACAAAGAATGGAAAAAGGGATGGGGAGAAGCCCCCTCTCTCACTTGAGAGAGGCTTGAGGATCACACCACTTCTGCTGGAGGCTGAATTTCCATTTGACTGTCTGAGTTTTGATGCCTGGTCTGTAACTCCAGTGAATGCACTGTGTGTGCACTAAGCAGGGTGGGCAAGAGTATGTCAGATTTGCTCTGCCTCACTCCTATACCCCAGTCTGACCCAAAAAAAGGGCATGATAAGGTTTTTCCTTTCTTTTTTTTTTTCCTAGTAAGGTAATATAGTTACTAGCTACTTCTTGACTGGGTGTAAAGAATATCATGTTTATGCTTTCAGAAGAATTTTTAAAATTTTTTTTAAGTAGAACTATAACAATTCTGCAGATAGAAGGAAAAACAAGCTTCTAAGTGTTGTCCAAACCTCAGCTAAATGATCTTTCACGCAAACCTAAGACTAATATAAAGTTAGGTTGACCATTGTTTCATTCAGTGTTAAAGCTATGTCAGCAGTTCTGGCCATAAATCAGGATCTTGCTGTGCAAACTCAGAGAAGATTATGATCTTCTCTTCTGGGTTGTAACCACAGTGTTGCATTTGGGTTTATTATTCATTTGTATGCCAGTGGTGTGCATGGTGGTCACTGAGGGACTGACTGATATCCAAAGTAAAAGCCCTCTCCCTGTATGTTTGCAGTCTGGACAGAAAAGCAAGTGAGGGAAGGAATGTAGGAACAAAGGGAAGAACAGAGGGTTTGCTCTCAGGTTAAATTGTGAATCAATGGCAATGCTGGTGTAAGCTTGTTGTGCTCTGTTCTCTGAAGCTGGTTTCTGCACAGCAGGAATATTACACCTGGTTTTGTGCACTTGCAGACTGCAGGCCTTTTCATGACCCTCGTGTTTGAGCTCCGACATCTCTCTCTTGAGGCCTTAAGAGCACTATGGCAAAGATCTTCATTTAAGTGCAGAGACAACTGGTAAGGCTCCTTTAGTAATTGCATTCAAAAATTACATAGTCACAAAATGTTTCTCTCCTATCTAAAATAGTTCAGTGTTTTAAATCTATGCCCTGATGTTGGATTTATATTTGGAGCATTTTAAAGGAAGCATTTGTATAGCAGATCTTGTTTCTGTAACAGAGGGATGATATTCTCTCCTCACTGAATGACTGTTGTGTACAAAATAGACTTTCCTGTCCCATGCCTATTCCCACAGACAGACTTCCCGTTTCAGAAGCAAGGGGAACAGGAAACCTGAGTCATGGCTTAGAGGGAAATCAGTGCTGCTGGTTTTAAGCAAATTTGATTCTTGAGTATTTTGTTCATTTTTAGATTTGCTGTACTTTTTTCTTGTGTTACAGGCAACCATTAATAGATGCTCTCCCATCTTGTGCTACAGAGGCATGTGTTGTCCTAATGAAAGAACTTGTGGCTTCTGGAGAAGTCGAGGAAGACAAAGTAGAACATTTCTTCTGGTCATTTGCATTCATTCCTAAGCCCACCTCGGGCATGATTGAATCTCTCGCTGTGAGTGGATGTTGCTTTTTCTTTTTTAATTTGTCATTGATCTCATAATCATGGTGGTCCATAATTTTTGTGTTTTACAGTAATAGTCTTTTTCATAGATATATACAAAACTCTGTCCAGGTAATTTTGGTGGTGAAAATACTGGCTATTTTTACCTGGTTTCCAAATGAGGAAGCAGCTTGATTTGCATCTGTAGCCCAGATATTTTAAAAAAATTTGGGGTTCACAAGCACTGGTTGAAGTGGTGGGATTTTCAACAGTAACAGGCTTTCTTCACACAGAAATTAGGAATTAGCAGGTTTATGGGAGAGAAAAACTAATTTTCATCTAAAAATGGGTAAACTACCCAGGATTTACTGAGCTATCAGTGGTTTTCATTAAGTATAGAGGTGGAACTTAGAGAAATTGTGTGGTGGTGAGGGTTTTACTATTTGTAGGGTCCAGAAAAATAGTTTAGATTTGTTTTTACACTCCTTGCTAAGCACACAGGGCATGATTTCTTGTGAAAAGAACTGAGGTCTGTACCATGTAGACACTAATTTAGCCCATATGTACAAGAATTTTTTAGTATATCTCTGCAAGGTTGTCCTCTTTTTGTTTGCTTATGTACTTCCTTTACAGACTGTTTGAAAACACCATTGTTGAGATTGTGTTTTAGTATGTAAATATTTTGATACATTTCTGTGGTATGTTACCATAGCCACTCTCATGACTTCTCTGAAGCTCCCTGTTCTTTTTGTGCTCCTTTACAGCCTTTGCTGGAGTCACCCAGAGCAAGCCAGAGCTGCTTCTTGGGAGTAACTGCTCTCCTACACAGGTTTTGCTCAGCTCACAGCTCCTGTGATGATGTACCTGCTGTGCAGGGTGTGCTGAGGATTCTTGGGAAATTTTTGGGAGGAAACTGCACTGTGCAAGATTCAGAACATCTCAGTGAGGTATTGGCCATACAGAGGCATATGATATAGTGCTTTACTCTTCTGTACCCTTTCTGATCTAGAACTTGTTTGATGAAAATGGCATTCATTGGATTTCCAGAAAGCCATGAATACAAGCTTTGTAAATTGATATTCTTTGCAAGGATGGGCTGATAAAGTTTTGTAATCCAACAAGTACAACCTATCAGCGTGGGTGTTCTTGTTGTGGAAATAATACCCAAACTTCATACTGTTGATCAGTATAAAGAACACTCATCTGTTGACAAATTATTATTTTAATTTGCTTATTGTGCCCAAAACCCCAAGACAAATCACTGAAAGGTAAAAATATCTGTGATCAAAAGGGACAAAATATCAAAGTACTCGAAGAACTTTTGCAGGACATCAAATGTGTGACTTCTGCTTTTCCATTGCAACACAGCCTTTTAATAATGTTTTTGTATTCCACCAGATCTAAGCCAAATTCTACTTACAAGTGCTAAATGGCATTAGAATAGAACAGTGCTCCATATGTGTCTTGTCTTCCCAGTGAAGCCACAGTATAGCTGGTACAACAGGGGCTGCAGTAAACTCCCCAAATGAGCAGTAATCATTTTAAACACGGTTTTGCACAGAAAATGTTGTTGCAATAAAATTCAATGTAGAGCTGACCACACATGAGAAACCTTTTATTCCACCTTGCTCTGTATTTACAGATGCAGCTGGTGTTAAAAGCCGTCGGAAACGCGGGACTGGCAGCGGCTTCGCTGGCTCCTGTTCTGAGCTCCTGTGCTTCCCTGAGCAGTAATCCCGTGGAAATCCGCCTAGCTGCTATCCAGGCCTTCAGGCGCATTCCCTGCTCTGTCAGGGTAAGTGATTTATTGCCAGCAGGTGACTTCCTGGCACTGCTCCAGAGTTTTGACTTTTTGGAATAGCTACGAAACACACCAAGAGATAAGGAACAAGTGCAGACGTGTTCCAGCAGAGCCCCTCTGCTGCTGTAGCTGAGGTAACACATCCAGTGACTGAGGCAGTGTTTGTGACTTCTTAAATAGTTACTTCAGTTGGGTAGGTTATGGCTGAGAACCCACAGTACTTGATTCTTCCCATAGTCTATTCCACTGTATCGTTCCCTGAAATATAAAGTATTATGGTGAGAAGCTTGTTGTGATTTGCGATACACTGTCAAAGTTAGAACATTTTGTTAAATGGTTTAATGGAGGAAAACACAAAATCTGTTTATCTCAAATAACTTGATGCTAAAAGGAATGGCAAAGCCAGGAGTGCTGGCCTGGGCAAAGCTGGCAGCCCTGCTCCAGAAGAACAAGAGGTTTCACATGGACTTGCATTCGGAGAAGTGTTTTTCTGTGGTCTTTTAAAATTTAATTGCAGCATGGATTGGCATAATTCATTTGTTCTGTAGTTATAAAGCTTGGTGTTGATCCTTAGACCTGTTCAAAGTATGAAGTCCATATGTTGTCATACACCCCATCAAATGAACTGCTAAACTGACACCCTGTGGGTGAGCCGGGGGGTGTTAAATACTAATAAAAATGTTGCTAGTATCAGTCACTAATGTCTTAATTCCTGGCAGTTTACCTAAAAATTCATATTTGTTGATACTGGGGAAATACTGAACAGAATAAATTTGTTACAGTCCTGCTCTTTGACTGAGACCAGAACTAATGATTTCAATAGCCTGTGAACAAAAACGTGTCCATTGTTGTCTGTGTCTGAGCTGTGGCAAGTGAGAGAAATATGACAGCCAGGTCTACCCTTTGGTGAAATAAAAACACCTTCAACAGTTATGCTGGCAGGTGAGGCTCTGTGTTGCAGAGTCCTGTATAAATTACTCTGTGTAGGATTCAGAATTCAGGTCATAATGACAGTTTATTCAGGAAATTTGTGGATAAGGTCGTACAGAGAATATGTACAAACATCTGTATACATATTGCACAAAGTGACTTTGTCAGATGCAAAGCAATAGCTATCTCAAAAATCCACCTGGACCTGGAAGTGCATACATGAGGTGTTCTAAGGGAGTAAGTTGTAATTGTCTTTATTTTTTCATCTTTTTCTCTTAGAATGATATTTTAGTTCAGTTGTATCAAGCAACCAGCGAAGATGTGGAAATAAGAATTGCTGCTTATTATATGGCAATGAAATGTCCACATGAAGAGTTATTTAAACAAGTACAAAAGACTTTGCTGAAAGAAACATCCAGCCAAGGTTAGCCAAGCAGCTACTAGAGTCTGACATGTTCTTAAATGATACTTTTAAAACATTTGTTTTACAGGTGTAATGGTACCAATCTGTAGAAAATTTTATTTTATCTTTGTAGATCGTTTTTAAAAGATCGTTTGTATGATTGCGACAGTTTTTATTGAAATTGTGATATTGTTAGTTTAGCAATAGTCAGTAAAGACTTAATTCCCCCTACTGGCAACATTTCATTAGCTGAAGGCTTTTGAGAAAGATAGGTGGAACATCTTTGTTGCTCAGCGCATTAGAAATACAAAGGGATAACTGCAAACTGCATTCTATCGAGAAAGAAGTGAGTGGCAGAAATAATACTGCAATATTCTAAAATGGCTTCACCATGTTTAACAAAGAATACCTCTAGACTAATCCTTTGCATTTAAATCTGTCAAGAAGAAGCAAACACGAGAAGGGTCTCTGTGAGGTTGTTTGCAGGCTGATGAAAGCAGGCTCTGTCTGCACTCAGGTGTGGCTGGGTCCTGGCCGGCTCCACATTTGAAGCTGTGTATCCATTTTACCAGGATGTGATATCCTGCAGCAGTTAGGAGTTCAGGCTCAGCATTATGTTCACCTGATGATGTGGTTTGTGGTTTGGAGGGCACTTGTTCCCCTCTGTTCAGAGTTCAAGCAGAGAGAAATTGCATCCACCTGCAAAACCCTGTCGAGGTGCACCCTCAGTGACTCTCCTCCCTGTGGCTCCACGCAGAAAATTTAATCTGTCTGATTTATGAAGGAGCTCTACCAGTCCATCCAAAATGCTGTGTGTTTTAAACAATTTAAAGCAGTACTTATGAATTTTTGCTGTTTTCCTTCCTTTGTCTTTTCTTGATGTGACACCTAAATAATTTATACATTAAACTTTTGAATAACAGGTACTTTTGAAGGCATAGAGCACATATTAGTTTTTAGTTGCCACCTTCAGAAAAAGAAATTAGAAAAAATGAAGTTGTGTTGTCCAAAATGCAGTTATATCAGTATTCAGTGTCTGGAGCATATCTTTTATCTTCAGGAGACAAAAAAGCCTCTGTTTAAGAGCCAGACTCCAGACACATGGGATATATTTGCCTCCCACAACACAGCACATATGTGGCCAAGCCATGAATCCACACATTGTCACACAGAAATACTAATTCTCAATCACAATTGTTTAACTGTATGTGACTTTTTTTTTAATTGAAAGACTTTTGGACCTGTTGTACATTGCACAGTACAGAAAGACTCTTCATCTTGGAATGGTTTCTTTGTTGTATGACAGTTTTCTCTTATAAATCCAGCAATGTTGTTGCCAATGTTCATGCATTAATCGATTAATAGACCTCCTGGTATTTGAAGTTGCTTAATGCTTGCCTTTAAAAGGCCATTTTTATTCCTGCTTGTAGTTTTTAATGGTTACTTTAAGATTTGCATGTGCTTGCTGTCTATCCCACACTTAAATTTTATTTTTAATGTTTCAGTACACTGGGTCAGTGATTTTTCAAGAACAAAATGAAGGATGTTGCCAAAGTTAAAAACCATCTCCAATTCTGTTACATTCCTTTAAATTTAGTGTACCAGATCCTCTGCAAACAGTAAATAAATAGGTTATTCTTATACCCTTGCCTACCCTTATACCTAGGGTAGCTGAGAGGCATAAATGAAATTAGGGAGTGAATGGTCCCTCACATACCATATTGGAAAGAGTATGACAGTATTTCAGTAAGTTTACTGTGATAAAGATGGGTGCATCAGACTGATTTTAATGGTGCTGAAAAGGAGTGAATTCAGTTGTGGTCAGAGGGGTGGCTTAGAATTAATGCTGGTGTAAATAAATGAAAATATTGTCTGTATCTGTTTCTAAAACTGCTTTAATTTTTCTCTAATCTCCAAATGCTTTTCTTTGTTTTTTTAAACAAAATTTAAGTGGGCTCCTTTGTTTGGAGTCACCTCTCTCAGATCCTGGAGACAGATGATCCACTGAAGGAGCACCTTCGAGATTCTATTCCTGATGAAATCCTTAGCAGAGATTTTGAAAGGGAGACATGGAAATACTCCTCATATTCTGATGTCACGTTTCACTCAGGTATGTGGAGTTTTAGAACTTAGTGCTTTGTAACTTATGGATTATTAAAATCCCACATGGCTTTTCTGGTCCTTTACATGTTGCTCCATGTTTAATTTTTATGACTTACATTTGCATATCTGGGTGCTATTAAGCTGATTCTGCTCTGACCTTAATTGGAGTATATGAAATGTAATTCCAGCAAACCAGACACCTTGAATCTTTGCCTTTTGTGAGAGAGGAGACTAAGAACCAATAAATTTTAAAGATTATTTTTGTGAACACCAAATTTGATTCCTTCCTTAGTGAGCTTCCTTTGCAGCAACAGAGGATTGGGATGTATTTTTTTCTTCCTGATTCATGTGCTTGTTTCCCTTTGTATAAGAAAATATTCGAACTATTTCCTTCCTATTTTACTATCTGTTCATCATTTGTTTTCAGTGAAAACACTAGATGATACTCTTTAAAGTAACATTTCTATTTTCTGTCCATTTCTTCCAGTGCATTTGTGTATGTTATGTATTGTAAATGCTCTTCTTTTGATGTTAGTGAGTAATATCCAGTAAATATGGAATTCCAGTAAATGGAAATTACTTACAGTAATGTCTTTGTTGTACTAAAAAGTTAAATAGTTCCCTCTACTGACAATGTTTTATTCAGCATCATCTTAATGAGCAGAGTTACAGTTTCCCAAAGAACTATGAGTTTTGCACAGTATATGAGAACAGCTGATCTCCAACTGACAGACATCTGGTGTTCTCCATTGCAGCTGGTGCAGGTGCAAATGTGGAAGCATCAGTGGTGTTTTCTCCTGCATCTTTTCTACCACGCTCAGTCATGACAAATCTGACCGTTCACCTCATGGGACAGGCTGTAAATCTACTGGAGGCAAGTTTATGGGGTTTTTTTAACTGTGGGTTTTTTATACCCCTCCTCAAGGGACACTTGATGTATTGAAGTAAAAATAAGTGTTTTCTGTTTTCCCATTGTGGTTGCTTTAGCAAGGTGTGCTTTTCACTGCTACAGCACAGTTGCCCCAGACTGGTGACACTCCTCTGTATAAGAGATTTAGTCATAATAAGAGCACTGTCACTCTACTGGTACCATGAACTACCCAAGAGAGTTATAACCCAGCTCTTGTTGAATATAGCTCAAACTGTCCCATCATGTGTAAATGAACCAGTACCCGAATGGAAAAGGATTTTTATTTTGGACTGAGTTTTACATAATCAACCAATTAATTTTTGTGGAAAGATTTAATACTGAAATATCCAGTACTGGATGCTGCATGAGGTAGAATGCTAAACTTTGTAGGCTGCTGGGTCTTATTTGGCAAATCTTTCACTGTTGGTTGCATCTAGTTGTATTTTTTAATTTCTGCTTATAGAACTTGACGTGGCTTATGCAGGTCATTGCCAGGCTTTTCAAGGCTGTAATTGCTTTTCCCTAGGTTGGTGTACGATTGGAGAATGCTGAAAGTCTGGTACAGAAGGTTTGGGGGCAGAAATCTGCTTCTTTCAGTGACTATTTTTTTGGAACCACTAATGAAAGAAACCACAAATCAGAAAACCCAGTGGAAACAGCAGAGAAAGTCAAGCAGAGGAAGCTGAATTTGAAGCGATACAGCCCTGCTGATCACCTCGTGACCAAGAGTGGGAGGCCAAAGCTGAGAAAAACAAACCAGAATTGTCTTGGTAGAAAGTACAGTAAAATGAGTGAGTTAGTCAAAAAGGTAACTGACTCTGTAGATCTTGGAAAAACTAATGACATTCCCCAGTTAAGCTGAGGACCTCATCTTGCACTGGACTCTGTTACTGTGACCCCTTTGCATAAAGCACATGTGTCCTGTTCTGCTCACTTGCAGGAACTCAGCAGCTGCCTAAAATACAAAGCAGCAAAGAGCCAGATCTTCAGTTTTTCAGGGTGCTCTATTGTCTCAAAACAATGATTCTCAGCCATGGGAGTATGTTGCCTGTGTTTTGGGCTTCCTCTCATTATTTTGAGCTCTGATCCCCTTTATACTGATGTCCTGTTGTCTATTGACTGCTTTGGCACTGTAAACAGCTGCTTGATGTTAAGTTCCTGTTGTTTGTGATCTGACTTCCCAGTTTGATGTTGGATGTTACATTGACCCTTTGTGAATTTACCCGTATTTGAAAAGAGCTATGTTCTATGTACATAACAGGAAAGCTCTGAGAACTGACTTCAGTTGTTGCTATGTTAGCTGGAAAACTTGGGGACCATGATTTATTCAGTTTGTCTTAGATCATCTCTCTTCTTGGGGCTCATCTTCTTCAGGTGTAAGCTCATGAGCATGTGTGTTGCTGTTGTATTGATGCATAAGGGGAGAAAATGCAAAATCTTTACTTCTTAGCAGTTTATTTAGCAATCATGGCATCCCTAAAGTTGTATTGAGATTGCATTTTTCAAAGCTTCACCTCTTTGTGGGTATGGATTGCAATACCTCTCCTTTGCCAGTCATCCTGTGACTGGACATGGTCTGTGTTCATAGTGGCAGTCAGCTTGTGTGGTGTGGAGCTGAATTTTAGCTGGAAAGAACAGGTACTAAACCAGGGCCTTAAGTGGTCTTGAAGTATTTGTAAAAGGGAGCCTAAAGGGAGTCTCTTTACTAAGAGCCTGCACTGAGGAATTGTCTATTATGAGTTTGAAAGGAAATTATAACATCATTCTCTTTGATTTCTTTCTTTATCACATGTCAGTTCACTGAGAGAACGGTGAGAAAGGAGACACTGAAATGTGAGCTAAGCATGAAGATCTTTGGAAATGAACTTACCTTCTTAGATTGTGAAGATTTAAGAAAACAAATGAAACATTATTCCTTAAATCTGGCTGAGCTGGCTGTCAAACTTCTGAAGGTAAAAGGAACCTTTTTTCTATTTGAAAGTACATATCTTAAGAAACTACTTTCTGACAGATATGCAAAAGATACAAAGTATTAATTATTGTTTCTCTAAATTGAACTCTAAAAAGTCACCAGTGTATATTTGGTTTAAATATTCATTAGTATATTTACATTCAGTACATTAGGCAAGGACTTGTTGTGTCATCTAATGGCTCTTATCTCTTGCTTCTCTCATTAAGCATTCTCTCATGCTTAAATGAAAAATAATTCTTTCTTTAGCTGGGGTAGGACTAGTGTCTAACTCATGCCATGGCCAGATGCAGGCTTTGGGCTGCTTTCTTCCTGATGTCCCAAATCAGCTCACTTAAAAGCATTTTGGCAGCAGACAGATGCAGTCAATAGTCATAACTGGAAAAACTGCTGAATGCTGACTTTATTGTGCAAAATAAAATTCTGGGGTTTGTTTGTTTGTTTTCACCACAGGGTCAGGAGGTCCAGTTTAATAAAAGGATGAGTTTGGCCACTGAAGAATTGCAGTTTCCAGCAATTTCAGGCTTTCCTGTTCAGCTGGCAGTCAATGCCTCGGCAGCAATCAACATAAAAATCAAAGGGAATGCGGATTTCAAACAACACTCAAACTTCTTTCTGAATGGGTATATCAAACCAAGGTAATAACTGCTGCACTGTGTCACTTCCACATATTCCTGATGTCAAGTAGCAATTCCTGATGTGGAAGTTTTCTGTGAGTGTCCCTTGTAATCAGTTAGGAGATTCCTGAAGAACAAAAGCAGCCATCAGCCTGAATGGTGGCCATGGTGTGAGGGTAGCAGTGTTTTCCTGTCCTACCTGTCTGATTTTGAACTCTGTTGCTGTATTTCATGCTCAAGTCTTGGTTTAAATCCCTTACGTAGGATATATAGTAAAACTATACTTCAATTCATATTAGAACATGTATGTCTGTACACACAAATTTTTCAGTTATTTCTGAAACAAAATAGCTCATTATTTTAATCAGAGAATATATTGTGTTACAGCAGCAAATGGTTATTGAAGAGGTTTAAATTAAGTGCTTTAAAAAGAAAATGCTTTTCATAGAAGGATATGTCTCTGAATCTTTCAACAGTGCATTTGTTCAGCTTTCTGTGCACATGGGAACTGTGGGGACTGTGGGACAAGCTGGCCTAGGCTGGTTAACAGGAATGAGGACATCTACTAGTCTTGATGGGGGAATCCAGGTGAAAAAAGGGCAAGAGCTCAAAGTTTTCTTGAACACTCCAGAAGAATCTATGGAGATAATTAATTTCAGGTAAGATTAAGCAAAGGCATCACCAAAAATAGTAATCACATTAACTTTCTGGAATCAGAACTGACCTGACAGGCTCATTAATAGGGAAGAAATATATTTTGTCAGAAAACAAACTGTTTCAGTCTGACTCATAATCCAGATCTGTCATTCAGAAAAAAAAGAAGGGGAAATTATTTGGTGCATTTTGCATTATTTTACCATAAAAACGCACATTCAAATCAAAGCTTTATGATAAAAGATGTAAAATATTTTTTTTCATACTCCCCTGTTTCTTCCTTCTGAATGCCAGTGCTGCCTCTGGAACTTTAGTGTCATAAGAATCTGGTTCAAGGTATTAAAATGGTGGAGGAAAAGCTTAGCATTGCTTCTGCAGATGGCATTTAGCAATACCAGGTACAGAATGCCATTTACGGAGAAATTTGGAGTACAGTAGTAAGAAGGTGTACTCAAACCCTTCTGGTGAGTTTTTAGTGAAGTTTTGAGGTTCTGAAAGAACTTCAAGACTGAAACAAAACTGGTGTCCATACATAGCCTAAGGGAAAACAAAGTCTCTAGAAGCCAGGAAGTGAGTGGAGTTCAATAAGCTGACCACAGCAAATTGCTCAGAACAGAGAAATCTAATACTGACTGTGAAGAACTGCAGATGAATTCTCAAGACAGTGACAGGTCACACATGGAAACTGTGGATAAAAATCAGTGCTAATGAGTAGAAATTTAGACTGACCTTAGCAGAACTGCCTATTTCTTGTTTTTCACATCTGGGAGAAGGTGGCATATAACTGAGAGTTTTGTTTAAATGTTGTTGGAACTTCAACATAATTGTTTTTAAGTGACTGTTCACAATTCTTGGTTGTAGCTCTAAACTCTACTTCAGAGGGGTGGATGAGACAGAAGAAAGAGATGTTTTCCAAGACCACACAGACACCCGATCCTGCACCAGGGAGGAAGGTGAGCCCAGCTAATATGTTTGTCTCAGAAAACCTGATCATTCTGAAAGATCCAAATCAGATAATTTTATTCAGTAGAGTTCATTTTTTATATACTAGTTCTAAAAGGTCTTCAGTGCAATGTTCCCTTGCATGTTTTCTTTGCTTGTTGTTCTAACTGGACGTTCAACTGTTGTCTTCCACCAGTGTCAGAGATTCTTGGCTGGCAGCTCTGTTCTGAAATGTCATACCCTGCCCTAGCCAGTGGTTTGGTTTTCCCCCTCGCTGGACCTTCCAGAGTGGCTGTCATATTAACAAAGAAAGACAGAGGCCTGCAGCAGTATGTTGTGGAAGCTGCATATAACTATATCCCTCAGGTACCTGTGGTGTGTTGTACTCTGGGTTTAATTTGAGTTTATCACTCTGATGACAGAGTGGTATATCTCAGTACTGCATATTCAACCAGCTGGATTTCATGGTTTACATTATCATTAATTCATTCCCATTTTAGTGGGAAAATATGTCAAAAACAAATTACAGATGCTGATAGTAGGTACATATTATTTTTGTATACAAAGCAACCCACACAAAGAGTCTGTTGTCTCAGTGTCATAGACTGTTTTGTAATTGCCTTGCCAGTGACTAATGTGGTTGTCCTTTCTTTCTTCCAGGAGAATTCATGGATCCCAAATGAAGCTGTCTTTCGCTTCTTCATTGGGACTCCAAAGTCAGACTTGAAAAGGGATGTTGGTGTTGATCTCAGTTTTAGTGTCCCACAGAAGAAACTCAGAATCCAGTTTATACAACCAAAGAGAAAAATCGAGATTGACGGTAAGTAGGTTTTTCAACTAAGAAAGTGATCATCAATTAATATCAGTTAGGAGAACTTAATTAGAATTAGCTGAGAAATATTAATATATTTCAGTCAATAATCTAGTGCTGAAGCTACATTTTTGTGTGTTAGGCATTCAGTTTACTGCTTTAGGTAACACCCATTCCCAGGGGATTTTGCATCTTGGTTAACACGATGTTGCACAGTCAGAGGTTCAGTACCTGGTTCATAAACCCATGTTAGACAAGAAAGCTGCTACCAGAGTTGATGAAATTAAGGCTAAGGGATGTGATTGCCTTGCCCTGTAATCTTGTACATATGCTGAACTGGCCTTATATTTTGATTTGCTGTATTCTGTTAGTTATGATATGAAACTACTTGTTGCCAAATCAATGAAGTAGTGACTATGATATTGTTGTGCATTCTAATAAAAAGTAACATTTCAATCACGGTGTAACACGGAACACAAAATGAACAAACATGTTGATAAAATATAAACTGATAGATACATGGTAGGAATATAGGCAAGATATTTCAGCTTCTTTGACATACTGGTCAGGTGATGTTTTGTGTTGGTGTATTCTACCAGATCACTTATTTAGAATTCGCCCCTTCATTTATTTTTGTTTTTTGGTCCTGGTTATTTTCAAAAGGATTACAAGGAAGATTTACCTACACTGTGCAAGGCTTTGTGTACACACTGTTCTGAGCTCCTGAAATGTCTCCACAGCACAACTTATAAGTTTTAGCACAGACCTAAAGGAAGTGTATAAATCAGTTCCAGAATTAACTCGGATTTTTGGAGAAAGCTTTGTTGCCTCTTCTCAAATAATAACCTCAGAATGTCCTTTCAAAGTGACAAGTGTATTCTGAGAACACTTTGAAAAATGCCTGTGCAAACTCTGATCCTAAATTTTTTCCTTTGAGCTGATATTTATTATGTTTTTACTCTGTATATATATTGTTCGTAACAATAGCAACTGTCATCTTGGGTACAGTTTTATGAAGCACCACTGAACACTGTGTGCCCAGAAAAAGTAAACAGTTTTATTTTTCTCCAAGGGAGGATTGAGTTTTCTAAAAATTCACAAATTGGACACCTGGAGCTGATAGTGGATGACCGAGATGTGTATTACATTAAGGTATGTTTTTAGTTCATGAACAATCCATCAGAGAAATTACCAATTCTCTTTTTTACACGTTTTTGAGATAGACTCAGGGCTAAATGGCTGCGTTTTAAAAGCTTTTAAAGCATGGCTTCTGCAAGTCATCTAATGCAATTTTTTCACATTCAGATGTATTCAAAACCTTGAGGTTCCTTGCAGCATAAATTCAGTAGAGAAATTCACACACACTCCTGTGGCCTTTGGTCACAAAATTTTTCAGACCTGTATTCTGACCATGCATGACTAGTTCTGAGTAAGCCCAGGCTAATTTCCTCACTTCTGTGGACTCTGTAGATGTAAGAATCTCTAAGGTATCGTCATTTATTACAGAAATTGTGGGGGGGCAGAATAAGCAAGAGAATACCAATATTTGAATGCTGAAATGAAAAAGCAAATTAAAATGCAGGTGGGAGTTTATCACTGAAACTCTGCTGACATTTTTGTTTAAATTCCAGGGCATGAACAATTTTTTCATTATGCAGTTGATGCCCACAGCAGGATGCCATGTCTTATGTGAGCCTCCAAAGCCAATTGGTTTCAAACACTCTGTATTTTCCTACAGTGAGCATGTTATTTGCCAGATTTTTTTTTTCTAGAGTAATATTTCAACAAAGGCTTTCTGAATGTTTCTCAGGAAACCAAACACTAATTAGCATTGCAGACTGTTGCATTTGCATCTATTTCAGCCTAAATCTCTGTGAGACTGCCAGTATTTTCAGTAACACCATATTATTTTTTGGCCCAGTGTTGCAACATTCTTAGTGGTTTCAGTCACTACTAAAACCAGCAGGAGCTGAAGGAAATAGCATCTCACAGCACTATGATTTTTGTGTAACTGGAAAAACAAATCCATCCTTCCTCCTCATTATTTACTAATGGCAAGTTTGATGGTTTGAGGGGAGATGGAAGGTCATTTGTTGGGTGTATAGAAAAAAACCCACCTTTTCTTTCTCTTCTTGTCTCATTTCTGAAATGCCCAAGTCTCTACTATTGCTCTCTCAAAGCTTTGATCAATTTGTGTTGTTGAGTGGCTTGGCATTTGATATTTTGTTTGTTTGTTTGTTTGTTTTGTTTATTCTAGGGAATGACAGATTTGCAGGTGCTGAGTGGAGAGCAGAGATACATGACCCAGCTGGAGGTAAAGCTGATAAAGCAAAGCAGTCCTGTCATTCTGTCAGGAAACATCACTAAACAGCTTGGCAAGAAGATAGCTTTCTCAGTATCCCTGAATAATTTATTGAAGGATGCTGCATTTCTTTCAGGTTAGAGGACAGTAAGTATTTGACATATAAACGCAAGTTCTGGAGCCCTTATATGTTAGGGTTGCCTGGTTATGGACACCTATTCCTAAAATTCCTTTCAAATCAGTAAAGACTGCTTTTTACAATTATTACCCTTGATCATAGAATAATAGGAATTACAAAATACATTTTTAAGTCTACTTTGAGTTAATGTTGAAGAGGGTGGAGGAAATAAGATATAAGGAATCACTTAACAAAACCATGCCAAACAATATCAGCTATTAGGACATTTCCTGTTTTCACTTTTGTTAGTATGGAACAGTGCAGAGATGTGCATTTGTAACTAAATGTTTTTTAAGATCTGTAGTTCTAAAAATGTTGAAACTTTTTTTTCTCACTAGCACACTGAAAGGAAAATATAAGAGAAAAGTATCAGAAAGGGCTTTACTATTTTTATAACATCAGTTCATTAAGAAATAAATTAATACAGTGGAATAAATCAGTGATTTAAATCTAAGGCTCTTGTTTTTTCCTTGGTATTCCTTACTGCAGCCTCCATGTGGCAAAGACATTGAAACGTCACAGGATTATGCAGTATTTTCAAATAAAACTAACTTTTACACAATACAAAATGCCAGTTTGATTTTTGGGAGATGATCTCTTGGTGAAATCCTTGTCCTGTTGCGTGGATTGCCGGTGACTGCATCAAAACCAGTTCTGGTCCGAGTTCAGACTCTTGTCCCTGAGAACTGGGCTGCACCAGCGATGCTACTGCAAAGCCACAACCTTGCTCTGACTTTACATAGAGTTCAATATCCCCATGTTCACACGTTAGGTCTTGGTTAATTCAAAGATCAGTCTGTTAGAAGCAATATGTGAGCAGTGTGTGGTACAGGCTCTCTGTGTAGCAGAGAGAGGTTGAACATCCAGCTCTGCCTCTTTTTTCACCTGCTCACTGCACGAGGAGTTTGTTGTGGTGGGGGGATAAGGAATGAATGCAGTTGTGGTTTTCCCCATTGTAGCATTCCTTTTACTAACTAACTTCAAGTCCTACCACTGCATAATCACTTCTACTCTTTTTGTAGCACTTCTGGAGAAAAAGGTGGATGATAAGCTGAGACAATACTCTTTGGAAGGGGAGACCTGCCTTCCAGGCGTTCTTGGAGCTCACGTCATTGCTCTTCTCCAGCAACATGAGGGCCTGTGGTCTCACAGTTTGAGGATTAAGTATGGGATCCTAGGTACACTGAAAAAGAAATGTGTGCTTTCCTCTGGATTTTTAGGATAAATCAACAATAGCTGTAAAAGTAGACAAATCTCACTCGAATGTTTTTGAAAAATGGAAGCCTTGAAGCCAGTACCAGACTTATAGTTTCGAAAGTTTACTTCTGATTTATTTGAATTGGTAATTTTGTGGTTTAACTTGAACAGGAGAGGCAAAAAATCCTCGTCATGAATGCAGTATGAGGCAAAATATTAAAGTGGAGACAGGTCCACATGGAGTGTACAAAGTGGATATTGGGCACGAATTTCACTGTGTGCAGACTCCAACCTACAATCACAAGGTAAATACTGGCCCAAGCACTTGTGTGCTGAGTGTCCTTGTGTCACTTATGTACTGAGGGGCTCAGCACATGTAAGAGAAAGCAAAATTCACAGGAAAAATGCAGTTTTCTGTTCTTTAGGTTCACCTGAAGCATGAAGCGAGTGCATCTTGGCTTTCCTCCCAAATGGAAGTGAATTATGGGAAACACTGGGATGAAAAAAACAACAAGAAGAAACTGCTGATCAGCCAAGCATTTAAGAACAGTTCCAGTCCATCTGTAGTCAGCTATTTCATGGAGGTAATCATGATTGTTGAAGAGTAAGACCTTAACTTCAAATATCCAACAGACAAAATAAGAGAAACAAATTTAAATTAATTTATTTATTTATTAAGACCTTTTTTTGTAAATATGGTATGTATTAATAATACAAGTCAAGTACCCAGAGCAGAGGCAGAAGCTGTGATCTTCCTGCTACTCTGTGTATATGTGTGTTAAATTAGACAGTTCTGAAGGTGGGATCCTGTTTTTATTTAAATTTGCTTCACTTGTTTTCCAGTTTGCCCTGCAAGTCCTGGAAAAGCAGGTGAATTACAGAACCCAGCTGCAGCACTTGCACACCTCTAAGGTGTATTTGCAGAGCAGCACCAACTTTGAGGTGCAGTACAATGACCACATGCCATTTGTGGCTGGGCTGCAGTGGAAGGACGCATCCAGAAATGGCCTGAAGAAGTGGGAAGGTGAAGTACCACCAACCATTTCCAGCCTGGGATTAGAAAAGCAGGCATTGGAAGGTGCTGCTGGGCTTTTCTGAGGTAGTTTTGCATGGGTGTAACAGAATGAGAGAGATGTTGGTTGGAAGGGAGAAACCACGAGGTTATCCAGCCCAGCCTCCTGCTTAAGTCAGGACTGGTTTTGTGGCTTTGTCCAGCTGAAGTTTTTGAAATCTCCAACTTCCCACAGCCTAGCTGGCTGGCCTCTTCCAGCAATTCCATTTATTAGCAAACCTGCCTATGTGTTACAGTGTGCCATATGTTACAGTGTACCATATATTACAGTAGTGAAGGACATTAATTTCATTATATACCATCCAGAGATTTTAGTAACTGGAAGAGACTAGGTTGGTAGTAGCATTTTAGCTTCATTCCAAAACCCCAGCATCTTATCAGCCTGGTTGCTGAGTTGGAGTCCAGGTAGCTTGAAATCTCATGTTTCTGTCAGCTCTAATATATGTTCTTTCCAGGTGGGTTAAATCTAGACACCCCATGGCTGTATCTGTATGCAGCTCACAAACTACATCAGCCTCAGAGTTCTGCTTATTTACTGACCACCGAGCTGACAACTGGAAAAGCTCTCTCCATTAAGAATCTCGTAGTGGAACTGTTCTATAAAGATCAAGGCAATGAAAAGGAAGGCAAAGTTCACATTTACACACCAGCTACCACATACCTGCAGGTTGGTAACACGGTGCTTCATCTGGTTCGTGGCTTTGATGAGAGGGCTCTGTGACAGCTCTGGCACTGTCAGCTCACTGCAGGAGCTGCTTTTTTGAGAAACTCGTGCACTGTGTCCCAGCTTATCAAAGGGGATCTCAAGATGCCTGTGTTCTTCTGTTCTCTATGCTTGAATGATAAGCTGTTCTTCTCCAGAGCAGTCAAATCAGCACAGCCGGGGCTCTGTATCAGCTTTGAACAAATGTTAGGACCATCAGCTCTGCCCCTCTTTGGAATGGGTATCCATTGCTCCCTGGGCAAAGCCCAAAACATGATGGCAGAATTCTGCCTAGGAGTGTACACATAGTCATTACTGTTTTGAAGTTCTTACCTCCATCCCTTCCACGAGCTAACAGTTTCAGGAAGCTGGAAAATTGGATCATCATTGAAAGAAATATTTAAAATTTGTCCTTACTGATATGAAACAGCTGAGAGTGTCTTTCCTTTAAAAAGTAGGAACGATAGCCAAACTGCTAAATTAAGAGCCCAGTGATTACCTGAATTCACTAATTTTGAGGCACTGGATTTAAAGGCCTGAGGAGAATGTAACTCTCCTCTTCCTGGAGAGCTTTTTCTCTCTCCTTTGCTTAGAGAGGGTAAAATAAACTTGGAGATCTTTGTGACAGTTCAGAATATTTTCATAAGTGGAAAAGCTGACACACATTTCTAATAGTTCTTGCAAAGATCACTCTTTCACCTCTGTGCTGCTGGCACAATGGAATGCTGTCTGTCCTAACTAAGCCAGACTAATGTCTTTGTTTTTCAGGCATCCACATTTAATCGTCTCGGGAGGAATGTTCTGCATAGCTATGGTGAAATGATCTCTCTGTGGAATCAGCTTGTGAAGAATGAGATTCATTTGGAGAATAATGAACGAGCCAAACTTCTCTGCTTTAAGATAACAAGTACAAAACAGGAATTTAACTTCACAGCCAGCTATCAGAATCTGCCAACGGTAAGAAAGAAAAACAAATGGAATTTTTTTTGACTCGGCACTGTGTTTTTTTTAGTTCTCCCACCTTCCTGAAAGATGTTATTGTTAGTGTTGAAATTTAAACACTTCTAGGGCTGCATCTATTTCTGTCTGTTTTGAAAGGCTGCGGTGTAAAACTAGGTTCAAAAAGAAAACAAACAAAAGCTTGTGTAGTGTAATTTGGAGTACTTCTCACCTATTTGGGAGGCCAACTGCAGACAGAAAGTCAGAGAGGAGGGACAAAGAGGGACTACATGACTAGAAAAAGAGCTGTAGATGTGATTACCTACCATTTGATGCAGAGGTATGACAGGTGTGGAAGATTCTACTGTCTTGGAGAATCGGAATCTCTTGCCTGCTAAGTGAGCAGGGTAAGCCTGGGTTTATGTGCTATTTTAGGCTCTACATCCCTTCCAATCTTAAAATAACTTTTGCTTTGCTTGATGTCTGTGGCACAGGAAAGGCAACCAGCAGTTTCTCCTTGAAAGGGATACTTCGATGAGTTACTTTGGTCCATTTGTTCCTTGCAGGAAGTCTTAAATCCACAAGTGTTTTTCTAGACATACCATTGAAAATCCAATTAGTTTTTGTTTGACAGTGTACCAGAGCTCGCTCATATTGCAAATAGGTGACACTTAAGTGATACATTATGGGGCATTTTTCTTCTGCTGAAGTCAGTTTTCTACTAATGTCACTTTTAATCCAATGTAAATGGAGGTCTGGATTTAACTGCAGCACAAAGGGGCTGATCTGTGAAATGACTGCCTTGCTGCAGCCTGTTGGGCAGTATGGTTTCTATATTGATGTTCCTGAATATGAAAGCAATAAATCTGATGCAATTGTCCTTTATTCTTCTGGTCTTGTGATTTGAGTGCAGCCAAAGAAGACAAACCTTTCTGTGAAGATTGTATGGAGAGATTATAAAAGTCTGCCTGTCATACTGCAGTTGGAAGGTCAGATAGAGGAGCTGAAGAAGGAGAAGATGCTCTATCAGAAACGTGGAATCCTCCATTTCAGGTTCAGTTGTCTTATTATTTCTATCTGTGAAGAATGTTTTGGCCTAAGTTTAACGTGCGTTTTGATGCTCTTGGGGAATGTTCTGGGCTTTACAAGGTGAAAGTGCCACATGCACAAAGCCTGTGCTTTGTCACATCTGGGTCTCTGGACTTGCTCAAGCACAGCAGCTTCATGGGGTGGTAATTTGTACTATTAGCTTTTGCCCTCTTTATTGAAATGACAGTGAACAAAGCTGTCAGAGGCAACAGGCCATGTGTGCTGTGACATGTTTGTTGGCAACAACAAACCATCAGGTTTATAGCCTCCTTCCAGGAAAACAACAGGATTTATGGTGTGTCCAAACTTGGAAGTCATGAGAAGTTCCAAAATCCAGATCTGATCCCCTGTGCCATCCAGATGCCTTTTTCCTAGTCCTTGGGAATAATAAAGCCATTCTAAAGCCAAAGATATCCTCTTTAAAACATGTGACAAATGGTCTTGTTTGGATTTTGGAATGTTTCCATTTTCTGATGAGAATGAGTGTACTGCTTCCAGATATTGGCTGTCCCTGAAATTACCCATTATCAAAACACAGCTTGAAGGCCTTGGGAAAAATGTATGCTCAGATTTGAGGCATCTGGATCACCTCCAGGGACACCTCAGCTTTCTTAAAGCACAGCAGGACCAACAGGAGTGCACAGGCTGCCTTAGGAGCCCCTGTGCAGCTTGGAGGTAGCTAAAAAACTGTGAGGCATCCTTTAAGTAAAAAACTACAGAAATGAAGAATGAAGAGCTGTACCAGATATCTTGGCATGTATAAAGGCAGTCCAACATCTGCTTATAAAAGTTTGTGCATGTTTCCAAGATATCTGACTAAGTAAATGTGCAGAAATATTTACTGAAGTCCATAAACATTACACTGAAGTACTAAACTACTCCAAGAGCTATGTAGTGGCTGAACATCTGTTGCACAGGATTCTTGGCATGCAGATACTGTTTCTACAGAAAGCATAAAATGTGGATAGTGAGATTTTCAAACTTGCCATAGGCTTTTGGACACTGTCCCTGTTTGAAATGAAGTCTTGGCCCTGCAGGTATATGAAGTGTATGTGCTGGTTGTGCATGTCAGAATTTTAGAGCATCACCCTTTCCAAGCCTTTTCCAAATCCAGGGTGGAAACTCTTTAAACACACCAGAATTTCTGATGGTTTGTGTGAGGTTGTAATTATGCTCTTTAATTTCTTAAAGGTCCTGGGTTTATGTGTACCTGACACCCTGCTGTATCTGCAACTGAAAATTTTGGAGTTCAAGTTGAATTGATTTCTTTTTGTAGTTGTCTACTAAGATCTTTTTTATACTTTGTTTATTCCTTGTTTTTCTTTTTTCCAGGCATCCTTTTAAAGTGCCCTTTCTGCAGAGCTTCCTTCTGCAGGAGACTTTTACTGTTGACAAAAAGCAAAAGCACTATTTCATGGAGACAAAGGTTTTGATAAATGGGGTTGAGGAAACAGTTCAAACTCTTATACTTGGTTACCAACCTGAAAATCCCTATGTGAGTTTTCCAAGAATTTCCTTTAATTTGACATACCAAAAAATTCAGCAAATTAGTGATTTACTGCAGGTATCTTATGTTCCTGCATTTCCTCTCAAACTTTTTTTTTAGATTTGTGCTGGCCTAACTCATCCTTATAACCACAAGTTGTTCCCCAAAGATGTTGAAATATGCATTTTAACTCTAAGTCATCAAAATGTGAGTAAATTTCCCACTAAATTCAGTAGAAGGAGAGATTCATTATCAGTTTATTTACACTTTATTGTCTTTTCAGGCCTAACTTGCTATAGGTCTTTAGTTCCTCACCATGTAACTGCTGCATCCAAAATGTTCAGAGGGTGATTATGTGCTTGGTACCTCCTTAATTTTGTATAATAAAATGTTGCATAGTAATATATGATAAGAATACTTAATATATTATTTTTAGAATATTGTTATACATGGATGTTGTTAATAATAACAAGTGCTGGGATAGAATGGATTCAGGGGTCTCACCCTTATCTAGCTGTATCTATTCATCTTTCTCACCAAATATAGGGGTTTTCTCCTGCTTTTCTAATTTCATTCTGAGCCACAATGTAATACCTCACAACTCTGATTTTTCATGATGTGGAGGGATGACTCTCTCATCTTTCATAATATACAGGGTTAATACTCAATGCAGTTCCCTTATTCCTATTCTTAACATGTAGGTGAAGAATGAATTTGAGACTATCTTGAAGGTGAATAAAGAAGATGTCCTCAGCTTCCTAGGGAGGTATCAGAACAAATCCAGTGAGGCTGATTTTAGACATCTTTTGCACATGGATATGACACAGTCATTCCAGGTATTTGTGGTTTTCACTTTTGGCATTTTATTTTTTATGTCTTGGTGACTGTTTTACTGTATTGTCTTTAATACCATAATTGTTTGATGCTGGTAAATGTCCTAGTCCAATCAAGTCCTGGCCCTGCCAAAGACCCTAAGTATCTCATCAGATTAAATTATAATCTGTATCAATAATATCTCGTAAGAAACACACAGACCTTTTGCTTTCATACTTTTTAAACTGCATTTGGTTTGTTTTTCAGTACCTTTGGATAAAACTGGTAAAATTTTATACACACATTTGCTTATGTGCATGTTCCACCTAATGCTGGAAGTTCAGACACTAATTCACATGAAGTAGTTGCTGGGAATGCAGTGCTCTGTTCTGACGTTTTACTTTGTCAAATAGCTTGAGTTTCCACAGGCAGTGGGCCTCAGTGGGGAGCTGTTTTCCAGGCAGAGCAAACTGGAACACTTTGACTGTGGTGTGAGTGTAAAAGCCATCATCAACAAGAACGTGTCTTCACAGGTCAGTGCCCTGGTTTTACAGCCTTGTTGCTTGGACCTTGTAGCTTTTGCAGTCCATACACTCAGAGCTGTGCTGAGTCTCTGCTCACATGCATTAAGAATACATGGAATACAGCCTGGGAGCTGTTAAACTTCTTGCTAGGAACTGCTTTGCAGCTGCTTTTCAAGCATGGGAACACAAACCTATGTGTATACTACATAGTTGGTCAACTCATGGAACTCAATGAGTACCGTGGAGAGGTATGAATTATTAGGGAAATGGTTAACTTTTGTGGTTAGAGGTTTTTCTGGCCAGATGGCTACCTGTGGTTGGAATAGGTGGCTTGTGTTTTGGCTGAAATTCAGAAAACTCTCAAAGTTAAATTAAATTGTACTTAAAATTCAATGTAGTTCACAATTTTTTTGTTGACAGCTCTAGCATGGTGACAGGGTTGAGATAAGGACAGGCAGACCATGTACCCATTACCTTCACAGACAAAATGAACTCAACTTGGGCAATATTAATTTAGTTTATTGACAAATAAAATTAGAGTTAGATGGTGAGACACAGAGATGAAAACTAAAAACTCCTTTTCCCCTCTGCTCCCTTCCCTGTTTTTGCCCAGTCCCAACTTGCTGTCTGCAGTCTCGTTGCTCAAACTGATGTTTCAGTGTTCTGTGCTGTAATCTGAGACCCTTAATGTCCTGCTCTTCTTTTTCTCTGTGTGCAGGCCCAGGCAGCCCTGAGGAGTTATGGTGAGAGCAACTTCAATGGCTCTCTTCACCTTCACTCCAGTGGAAGGGACATGCTGATGCTGGAGCTCGATGTGAACAATGAAAACAGGAAGAATGGCAGAGCTGTTGCACTGAGGGCTTTTCTCCATCAGACAATCCTGACAAACCCAGAATCGATTCAGCTGCAGCTCATTGGCAAAATGTTTCCATCAAGGTAGAGGAATCAGAATCTTGGTCAACTGAGGAACTGAAAAGTGTTCACTCTGGAACAAGTGCTCGCAGAGCTTGTGGAGTCTCCATACTTGGAGATAACCCCAAACCTGGTCACACACACTCCTGAGCACCCTGCTCTCATTGACCCTGCTTTGAGTGAGAGGAGGAGTGCCTTGACCATCATGAATTAAGCACAATAATATCTTACTAGCAATTTTTATCTCTGTCTTTTTAGACTTCTGTTATCTTCTGAGTTGAAGCTTAATGAAAATAGGCTTCACGTGGATTTCATGGGAGCCAGGGAACAAAAAGCTGGTTTGGTTTTGTCCCTAAATGGAAGAGTCCAACATACATTTGCTGGATTAAAGGCCATACCTCACCTTCTTTCTCTGAATGGATTACTGAAGTGCAAAAACAACATTCATGATGGTACTCTCTTGCTTTGTGTTTTGTTGCTGTTCTGCAGCTATCTAAGGAAGCTTCTTAATTTTAATGTATTCCTTACTGAACTGCATAAGGCATCCAGCTCTTGGGCAAAATAGTGGGTGGCTTCTTTCCTCTGCAGGTCTTCTGAAATAGGAGGGGGCTTGACTTGAGGCTCTTACTCCTCTGAATGGCTTCATGGGTGGAGTAGGTCACTGCAGAGCTCTAGAGGGATTGTTTAGCCTGGAGTTACACAAGCAGTGGATCACAGTCCCTCTGTAAATTTTCCTTCAGAAGGCAGTGCAGTGTAGCTCACGGCCTAAAGGCACAAGCAACTAGGTCAATGAAGTGAAACAGCTGCCAGAAATAGTATTATGTAATTTGTTTTAAACACAAACACTTGTACTGGTAGAGAAACTCTCAACAATAAAATGATTCACTCTCTAGATTAGGTGAAATTATTTGTTACAATAAATGGAAATTAATCTCCTTCCTCCTGGTATTAAATTAATGGTTATTTTTTATGTTGCTTCTAGAACTGTGGTTATTTCTGTCCCAAAGGACTCTCTCCACAGTAATAACTTCTGCCTGTTTCAGGTAATATCAATGTGATGGTCAACAAAACGCTGTATGGACTCCATCTCAGGAACAGGAATGTGTTTGGGAATGTCACTGTACACAACATCACTGTTGCCATGTTTCAGAATGGCAGTCTGGCAATCCCAGTGGAGGCAAGACTGAAAGGGCACCTGGAGCTGAGTAAAGAGATGAAGAGGGGGCTAGCCAGCTTCCAGGTGGATGAGAAGGCTCTTTCTGTGGATTTTTTCAATATCATGAGTCATGGGCACAGCAGAGTCAGTGGGACTTTCACACATAACATCGACTTCTTAAAAAATGCAGGTAAACTCTGACTTGATTGTGTGGTATGACAAGGTGTCAAGGTGAATTTATTTACATGACTGCAGATCAGTGGAAATAGATGAGTTGCTTTTGCTCACACCAGAAAGAACAAAATGTGATCCAGGCTTGGCAACATTCTTTTTAATATTGTTGAGAAAATACAATAAAATAGACACAGAACTAGTTCAAACAGTTTTAAAGTACTTCAGGGTAAATTATTTCTCTCTTGTATATCTGTATTCCTGCAAGCTGATTAGTTCCTTCAAATGTAGTTTTATGCCAAGTGTTGCTTCCTAAGCAAAACCATGGGTTTTGTTGCCATAGAGTTTTTGATTTTTTGATTTTTATAGGCTTTAGAAGTAGTTATGTAGTGAATGTAAATTTTAAAGTAGCTGTGTTATCCCTCACCCTTTAGCACAGTAGTTTATACATTTTCCCAACACTGTTCCCCTTCCCATATCAATTCCGTTAATTCCATTAGCTTGTTTGACTTCCCTCAAGGTAGGCCTTCATCCTGTTTAAGAACATCTGCCCCCTGGCCTGGGGGGCAGATGAAAAATTATATAAAGCTTCTTTTGATCTATAATACATCTTCTCTGTATTTTATAATGACAACCCAGAAGTGCTGTGTTGATTTTGCTTCCTTCCTTGTCAATAGGATTGCCATGGGATGGCATTCTTACTGCCAGGTGTGAGCGTGGCACAGGAAATCACACTGTTGCTGTAGCCCTGCAGAGTGGCAGGGAAGGGATTACTGTTGAGTTTGGAGGGCACAGACTGGCCACAGAACCTCCTAAATCCCAGCTCTCTGTGAGCTTAAAGCACAACATCTCAAAGATAAAGGAACAAGGGATCCCTTTTATTGTAGAGGCTGCTGGCTATTATGAGGTAAGAGTTCTGCCTGTGATTATTTAATTTTTTGGCAGAACAATTTCTAATAACTGTAGGCTTTGCCTTGGGACTATATATATTTATTTTAAAAGCTGCTGCATTTTTGAGAGGTACTGAATTACTGTGTGAAAGAAAGGTGTTTTCTGGCTTCTTGTCATACTGTGTACTTGCCATCTGAAATCTTGGAGCTCAATCTAGAATAAATGAGATGCTGCATTCAGTTTTCATTTAAGTGAAGTGCTTTGTTACATATGAACAGATGTCCTGGTACAGGATTGCTTGGCCACTGTTCTCTCTATCTGCATTTCTGCTATAGACTAAGAGACTCTGCCTTTGCCAGTTGTTGCTGGGATGTTGTTGTTTGTTTCTTTCCATAATTTGGTTTCTTTTGTGCATAGAATTTCACCACAAAGATTGCTGCAGGGATAACAACCACAGTGGAGAAGGAACAGCTCAAAATTGAAATAGAGAAGGAAATCACTGGCAGTGCTGTGGAAATTTCTCTCTCGCTTCACCATGATGTGGGAGCACTGATGGACATTGTTCCACGTGTACTAGAGGTTTGCAGAAATCCCACCATATTTTATAGTGTATTTGATGTAGTGTATTTGAATGCTTCACATCTCAGCTGTTCAGTTGTACCCAGGAGAGCAAGCTGGCAGGTCAGAGGGAAGAGAGATTTTTGTCAAACAAGGCCAGTAGCCAGTACAGAAAACCTAAAAATTGTTTGCTTAGCAATAAAGAGCAGGTTTTTCAAGAAGTGGTGGTAAGAAAACATTTATGTCATGAAACTGGAGTAGGTGTTTGCCCAGGCACAATAACTTGCAATCTCAGCTTTTCCATCCTACTGCTTACTTTCTATCCTAATATTTGAAGATACTGTTCTGTCTTTACCTACGCTGATAATATTTGAGCATAATAATGCACAATTAGAGACATGATATAGCCTCAGATCTACTAAACTGTTTTTCTTTTCGAAACTGAACTCTAACATTTAATCTCAAAGCTATGTTTTGGTATCTTCATCTGTTTTATCCTTCAGCCTTGTAGCTCTCTCCTTTGAATTTTAGTCCTCTCTCATTTTCTTCATGCTCTGTTTGTAATGCCAACAGGTTTCTTGCAGTGGAGAATCTGCTAACAAACAACTTTCTGGCCTTTGCAATGGTGCAATTGCATTTCATCATTTTGAGGTACTGGCTTAATTTATAAACTCTGCTGTCAACAACATACTGTCTTAACTACCACTGAGGGACTCTAAGTACTCAAAGGGTCACACATGTAGAAATGGGTTTGAGCTGACTGGAAGTTTTGCATGCACTCTCAGATATTTTCACTCCTGAAATATTTAGATTCAAACAAGCTACTTCTCCTTCAAAAACTGTTTTAGCTCAAGTCTCCAAACTTTATCTTCTGCCAGTCAGAACTGAACTGGGTATCAATGGCCCTGTCCTGTTACTGAGCAGCCAACCTGACAGAGGAACTGGGCAAGGGAGCATGGGGGGCACAAGCTGAGAATTTCAGTTTATTCCTTACTCTATTTTCTGCTCTTTCTAACTAACAATTTGTTTGTGAAAACCCCTGTGGCTCTTCAACTGTTTGACGAAGATACACCTTATAAGGGGATGTATTCTTAAGAATGTGTTAAAAATGTCTTCTGTGAGTGACATCACAGATTGCATTTGTCTCCATAAAGGCAGTAATCACAGAAACTCTGATTCCTGTGTGTGTGATTTATCTGGTATTAGTAATTGTTTTAGCAGAGTTACGGATTTGGGGTTTTTTCCCTATTATTTCTATTATGGAACTTTAAAGATATTAAGCCATCTCTCCATTTGTTTAGGCATTTATAAACATGTAGGATGAACACAAAATGGTGTAGGGAAATAATTCTCTTCTCTAGTAACATGAACATTTAAAACCAGTATGTGGCCTGACAGGAAAGCAAACTTGACAACAGTTTTCTGTAATTTTTCAGACTCCAGCAAGAGTTTCACTGAATGGGTCAATGTTTACCAGCAACTTTACTGTCATCTTCTTTGGACATGTTTCCTTTCATGACACATTTGCCTGCCTGCAGCTCCAGGGCACTGCCAACATCCAGCCTCATCTGGAAATCCATTTCCAGCATTCTTTGCCTTCACTTCATTCTCTGGGGATTGCCAGAGAGAACCAAGTGAAGGTGTCAGCCCTGAGAAGTGACAAGTATAAGGGCATCCTTGGTGTTGTCCTTGGGCCTTGCAGTCTGAAAGCTGATGGAGAAGTGACCCTGGCAAGCAATGAAACCCAGTGGGTACTTACTGTCAGGAACAAGTGTGTCAGTCTGGAGGTAAGTCCAGATTGTTTTCTGCATGGTCTGTAGTCTGTGATTTCAGATCACAAGTCACAGAGAACTGTCTCCTGACATTGTTATTTATGGACAGGACAATTTCGGTCATTAAAGTTGTTTTGGCAGAGAAATGAGTCGGAGCATTCATGAGGGAAAGTGTATTTGAAGATGTGAATTTGGAGTAATACAATGGTAGATGTTACAGCTGTTGCCATAAAATAGTTGTTTAATAATAGCTTTTTAATTAAAATAAACTTATGTCCTAGAGTCTGGTGAAAAGCATGTCCTTTCTGTTTGAAACCGTGGAGGTATTTCAGGAGTTAAGTTTCTTTTTCTTCTGCATTACTTATGAGAAGATTGTTGTAGGATTTATTCTTTCCCCCCAATTTATTTTGTTTCTGTTGTTTCACTGACAAACTTCTGATTTCTCTGTGAAACAAGCTGTCTTGTATGGTACTTTCCAAAAGCAGATTGTTTCAGAAAGAAGAAATTCTTTCTCATGAATCAGGAACAAATTAGGAAGACAATTGCTTTACCTTGTGTTTTTTAAATAGTACACTCTTTTCTGTTGCAGGAGGTGGGATTGCCTCGTGCAGTGGTCTTTGGGGGCTCATTTCAACAGAACATCTGCAACGTGGGCTTGTTAATGAACCTCCAGTGTGATGGCAGAACAGTTGATGTGCAGATAGACACTTCCTGCCAACACGAATACACACTCCAAGGGATGCTCAGGCACTCACTTCCCTGGCTCAGTCAGCTTGGGCTCCCTTTGGAAAACTCTGTCTTGTTCTCTGCAGCCACAGACTCCGCCACAGAGGGCATTTTGTTGCTGCAGGCTGGCAGATGCAGACTCAAGGCTAGAGGAGATCTCTGTATTCAGGATAAAGCTGAATGGACACTGGAAACAGAATCAGAATGTCAACTTCTGCAGGTAGGTCTTGGAGGCTTTTACAGAGAATTTTGGGATCAAATGCAGGCCATATAAGGTTTTAGCTAAAATAACAGTGTTTGAGTGTTGGAAAGGCACTCTAAAAGAACACCTGTCTTAGAGCATGAGGCCAAGAAGGTGTCTCACAGATCCTGTTCACAGATGTTCTCTCTAGACCGAGATCAGTTCAGTCTTTGCTGTTTGTTGCCTTCACAGACCGAGACTGCCCTCTAAGGCTCAACAGTAGCATTGGTTTGAACTCTCAAAAATATATTCCCTGGTCTGTCTGTTTATATCAAAGTAAAAATTGTGACATTTCCTTGGTTTTTCCGTGTAGTCTCACTGACTTCGTTGGAAAGAATGACTCTTGCAAAATCGGGGGGGTTTCTAGATGTTCACAGGCATTTGTGTTTTGCTTTCAAATCCCCACATTGAGTAACTTCCTCAACTACAAAATAGCAACATAACAACAAAAGTGACAGGAGCCTGAGTATCATCCATAGGGAAGAGGGAATGAAAACCTCTTAAAGTATTAAAAACAGTAGAATTTTCTGTGGTTTTGCAAATCCTTTGTAAGAATGAGCAGAAACACTTCACTGGGGATGCTGCACAAGACAAGTTTGAAGTTTTAGTATTAAAAAAAAAAAAATTGTTCTACCACCAGATGCAAGAATGTCTGTTAGGCCTATTATTTTTTGTGGGTTAGTTTGAAAATTGAGATTTGCCTGGTCTGAATGAAGCAGTGAATGTTCAGTAAACTTTTCCAGTCTGAAGAAACAGACATTTTGTATTTTTGTAAATGGAAAACTTCATAAAGATACAGAAGTTGTAAATTCTGCAGGGCAACCCTAAAATCTTCCCTCAGGCCTTATTCAGGCAAAATCCCAATCTTTCTTGTTGAGAGGGAGAAAAATGGCAGCATGGAGATTGTAGGTTTTGTCTCTGATACTGTAACATAAAATCTCCATTTTTGTATGCTGAGGGAGAAGAAAAAAGCCTTAATACACACCTGTATTAAAGTGTATGTATATTCCAAAGAAATTCTCGTTTTTAAATCTCAATAGGATCTCAGTTTCCCAACTCAGTCACGGCTCACAGGATCCATTCAGAAAGACAAGTGCCAAGCAGAGCTTCTCTCAGTCCTGGAAACAGGAGGCAAAACTGCCCGTCTTGAAGTGAGAGCAGAGTGCAAGCCAAAGATTACTCTGGAAATTCAGTTCAGGCATGACCTCCCCCAGCTGAAGGAAATCCCAAGGGAAAATGAGCTGTCCATCACTGCACGGAAACAGCTGAAATATTTTCTTGGAATAGGAATGAAAGTGGGTGCTTGTGAGCTTCAAATGAATGGGGACTTTGACCCTGAAAAGAAGCTTCAGTGGAAAATGCTTATAGAGAATAAATGCCAAACAATTCAGGTATTGAAAAGAATTTATTGCTTTACTACTGCATTTGTGCATCTAAAGCAGGATCTTTGTACCTAACAAAGTTAAAAGACAATAGTCTAAGGATTTCAGTGGTAGCAGAGAAAAGTAAAACATTATCTTCTTTTAGTGTTACATCTCACCTTTAGAACCAGTTATTCACTCTATTTTCGTATGGTGCAAGCCAGATTTCCTATTAATCAGTACCTGCAGTTAATGGACTTGCTTGTACTAACTCTGATGTGTTTTTTTTTAAGCATGGTTTTAAAGCAGGGCTTTAATCTTCAGAAATAAAAAGTATTCAAAATTCTCTTGGGCTTTATCAGCAGTAACAGTTTCTCAGCAGTTTGACAACCAAACTCTGAAATAGTATGAAAATATATGAAGCAAATAGATAATCTTCAGATCAGAAAATTGAGTGTACAGAAAGTTTGAGAGAGATGTTATCACAGAATAATCTGTAGTTTCATTGTACAAGCCAGAGTAAATCTGAATATACGTAGATGAGATTCACCTGCTCTCTTCCAAAAACAGAGCTGCCATAATAAACATTTGTATACTCTTTGGTTTCACTGGAATTATGGATGCTTTGGGCCACTGGAGCAATTCTAAGCATAGAAAACTGAGTTTTCAGTTAGGCAAGAAGAGCTGCCATGTTGTCCTGTGTTCTATTTTTTCTGGCTCATTTATCAAAAATCATCGGATATATTAAAATTAAAAAAGACAAACTGTAAAAAATATAACAAAAAGCTGTCAGGATTCCTGAGGCATCCTATGGCTGTGCTGCCTGATATACCTCATTTTACAGCTAGGTACTATTAAAGCTGCTATTAGGAACTAAAAGTTTCAGGGGTTAGGTGTTTATGTGGGTGAGTGTAAAAGTGGTGAATTTTAAAATTTGTTTTTTCTTTTACAGGATCTTGGAGCACCAGTGAAAATTGATGGGTCAGGCTACATTTTGACGGATAAAATGAACCTGGATTCACAAACATTGATCACTGTTGATGAAAGTAAATTCCAAGGACTCCTGATACTCAAAGTCACTGATGTAAGCATCCCTCATGCTGTCAGACTGTATGCACAAATTACTGAGTAATGTACTCTAGACTATTTTATTGGGAACAAATAGTCGGCTTTTAGTAAAAAGTGCCAGAATAAAAATAAAATAAAAAATAAAATCTTTGGAAATCTGGCACCTGTAATGTGCAGTAACAAATATACTGGATAATAGGATACAGGCTCTGGCACTTCCTGAATCACTTCCTAGTTATTCTCTTTGTAAATTTTGTTGTTTACATTGTATTATTTGATGTTCCTTGTGTCACCGTGACTTACATTGCAAAATAATAGGCAGGGATTAATTGAGACACTGCTGTTTATTTAAGTAAGACAGTACACAAGATAGGCTGTGAATCTCTTGCTTTCCTGTTGACAGTTAAACTGTTGATGGTTTAGCTTTTCTTGTCATCAGTGCAGGAGAGCAGAGAACACACACAGGTGTCTTATTCTTTGTGATCATTCACTTTCTTGTCCTAACTGGTAATTTCTGCATATTTCTGCCACAGAGAAACAAGATAGCTAGTGGGAGTTCTTTGCCACCACAGAGAAACATTTACAGGTTTTCTCCTCTCAGCTGAAATATATATATATTTTTTATCCTACCTAGGCTTGATGTTTCTTTTCTCTTTCCCTAAGTGTAATTTCCCTAAGTTCAATGCAATTTATTTTAATTAATATTAAATGCAGGACAGAGAGATTTGCTAAATTTCTTGTTTGAGCTCTGTGTTGCAGCAAGCTTTGGGTTCTACACATGCTTTGCTATCTATGCTGTGAAATATTAACAGGAAAGGCAAGAGCTGGATGCAGTGCTAACCCACAACATTCCAGGAGCTGCTGACATTGGCATTCCTATGAAGATGTTAATTGATGTGATATCAGAAAAAACCAGTGACTTCTATAAAAGATTTATTCATTTCTGTGTGAACAGCAAGCAAGTAAGTGTCTCTTCCATGTTAGTGAGATGTGAAATAGAGGTTAAAGTGAGCTAATTGATTTTGTAAATATTGTTTCTCCATTTGAGATAGGCCCCTTGTGCATGAGGCCCCTTTAGGAATACCCTGCAGGGGCTGGTTTGATTTTAAAGACCTTAATTAAATAAAGGCAGTATCTTCCAGCCATTCTTTCTGTGCAGTCACTCCTACAAACAAATATGACAGCAACAATGATCCATGATTCCCACTGGCAAATTGTATCAAACCTTTCTTATCCATTATCTTCACTTGGTGCAGCTCAGTCCCTTTTACAGTACAATTCTTCACTGTAAAGTTTTCCTCATTTTCAGTTTTACTCTAATGTGTTCAATAATTATAATTAATCAGAGAAGTCTCAATATCAGAGATGTGCCACAGTTAACTTTTGTCACATTTACTTGGACCGAACAGATTACAGAAGAACTGAACTTTGTCCAGAAGTTGGATGTTGTGTCTCTTAACTACAAACTCACTCATAACTTAGAGGTGCTGAAGACTTTGCAAATAAAAGACAGGATTGAGCTGCAGGTAAGTTACCAGGCAATGGCAAGGGAGACACAAATCCAGCCTGGAATGATGCCCTGATGGAAGCAGCAGCTGTAAAAGTGAGATGGCAAAGGACAGCGGGTGCAGATGGGATTTTACATGTTTGCTCTTTAGGTGGAGAGGGGAGTCTGGCTGTTCATTTTGTTTGTTATTGAGGAGAGTCCAGAAGCTCAGCTTGCTCCTGAGGGGTTGGGATAATGCCTTACTAGACCAGAACTTTCCATGAGACTGAGAGACTGGAGGTTGGCTCCCATGTGTGGGCAGCCCAAGCCCGGCTGGGCTGGCAGCCTGCCTTGCCTGAGGAGGGCAGTGCAGTTCAGCTCCTGTGCCTCCTCTGTCCCTTCTACAGACTGGGCAGAGGTGAGTTCTGGTGGGATTGCACTGTTTACATTCCAAATGGTATTTTCTTCCCAGGCTCTCATTACCTGGCATGTTTCTTTATCTGAGAAACACAAGCCTGCAACACAACACTTACTCTTTATTAATCCTGTAACTGCTTGAATAGCATTAAGGCATGGCCATACTGGAGAATACATGTTAAAATGCTGAATTTAAAAATAAAAGGGACATCTGTAACTATGTTGTGTTATAAAATTAGACAAGATGAATTTTTTGACACATTTGAGATGACACTGCCTCAGCTAAAGAAAGAACCCTGACCAACAGGAGCTTTAACTTTTACTAAACTCTCTTTTCACAATTTACCTTTGTTGCACACAGGCTGTCTTGAACCTGGAAGTCACCAAGAGCTTTAGTATGAAAGTGCTTTATGGTACTCACCTAACAGTGCTTGAAGGACAAATCCAGGAGTTTGAAACAAGTACCAACATAACAGGGAATTTCCATCACACTTTGCCATGGCTGCTGCAAGCCAGAGTCCCACCATCTTTACAGGTAGTTTTGGTTTGGCTTTTTTTTTTTTTACACAATTATTATCCTTTATTATGATGTAGTAGCCCATGGTTTGAATGAAAACTACCATTTTGTGAGGTACAGGATGGAAGCTGAGATTTTCTGATATTTAAAAACTACGGACAGCTAAAACCTGACCTACTGAAAAAGCAAATTTCTTACTGATTGCTTTCTGAACCAGAGTATTTCATTCTGATCAGTGTCAGTACAGAGGGTATTGTTGATATTGTAACTCTACAGGAGACTAGTTTCATTACCTTGCACAGGGGACTGGAATATTGCTCCTATGCTCTTTAAAGGGAATTTTATACTTAAAGAAGAGCTTCTTCGGGTGTTACTTGCAGGGAAGTATTGGAGCACCTATTATCTAGTAAATATTGTCAGTAGGCATGGATCAAGTATCCTTTATATAAAGGGAGTCATGTGTTTGTGGGATAAAAGAGATCCTAATGAGAATTTGACACGGATCAATGAGGCTGACGTGGCTTGAAATTCATTCAGTCGAATGGCCTTTGTACTGGAAAGTCACAGATGATTAATGAAAGGCTAAGATATGTTTTGTTGATGGATAGATTTTTAACATAAGTATAGACTAGAGAGAACTCCCTTTCACTTCCATTAGTCTCCTGTTTTAAAATTAAATACTATTTAAATGTTGTTTGGAGAACTTATGTCTACGTGTCATTTTTTAGGTAGATGTGGTTTTTCAAGGGAGAAACACTACTCAAGAAAGATATGTACACATTGCAGCTGGAGAAACATCAATCACATACATAATAAACTCCTATTATGTTGGTCACCAAGTGGATATCTTCTGCCAAAGTGTACACAGCAGTGAGGTACTTCAGGCAGCTGGTTATCCTAAGGCAATCAACTTGATTCTCAGCTTACAGGAATCAGGTAGGTACCTGCCATCCCTGGCAGGTTTTTTGTTCTATAATAGCTCTCTGAGGATGTTTCAACTGTTCCTCCAACAGGTGCAAACTGACTAAGACCTAAAAAGAGGTTTTCTCTTCTTTGTAAGTGAAATTGTCATTCTGAAACTGCATCTGTGATTAGTTACATTACATGTTTTTTTAGCTCAAGGGAAGATCTCATGTGGTACAACACCTGGTAAAACAGGTTATCCCTGAGATATTTACCTCCATAAAATAAGATCCAATATCACACAAAAAAACCTTGTTATACAGTGCAAAAAAATGTGAATTCCACTGTAGTTTAAAGTAGTCTTTGAAATAGTTCTAAGTGGCTTTTGTTGTCTGAACTGTGGAGGGGAAACACACCCACCCTGATGAAGCCAGTCTCCTCTGAAAACTTGGCTTGGCATTAATCCTCTCTGCATATCACTCAATGCAGATTTACATTGTGGTCTGTGTGATTTTGTCTTCTCCATGAAGGGTTTGGGGGTTTCCCATCTCTCATCTCACTTTTATCTTGCAGGAGTCTGTATTTGTCTTTTTCGAAAATGAAAAGCTTGTAGGAAAGTGGGGAAAGGGCCTTCAGGTCATGTTGTTTGAGCAGTGTTGGGTTGCTGTAGCTGGAACCAGAGGAGTCACTAGAGGTCAGAACAGCTCAGAGCTCTTCTCTGGAAGTGGCTGCTACTTGCCACAGGCTGCAGTTGGTTGTGGGAACTAGTCAGCTCTCCTGCAAAAAAACATGACTGATGGGAACTGACCTGACACTTTACCCTTATCCTGGGTACACAAGCTCTGTTACCTCAAGACTTTGTAAGGTCAAGGCTCAAGGACATCCAGAAAAAACTCTACACTCCTCCAATCACAGGTCAAAGCTCTTGTAATCCCGAATGATGACCCAAATGCTGGCTGGATTGATTTTATGCAGGCAGAACTGAAATTCCTCAAAAACATGCCACTCAAATTGGCACTGTCCTGTTCTTTCTATATAGAAAACAAAGCCAAGACTGTCTGTGAAATCCAATATGATGAGAAAGATATAACTGTGACTGTGGATGTTGGCACAGACTTTCAACTCTTCGGTGTATTTGTGTTCATGGCAGAGGTGAAGCATTCCATATCACTTCTCCATCATCTGGGGCTTCCCTTCTTTCTTAAGGTAATCCACCCTCGATCTTTTGCTGTGCTTTGATTAGAGCTGTCATTTGAGTTACACTTACATGAATCCAGAGCACCTCCAGGAGCCTCAGTGAAATTACTCCAGGTTTACACAAGTGCAGATGAGAAGTGACTTGCCCAGTTTATCTGAATCCTCCTTTAACTTAAGTCCACAGCTAGTGGTCTTTTTCCAAGGAAACTGGTCAGGTACCTGAAATTCCCAGTTTCAGGGTTCATCATTTCAGGAAGGCATGCATTTACTGTCACCTCCTAGCTGATGAGCTAACCTCCACTTCAAATTGCAAGATACATAGTTAGGATACAAGATTAAAGGTTGTCTTTCCTGAACATAAATATTAGACCAATATTAAACCTTCATATTAAGTGCCAGTGTTTCAAGTGTATATTTAATGCCAACATTTTATTGAAAAGTATTAGATATATCCCCTGCTTCTTCCCCCTTAATATTTAGTGAAGTGTCTTTTATCTTCCAAATGTTTCAATGAAGAAAAGAAGAGCAGAGATAGTAATTCTTGAGGTGCTTTATTCATGTATGAGGTATAACTGTAACATGGGACTTCAGAAATTATTGTTCCCACAGACTTTGGCAAACGTATTGATATTTAAGTGTCCCAATCTTCCCCAGAGGGATTCCATAGCATTTCAAGGATAAAGTTGTAGATGATCCAGGAGCTGTGAGAGGAAGAAAATACCCTGCAGTAAAAGATTTATGGAGCCCAATCTGTTTCTTAAAAAAAAAAAAAATTCTTTACAGTATATGAAAAAGGAGACTGGGGGAGATATGAACAAGAAACAGTGGCTTTAGACTTAAATCAGGTAAGGGTACATGGAAAGTAAGGCTAATATTTATCAATAATGCAAATTAGTAGCTATGGAAACACACAGAAGAAATGGAAAACATCTCTTGAGGTTTTTGGTTTACATCCAGAAAGCATCTAGAAGGCCTGCCTGGAAGATAAACTTCAGTCAAGATGATGATTTTAAGTGAGTCAAGAAGTCGTGCTCAGTTGACGTGAAATGTTGGGGTAGAGGTTATGGCATGTGATTTGTTTATTTTCCCCCTCCACAGGTGACAATTCAGGAAGTCCTGACTGAAAATGAAACTGCAGGAGCTCTGAGGCTGACCTATGAACAAAACACAAACTTCTCCTTTGCCATCAGTAGGAAAAAAGACCAGCAGGGGTAAAAGAGTCATTCTGAGCACTGTAGAAATATCACTAGGCCACTGTGATTCCATGGAAAAAAGTTACTGTTTGAATCACCAAATCACTGGTGAAATGGATAACAAATCTTGCAGAAAGTGAGTAGTCACATCAAACAACCTGTTCACCTCAGGAAGTTTATGAAGGGCTGCAGATTCCTCACAGCTTGGGGTATGCCTCTCTCTTTGCCTGCCCCCACAGCATCGAGGTAGCAGACAGTGAAATAATCCATAAAACTCTAGGTTTGAGCCAGACAAGTACTTAAAAATATACCTTAAGTCGACATAACTGTTTAAATCTTATTAAATCATTTTGGCACCATTGAAACTTGTAAAATTACAGAGACTTGGTTTTCTAAGTTGGAATCAGTATGGCTGTATCTGCATAAAACTAGGATTTTGAGGATGTTTAAGAGGTGTGATATTTTCAGCCTTGGGGTATTTCAGATATTTCTTAATTTTCTAGCAAAAGACCTTTGCATTGAAAAGTCTTTAAAGTTCTTTTAGATTCTCTAATAGTTCTAAGTTTGTAAACTATGACAGTTCTTGCAAAGTCAGATTCCAAAGTACCTATACAATTTTTAAAAAGCTGATGCATTTTCTATGGCAAAGTAATTTCTGTTTCAGTGGGCTACATTCTGCCCCTGGGATGCACACAGATTTTTCACTGAGGTCAAAGGTGCTCTTTGGTCTCCTCTACCTTTGTGTGAATGCATCAAAAACTGGGAGCTGGGTGAGTGTTCAGTGGAAGGTACTGCCATTTGTAACTCTGAAACCTGTGGCGGACTTGGAGTAACTCAGATGAACTTGTGCTGCCAGTGAGAGTGTACTTCCTGAAATATTGTTGAACAAAAGTACATTTCTTCCCTTTAGTGAAGAGTTGAATATAAAAGCACTCCAGACTCATCCCTTCTTTCTACAGTACTTCCCCAGTGCAGCAGAAGTGTCTTCTAAGGTAACTATCTGCAAGTTATCTATCACGTACATCACTGCAAATTAGACTTGTCTAATATTTTGGGAGTCAAGCTACATTATGTCTAGTACTAGTAACTGACATCTTTGTTGTTGTCCAGGATGTTCACATTTTCAGAGATTCTAACAATCTTTCTTCTTTCTTTTTTCCTTTTTTTTTTTTTTTTAATTTAATGGGAATTTGAAAAGGTAAATTATGATATGAGCGAAGCAAAAGGCAAACTCTGCCTCAGGATGGAAAAAAGGGATTTCAATGTCACAGCGAAGCTCACTTTGACTGGAACCAGCTACACCAATTCCCTTGAAATAGTACAGACCATGTCCCAGGTTGGTATCATTGACTCTGAGGGCAAACCCAGGCTGTGACTGCCCCGTTTTAGAGGGGGGTGTTCAGGATGTGGTTGCCAAACACTGAGGGTCAAATACAGCTCCTGCTGTGTGATGTGTTTTGCCCTTGATTTCTCCAGCAGCTTGAGCAAACATTTGACTGCAGATTAGTTGTGAGTCCACTGCTTGATTTTATATTTGTTTGCTCCTATAGATGGAGCACATATATAGGATTTATAGGAAATCAGAAAAATAATATACTACAAACTGACCAATTGCCAATTTTTATTATGCAGATACCATACATTTCTTTTTCTAAATAAGGAAGAAAAGATGTCATAAATAGATATTGTTGTTTGTGTTATCTTCTGGATTTATTCTGTATGTTGTAAGAATTATACTGTGAGAGGAAAGAGAAAATGAAATTGTATATTAAGCAAAGACTATTGTAAAGGGGACACTCAGTTGTTCCATTGTGTGAAAAGATGACTTACTGTAGAAATGAAGACAAGTAGAAATGAATAGCTGCTTATACAAGAGCAATGGGCTTAGAGTATCATTGTACTTTTAAAAACACATTCCTAAAACTAGACCCTACAGGACTTTATAGTACCAAAATTACACTTAGATTTTTAACTTCTCAGAGAAATTGGGATTTAATGTTTCCTCTCTTTCATTTGTAGTTAAAAATGGTTCCAAGGCAGCTTGTGTTTATGACTGTTTACCAAAAGGGCAACAGGACACGTATGCTGAGGCACATTGCTCTGTGGGATGGCAAAGAGACAAAGGTAACAGGCACTTACACTGGACTCTTCCCAAAGTTGCCTGGAGGTCATGACATTCAGGGTAGGTTTCTTAAGTCTTTTGCCAGTGTCAATAGCAAACTATAAAATAAAACAAACAACATAAATCTGATTTCAAAATGCATATTCAAAATGCATGTCCAAATGGTTTCAATCCTGGTTCCAATATAGGCCTTCTAGGATCTTATATGCTTTAAATTCATTGTAATCTGGCTGTTAGAAACATCCACTTCAGAATACTATTTCTGCTTTGTGGATGTGGAACATAAAACTTATATAAACTTTTTAAAACTGTAGTAGATTCTGGTACTCTACTGCACTGGGTACTGAAGGGAGCACTGATCACACTGGCCACTACTTTGTTGAGGCTTTGTTATCTGAAAATAAAGAAAAAAACTGCATTTACTTATTTGAGATGTTCCTCTTCCACTGTAAGGCATTCTCAACTTCAAACAGGTTATTTTCCTGGCTGTTCTTGCTGCTTTGGGTGTAGCTATCAATCTTTTGATTATTGCAGGTAACTGCTGTTTAGCTGGTAGATAGAGGGCTCCTGTTTTCACTTGCATTTCCTCACATTGAGCAGAAATCAGCACACTGCAGTCATTTGGGCTGTTGGGAAGGTGATGTGTGTGTGTGAGCAAAGACATTGCTTCTCTGGGAACCAAATGCTGCCCTGCTGTCAGTGAGAGAGTATGTCCTAATGCCTTTTTCTTTATCAAAAAACGAAGACTCATGATTTGTGGTGAGGAAATCTTACTTGTTTGCTTTTTTTCCTTGTAGTGGAACTTTTCCATCCTCTCTCCATCCCTTTCCCACGGCATGCCAGGGCCAACTTATATGTGAAACATTCGGCACGTCATCACCAGGATGATCTTACTGTCATTTGGAATGAGGAGGACCAGGTACAGCAGTCCAGAGCAAATAAATATCAGCAATATCAAATGGTTCTTCTTTTCTTTTTTTCTGTGTTTTTTTTTGTTTGTTTGTTTGTTTTGTTTTGTTTTGTTTTGTTTTTTAATCTTATTAAACAAGCCAGGGAATTCAAGCAGGAGGCAAACTATCCTTCTTGGAAATGTAAAAGGCTTCAACTATGGAAGATGAGCAGCTGATATTCTTGTTGGAAACATTTTCAGGCCATGCTAATTTTTTTATTTGCAGTAAACCCACAACTTGCTCCTTAACCCAAGGCAATGAAATGGATGTGCTTTAAAGCAGTGGGTAAAGGCCTTTGAGAGTGAGTGGAAAGAATAGTACAAACATCATGTTCAAAGCAGCGTAGGGGAAAAAAAATAGAATTTAAGACAAATGAGTAAGAGTGAGCATTACTGTGAGGCTGAAAAGGATGGACAACCTGTTGCATGGGTATAATATTGTGTTTGCCCACACAGAAGTGTGACACATACCTGTACTTGGTGTTTTCAGCTTTACTGATGTAGTCAAAGCTTTTTTGTATTTCACTCCTCTAAGTAGTGAGAATGACAAATATGGCACAGTTGAAACCAGTCTTTGCCTTCTTAAATTAAATCAGCATTATTTTTAAAAATATAAATAGTAAAAATGACAGAACGAGGAGAACTTGGGGTAGGTTGATTGCCAGGTGTGGTTAAATGGGGACACTTACTGACTTGCTGCAAACTGTGCTATCTGTGTATGTGTGTCTGAAATGCAGCACCTTGGCTGAGTACTACATTGTTTTCTGAAAATAGAAAGATAAAAGGCAATATGTAAGACACATTAACATATAGAATGTTTTTTCTTGTGCTTTGATGTGCTTTGACTGTGCAAGCTCTTTCTAAGCACTCTCTGTCAGTGCAGCCTGCAGTGCCTAAAGATAAGACAAAAATTAAACCTCAACAAACTTAAGCATTGTTCATGGTTTTAGTAAAACACAGAGAATAGTTTTCCTTTCACCTGTGCCATGTAATTCAAGTAGCAGGAATATCCTCATTTGAACATTAATTTGCCTCACTACTTCAAAAAGGACTTTATTAGGCACATAATTCATCTATGGAAAAGGTACAGGGAAATCTTACTTGGGTGTGTGTTTGAGGTCAGTATGTGAGAGCTGTTTTATTTCACAAGTTCCTTTTACATCTGTTGCTATGGATCAGATATCAGTGTCATCTTCTCTCAAGTTTGGAAGACACCGGACAAACTACAGAGCCACTGTTGCCCACCCATTTAATTACACCCTGAAGCAACTGGAGATCCATTCCCTGTCAGAAAGAAGGGGCAGAAAGTACAACCAGCAGGTGAGAGCATGAGAAAGGGCTGCAAAATACACGTCTGTCATGCTGTATTTACTGTTAGTGTGCCTTTCATCTCTGAGAATGGCAGAACCAGATATCACCATGAAAAATGTAAAGAGAACCAAGGGCTATTTTCTCCTTGTGTCCAAACCACCAGCATTGTTTCCTTTTCTAAGCATAACTGCTTTTGACTGACAGTCTTGCACTTTTAGCATTGACCCATTTTGGATGGTAGGAAGCTAGAAGTGCACAGGGGGCAGCCTAGCAGTGAAAATCAGACAAATTTTCTCCACAAAGAAATGAACAAATTTCTAGTGCACATACTCCAAAACCTTCAAACAAACAACCTCCCCCCAAAAAAACCCCAGAACACAACCTAACCAGAAACCTTTGATACCCCTGTGGAGCAAACATAAATTTTTGGACTGTATGGAAAATTGCCACACAAGTGTGAAAAAAATACGCAAGACTAGAAAGGCTTTAAAATACAATTATGAGTGCACTTGCAAAGCATATGTAGGGAAAAAGAGGAGGAGGAACTCCACAAATCATCCTTCAAGATTAGAGACTGTAGTTGTATTTTCTGTCTGAAAATGTGCTTCATGAATCAGGACACTCCAGCTGCTGAGGCTGAAGATTTTCTGCTCAATAATGAGCTGTGCCAACTGTGCAGTGTTGTTTGTTCTTTGGTGCTCTTGGTTTGCACTTAGTACTCAGTACCTCTCAAGAATCTTATTCAGAGGAATAAATTCTCTTGTAGGGTCATTATTCCAGTGGTGTCATTATTTGCTGTACAGGACAGACCCCAGGCAGCTTCCAGAGAAGGCAACAAAATACTTGCACTGCCTCGGTTGTAGCAGCACAGTTTCCCCGTGCTGGTCTCCAGACCACAGAGCCTGTTGCAGTTTTCATTGTGGTTCTGTTTCTCTCCACTGGATGGGGATCGTTCTGCTGGATCACCCTGCAGCTCTTCTGCTGGTTCAAGTCTTGCTGCTGGACAAATCCTTCTCTTTGATTTCAGCTGCAGCTGGCAGGGAATGCTGGGCAGCCTGCTGACATCCGACTGTCCCTGGAGGATAAATCCAAGGTGGACATCACTGCCTGGGTGGGCTGTGTGACACTCTCTGCAGGCCAGGTAGACTCTCAGAAGGGAGGGGTTTGGTTTTTTTCTTCTGCACTTGTTACCATGTGAAAGCCTTTTACTTGAAACCAATCTTTTCGTGTCTGAAGAATTTAGTTTCAAGTTGCCAGATGTGGTTTTATTGGGGCTGCAGCTTTCCCTCGGGACAGAATTGTCAACCCCTCAGGTTTCCTGGCAGAGGTTGAAGCAGTGTTTTATGGATATAGACCATTCAGGGGTTCTCACAGGGGTGTATTTTTGCCCAGGAAATGTACTGCCCCAGGATATACTGAACATATTTATTTTTTAATTAATTATGTGTGTCAATTTTTTCCTCTCTTCCAGCTTCAGAGAATATTAAGTATGGAACACCTGCATGCATGTGGGTCTCTAGAGCAAAAATCAACACTGTTTAATGAATATCTAGATCTGAACTGGGATGACAAAAAAATCAAACACAATTTAACATATGAGGTAAGAGAAGGTAGTTGTATCTGTTAACTCACCATTTTTATGAAAGCTGTTCTTAATAGATGAGAAATTATTTCTGTTTTAGACATAATGTTGCATGGATTTTAAGAAAGCTTCTGTGGAGTCCAATTTTCTGTGAAATATCAATATTTGACTCTATCTTTTACATATTTCTCTACATAGGAAGAAAGATAAATGTAGCATATTAAAGAAAGAAACAGTTTTTACCAACTAGAAGCCTCACTTGTGCTCTAAATTTGCAAAACTTTAGAGTTAATTCTGAAGGACAGGAACCAGAAACAAGGCTGATGATCTAAAACACTGTCAAGTGGAAATGTTATGTTTCAAAAATGTTACATTAAAATCCTGAAGCTACTAGAATAACAAAAAACCAGCACAGGGACGGGGTGAGTGGGCACCCAGGAGTGTCTAAGATCCTGTTGTCATATTTTAACTTTGTTTTCTTGGTTCATTGCAGAGAAATCAATTCTTGTATCCTGATAAATTCCAGTTAGAAGCTGTCCTAGAAAATATTTTCCTGACCCCATGCACCAAACAGAAGATTCTGGGTAAAATAGAAACAAACTACTGCTCTTCCCTGGATCATTATACAAGCTTTGAGCTCTGTGACCTTCAAAATGTAAGTCTCAGATAAACATACTGAACCTACTTCACTTTAAATGTAATTACTGTTTTGGAGACTCAATTTTCCTCAGCTGCAACTCTTCATGAGAATTGCCATACTTCTGTGACCTAAATAAATAAACAGTGTCTTTTGATGGGCTGAGGCAGAAAGGTTCTGTTTGCCACTGTAGTATGTTCTATAGGCCCTGCTGTGGGTGTAAAGATTCCCACTTCCTCCATGTTCTTTCTCTCCTATTCCTCTTTCAAAGGTCTTTTAATTTCATGTTTCTGGAGAATATCAAAACAGGCTCATAAGTGATCAAAAAGGAAACTAGAGAGCAATAAAAGTGCTTTCCTTCCCCTGTGGGTAAATGTTTACTGGTTTTTATGATTGCTCTGCTGGTAGTGATGGATTTTTGAACTTTAATGTAACCTTTATTTCTATTAAACACATAAAATGAAGACCAATCCATGATCTTCTTTAGGTGCACACTGGACCTCTGAGTTGCCTATAGATACTCACAGCAAACACAAAAACTGGAACTTGCAGAAAATGTCTTCATTTACATACATGTTTTCAGTTCCCAGTGACTGAAACACATCCCAGTTTCCAGCAGGTCACGTTCTGTTAGCAATGGGAAACAGAAGCCAAACTTTGATGCCTGTGAAAACTTCTTCCAAGACTAAGGTGTGATAGAGCCTGTTAATAATGCAAAGAATGTATATGTATGTCACTTCAAAATCAGATGCCTCTGTATTCTTTTAGATCCTTCTTTTTCAAAGGCATCATGCTAGAAATTAAGCACCAAGCAGCTGCTCTCTCAGCCCCTCTCTCTCCCCCCACCAGCCCTGTAGAATGGGGAGGAGAATCAAAGTAAAACTTGTAGGTTGAGATAAAAACAGTTTAATAATTGAAAACAAAGTAAAATACAATAATAATGGTAAATAATAATAATGATAATAAAAAGGGAAAGGAAAAAAAAAACCAACCAGGTGATGCACAATGCAATTGCTCACCACCTGCTTGCTGATGCCAGACCCCCTTCCTAAACCCAGATTGACCCCTTCCAGATAACTCCCACAATTTATATACTGGGCATGATGTTCCGTGGTGTGGAATATCCCTTTGGTCATTTCAGGTCACCTCTCCCAGCTGTGCCCCCCTCCCAGTTTCTTTTGTGCACTTCCTCACTGGCAGACAAAAAAAAAAAAAAAAAAAAAAAAAAAGAAAAGAAAAAAAAAAGTCCTTGACTTAGGATAAACAGGATTTAACATACTGATGTTTTGGGTTTTGCTATCGATATTATTCTCATTCTGAATCCAAAACACAGCACTGCACCAGCTACTGAGGGGAAATTAACTCTATCCCAGTCAAACCCAGGACAAATATCCACCTCACCTCCCACCCCCCCCAACTTTATCAAAATGCCTAGCCAGAGTTGCTGAGAAGCACAGGAGCAAAAAAAAAGTGGATGTTTTAACAAAATATAGTTTCTAACTGTTCCTCTGGTCTTAGGCTGCAATCACTGAATGTATTTTTTTATACAACAGAAACTGAAGATGTAACAAAGTGAGACAGTGTGAGGAGGAAGATGTGCTGGTTTCTGAAACTACAAGTTTTGTTCATCTCTTCACTGTGTAAATTCCAGGAGAATGCTACCATTGTACAACTTCCTACTACTCTGTGCAGAACCCATCTTTAGAAGAATTAAACTTTAACACCCTTTTTTTTGTGCATACTTAGGTAATTGTTTTATCTGGAAAACACCAGCTCAACAAAGATAACATCATTTTGCAGTCAGAGGGCAGATTCCACCTTGGTGATCACAGGACAGATGGGGGGTTGATTGGAGTATCCATAAAGAATCAGAGCACTGCTGATGTGAAGAACTATTCTATGGAAATTGATGTGAGTTTTTATTTTATTTTAGTGGCACTGGGTTTTGGATTTTAAAGGCCTGCTGCCATCTATCTCCCAAACAAATCAGGTGCAGCCAGTGACTGTAAAACAGCAGGCAGCTTAAAATATTCCTGGTTTCTCCAGTTCTGTTTATAAGGGAGCAGTTACATCATGTCCATGTGGTGTGATTGAGAGAGGAAGGCACCAACATTAGTTATCTGCAGAGCTCAAGCCCAAATATAATAAGTGTGTATCAAGGGAGTATATCAGTTTTAAGAAGCTGTGGGGTTTTATAGCTCACCTTCAGCATGACTGATCTGTTTGCTGAGGCTTGTTTTTTTCACCTCATCAAAAAAAAAAAAAAAAAAAAAGAGGGAAACAAAATACAATACTTATAAAAAGCATCATTTACCAGAAAAAAGAACTGGCTTTAAAAAGGCACAGAAACGCTCATATGATGCTCATCTGAGGCAAATCTCTTCCTTTTACCCTCTGTTTCACATTTGCTTTTAATTTCCTGTGAAATAAAGAGGGTGGAGAAGCTGGTGGTGGAAACGGAGTGAGGTAGAAAAGTAATGTGTTCAGCACCAACCAAACTCTTCAGTAGCAGGGATGTGGGTACTCAGGCTTTCATTGCTACCAGTAAAATTTTGTCCAGGAGCCTTGTGCTATCCAATCATTCAGCTCCTGAGCCAGTCACTCTGATGCTTGTGCCTCTCTTAGTGTAACTCCTACACAGTGCACAAACATCGGGAAACACTTCCCTCACCACTTACTGTTCTGTGGGAAGCACTGATATTCGAGCATCATCTCTGAACAATCATTTAATTCTGTGTTGTGGCTTTGAATAAACGTTTTTCCTTTATGGCTGCAGTTAAGAGCCTTTGAAGATATTTGGCTAGGCCTGGCAGGAACTGCTACTTCCTCATCTCTCCAGAGCCAAATCCTGGTGGAGGGGAATATTGATCAGAAAGAGAAAGTAAAAGTGGCAGCTTCAAAAGGAAAGGAGTGCATTCAGTACTACCTGGGGTATCTGAAAGGTATGTACCTTCACTGACAATGCTTGTAGCCACATGATTTAGTTTTAGGTAATCCTACAAGGAGCAGGGAGCTGCACTTGGTGATCCTTATGGGTCCCTTCCAACTGGAGCCATTCTGTGATTCCCAGCTGTCATTGCTGTGAAGAAGCTGGATGAAAGGCTGTGTCTCTAGTGCCAAGCTGGGTCAGTTCATGGTGATTCAAGGTCTTTCAGATTAAAAAAAAGCTGAAACTTAAAACTTGTTACACAAAGGTCAGTTTGGGAGACGTTTTGGTTTCAGTTATGGATTCGCCTTTCCACACTTCTGCAGAGGAATTTTTCACAGGTTCATGGCCTCACTTGTAAGTGCTGTGATGTATTTGAGATTAGGATCATTAGTTTGTGAATCACTGAAGTCAGAAGTTTGTAACTGGTTCAACTCAACTCTCTCCACCCAGACTCTCCGTGCCTTTGCCAACCGTTTCTGTTTATGCTCCTCAGTGCTTGGGTAGAAGTGCCTTTGGTGTGTGATGGGTGGTCCTGCCAGGCTGAGCAGTTTTGAAACATCGAGACAGTGAAGGCTAAAGTAGAAAAGAAACTTGTAAATCACTGTGACTGAGAGAACTATTTAGATTTACCTCAATCCAGTGCTTCATTTGCCGTAGCAAATCTGTAGTTGTAAGTCGTTCACAAGCCACACAGAAGAGAAAGATCAAACACTGATCTAATTGTCTCCTGTTTATCTCTTTTTTTTTTTTTCCCCCCACAAACACCTAACACACTCAGACATTGATTGATCACCTACTACGTAGTAATTAAAAGCTGTCTTTGAAACAATGTCTGTCAGTGTTGTTCCTGTAAACGAAGCGCTGTCTTTTTGTTCCCTAAGGGGATTTGGAAGAAGGAATGGAAGTCAGTGCTTGTTCTGATGGGCAGGAGATGGCTGCCATTAACACCTATCTCAGCATCAATGGAGAAAGGCAGGAAAACACGGGACAAGTGACTCTAGCAGCTGCTAATGGAAGCTTGAGTTTTCTGGCTCATGGATGCGGGGATCCAGTTCTTAAGGCTGAGGTGAGACCCTTGAGTGGCTGTTAACTGCGGTGTGGTTTTCCCGGAATATTGTTTAATTTTGTTAATTTACTGGAACATCTTCCTCGTAGGATTCAGGTGTGAGTTTTGGTGAGTAGCCAGGCAAAATTATATAATTTTATAAACTCATAATAACGTTAATTTCACATTGATGTGAAAAGTTATCATGGTGAGAATTAAAAAGTTCAGCCATACCCAGAGACAGAAAATACGGGACCCTCTCCTGAAGGGTGAGTCCTCTGAGGAGGGTAAGTAAATAAAATGAGAGCAGCAGTAACTGCTCAGTATGTTGGTTACAAAACTAAGATTAGTATTCCTGACTGTGCTTTGACTTCTAATAGGGTTTCACATAGTCTCTGCTTGGAGGAGGGTTTTTGAATTTTCATCCTTAGACCTTCTGTTCCCATGTCTATCCATTGAATAAGGCAGAAGTAATTCCCCCTGAGAAATGGGACGCCACTGTGGAAATTTGCTGGCATTTAAACTAGTACAAACTTTGAGTGATTTGGACCCAGAACAAGCAGGTTTAAGTCATAAATTCAAGGTTTTTATTAATCTTACAGTACAAGCTTAATGAAATTGGGAGTCTTTTGAAAACCAAACTGATGGAAAAGATAAAGAAGTTTGATGGATACATGTGGAGATTCAGGAGATCAGTAAGTATCTGTACATATCTGTGAAAACACCATGAGGTGTTCAGGCAGTGTTAATTAAAATCATTACATTGCCTGCAGTTGTTTTGTTTTGCTCAAACATTTAAATGATTACTCCTGTGCTGACAGCTAACTCAGACAAAGAGCATGTTTCATGTAGAGATCTTGTATCTCTGCACCCACACCGAGGAGTCAGAATTGCCTCACCACGGAGTCAAAGCTTTGCACGAGATCAGTGTGTATTTTGATATTGCTTGTTATTCGGGAACCACTGTAGGTGCAGCAAGTTGGTTTCCTGTCTGAAGCAGCTGGCTGGCCTTCCACAGCCTTGCAGAAGGCAGCAGGATTCCTGCTCAGCGGGGGCAGAGCTGTCGCCCAGGCGTGGAAGCAAAGTGGAATCGGGCAGATCCTGAGGAGCAAGGTCCCGCTTTACCTGGATAAAGTTCAAGGCATTGTCCAGCAAATGCAGAACGAATTACAAAGTAAGCAAAACTGAGAAAAGCGAGGAGAATAAGGACAATGTCAGTGCAGGGCAAAACAAACTTGACTACAAACTATAAAATATGCTGACAGCATAAAGGTTTCTATTTTGATCCAGCAAAAAGTGCTGACCTTGGCTCTTAGTGTACAGAGTGGGAGCCTTGATGCAATAAACCCAAAGTAAGCTCTCTGTGAGCACCTTTCTAATGAAATCAGTGATGAGACATTCTCTGCGTCACAGGAGGCCGAGTTCAGATGAGAACAGAGCCCTAATTCCTAAGCTGAAGTATTTCTGCTAACAACTCCCTGGCAAGCCTTTCCTCCCAAAGGGCTGTTCATATCCATCCTTGAGTTTTGAATGCTTGTACTAATCGGATTTCACTTGATCTGTTTGTTCCAAGCCTGTCCAGTAGTCTCTAATTCACTGTTCAGCTGGACTGTGGCCCATCCTGAAACCTTTGAGTTTTAGCTGTGAGTTCTCACAAGAGTAAAACCTCACTTTGGGCCACTTACCTCTAAGCTCTTCCCACACAAAAGTTGGTTTTAGTTGACATACCATCTTTGAAATCGGTTGTGACCAAACTGTCCTGTTGCTAATCAGATGTAGTTTGTGCAGTACACTCTGATGGTGGCATATTGCAAAGCACTCCTCACATCTTTTGGACAGCAGCAGTGTATTTAAAAGGGGCTCAAGATTAGAGCTAAATGCCTCTTTCAGTTTTCCCTAACACTGTCCACACACAGAGCTGTGCAATGTGCCCAAACTGCCACAAAAACAAAGCTGCCTCTTCCTGTTTTGTGTGTCTCCCCTTCCCTTATGCTGGAATTTGTGAGGAAACAAGCAAACAAACAAGAAAAGAACCACTTTGCACCACACCAGCTAAGGTTTGTTTCATTAATGTGTTTGCTTCAGAGCCACTAGCAACTTTGAAGGATGCCTACTATGACGTAACCTTGAAGCCACTGGATGAGGTCTGGAAAGAGAAGACAGAAGAGTACATGAAGAAAATCCAGGCTTTTTTACCCAATATTGTAAAGGATGCATGGCTCATGGAACCAATCCAGCTGGCATTAAAGGTTGTGAAAGCAGCCTTGGATACGGTTGGTATAACTCAGTTCTCCATTTTTAGTGGTTTGTAAGGCAAGGCCTACAAATTTAAGTCTCAGCTTTGAACTATGGATACACAAAGATGATTAACTATTTTGTTTATGGAAATAGTGCAGTTATCTTTACACATAACAAACTTGTGCACAGCTAACTTACTGTTCTTGCAGTGTGTGTCCTGCCTTGAAAGCAGTACTTTTCCAGCTAGAGGAGAGGTTGTTTCACTAGTTCTGGTTGAAAGCACAGCAGCAATCTGTCATTCATGTAGATTTTGCTTTTCTTCCATAGAAGATGAACTGTGATTCCAGCAAACAATGTACAGATTTGGGATCTTCTAGTTAAAATGAGGAGCATAAAATATATCATGCTAATTTATATTAACAAAGATACCAATCCTTTGCAAGCTACTGAAGTGCATTAACTCAGTGAAGTATTGGTATACTTTAAGTAATGTTATTTAGGAAGGACATATTTCTGTCCATCTTTTGTAGCTGTTGTGAGTAGAGCCTGCCCTCTGGATATTAACCTCTAAATGACAGGCAAGTGACAAATGCAAGAGAGACTTAAGTGCTATTTCACTGACTGTCCATTTAAAACTGACTGTCGATTTAGCAAGTACTGGCCCTGCTCTGAAGCCATCCTGAAGTCAGTTTTGTAATCTCCTCTTCTGACTCTCCAACAGACCACACAGCAGATGTTCAGGTGGGCAGAGGCCACATTTTCCAGAGCTGTGAGGAAGATCCGGAAGCCCTTGCTCAACCTGTACAGTTTTTCAGCCAGGTAACTGGTGTTCCTGCAGGATCCCTGATGCTGGGTGCTGTTCTAAATGGATATGTGCATAGTTAGTCTTCCTATCAGTTTGCAGGCTGAGGGTTCTGGACAGACACCCAACTCCTCCTGCTTTGGGCATAAGACACCCTAATGTTCATTTCTGAACATTGGGCTGTCAGACCCAACTGCCTTTCAACAGGAGCTACTGGGCAGCAAAAGAATAGTAACAACTGATAACTGGCCTTTTATGGCCTTGGGCAGTGCAGCTGTTGGCCAGTGTGGGGCTGTTCTAACCACACTGCAGTTCTTATGAATATTTCACTTCCACATTTCTTATAGCAAACCAACAGCATGTCCTCAGTTGAGCAGATAAAGGCTCCTGACCGTTTTGTTTGCGTTCCACAGGAACTGTTCCGTGGCAATAAAACTGCCAGTACTGCCCAAAGGAGACCACTCCCTACAGCTGGCAAATGTTCCTACTTATCTCGTTCGAGAGAAAATAATGAGGCCTCTGCAAGACCTCTACAAAATCAACATCCTTGCAGAGTATTATAGATTCAAACGGAGGATGGTGGAGAGTCCCTTTGAATGTAAGCCCTTTCAACGTGCTGCTTTCTTTTGTAACTGGGTCCACTTGGTGCTATATTTGAAAAATCAGATTTGGAATAGTACTTTACTATGGATGGTTGCTAATTAATAATTTTCCATCAACTTTATATAGTCTTTCCTGTAAGACAGTAGTGGTATGTAAAAGAGCAACACTCTGGGCAAAGCTGGCATAAAGTGACACTCCTCTGCTTCATATTCATGCAAATTTTCCAGCTCTTCACACTTCATACTCTTGAAACTAGAAATCAGCAGGTGCTATTTATCTGTCTTATCCACATGCCCTTGTGAGTTGATACTGTGGTTCAGTGCCAGTCATACCCACGGCTGTGTCCTGGCATGGAGGCTTTGAAACTGGTCATCCCACCTCTGTTGACTCTGGGATGGAAAAGCTCAGCCCTACCAAAACTTCAGAGACAGTATTGCCTGTAAAAGCATTGCTAAATGCTAAAAAACTGCATTAACAATCCCAACTGTCCCTTAGAGAGAATGGCTTTTCCAGAAAGAGCCATTTTTAATGGTTTCCTCCCACTGGACTGACAGGCACAAAGAGGGCTGTGAAAGTCAGTCCTAGTGACCAAATAATCTAAGTGATATATCAGCAGGGACTGCAGCTCTGTTTGCTGCTCTGGTTTGGAAGGGCAGTTTCTGGAGAGAGTTAATATTCTTGCTGTTTTCTGCATAAGAATGTATGAAGTGTAGGGTGTATGTGTGTGCTTAAAAAAAGCAAGTTTACAAGTAGCAGGACAATAAACCAAAATGAGCTCTGAATCCCAATTCATGTTTCTCAAAGTTTCAGGACACCCAGGCAAATCTATAATGAAAAATAAATCATTAAATTGCTTTGTTTCTGGTAAAATTTTTGTTGCAGAGTAACTACAGTGTAACTAACTAAAATGTAAATGTGGTAATGTCAATGTAATAATAACTTGAGAAATTATTTTAAGAGCATGCCAGCCAGAAGCTGTGTGTTGCAGTATGCACAGCACTCATTGCTCTTTGGGAAACTCACTAATGTTTCTTCTGAAATCTCTAGATCATGCTCTGTTAGTGGGGACCAAGCATCTTGTGACTTTTGATGGAAAAATTTATGATTTGGCATCAAAGTGCAGTGTACTTCTTGCCAAGGATTTTGTCCACAATGCTTTCACTATAATACTAAGTGAGGAAACCAGTAACTCAAGATCACTGTATGTGGAGATGAACCAGACTGTGATCAGTATCCACCCAAGACTGAAGGTAGGAGGAGCAAGTCAAACATTCTTCATTTTCACAGCAGAAATTATCTTAAACCAACAACAACAAAAAAAGCTTTCAAAATATTAAAGCTTAAAACACAGAACAGAATAGCTCTCAGACAAGTGCTTTAAAGTAACCACTTCTTAATCAGAAAATACCTCTCCAAAACAAAGCCAGTTTAATGCAAGGGCTGCCTCTTTGCTCCCTGCACACCAAAGGAAATTTTCAGCATTTCTCTTAGATCATGTCAGAGGATGATACTGTTAGAGAGGTCTGGAGATCAAACTGGGCCTGTAGCCTTGGAGGCTTTGTGCTGTCTGCTCTTCTGGAAGTTTAACACAACTCCCTTCTTATTCCCTGATTCTGGGCTAAGTTGGTCCCATCTGAGCTTGCCTGTTATTGAACTTTAACAGTGACAGATTTGAAACTGCATTTTCATTTTAAAACAGATCTCCAAGATGTTCTCCTTTACAGAAGAGAACTGCCAAGTACTGGATAAATCACTTGAAAAGAATACCACTAATTCAAGGAGAGAAACCAACAAAATAGAAATATCTAATCAGAAAGGAGTTTCTCTATCCTGTGACTTTCAGTATGATCTCTGTACTGTCACTCTGGCTGGGTGGCACCACGGTGAGTACCAATTATACAGCCTTTGTCAGCTGTTAGTCATTTTTTTATCTCTCTAAATTATTATCAACTGTAGTACCAGCATCTGGGTTATCTTTCACTTGTTTTTCCCCTCTTCATTTATGCACACTGGAAATGGCCCTAGGCATTCCCAGTAATTGCCAAATCATTCCAGTGGTTAGTAAGTGGTTATGGATTACTGATGATTCATGTAATGCAGTCAGCCCAGCCCCAAACCCTTGTTGAGAATCACTGCTTTAGAGCTGGCTTAGCTTAGCTTGACCTGCAAGACAACAAGAGAGGGAGGCCTAAAACCTTACAGGGTTTTTGGTATACTTGGAATGCATTCCTATTCATGTGTCCCACACTATTCTAAAACTCACACTCCCAAGATTAGCAGAGGATGGATCTGATGCCTTGATGTGGTCAGGAGAAACACATGACCAGCTAAGACAAGAGCTGGCAATGCAGGCTGGGACAAACCCAGAATGGCTATCTGGACATGCCTTCTCTTTTTCATGTTGGAGCTGAGCACTCCTGTAAAAATAACTGGAGCTCAGAGACAGTTTCTGTAACTTTCCTGCATCTACTCCTGCCAACTACTATTTTACCCCATTTCAATTTCATCCCAGGTATCTCAGCTGGGCTTTTTGGTACCAATGATAATGAAGCTGGGAATGAATGGATGCTTCCTAATGGTTCCTTCACTGACAATGTGCAAGAGTTCACACAGAGCTGGCAGGTAAGGAGCTCAAGAGCTTCTCTGTGCAGGGCACCAGGGGTGCTGAGCACAAAGGGCACTGTGTGCTCAGTAGTGGACTCAGCTGTGCTGGTCAAATGGAGCTTGAAAAAATCCTTCCTGACCAAAAGTTTTAGCTCAACTCTATGTAATATAGAAAGTGAAAGCACAGTCAGATTAAATCTGGCCAGGTATTGAAGCCTGAGATAAAAGCACTGGTCACTGCACTGCTGGAGTCACCTCACCCTGAACCGTGAGCTCTGGCTGGCAACTCTCTCCCAGGAGACTGACCTTCCTTCCAGCAAAGTTCCAGTGCCACAAGGCCACGGCTGCACAACAGCAGGAGGCAAAGGAGGAGCCTGCAAGGTCTGGCTCCTGCAGGATGAGGGTTATCACAGATTAAACTGCCAGTTCATTTTTCTTAATAACTAAAAATCACTAGAATTTACACTCACTTAAAGAACTATTTGGTTGGTTTGGGTTTTTTTTTGTTTGTTTTCGTTTTTTTGTTTGTTTGGGGCTTTTTGTTTGATTTGGATTTTTTTTTAAAGACTTCTTTATCTATGAATAACCCAGCAAGGATAGCAAGATTTTTTTTTTCTGCATTAAAAAGATCTAGTAAAAGCACATCTTTGACCTGTCAGATCTACATAACAAGAGAACTAACCAACTGCCTGCTGTGTCAGTGAATAACAGAATCAAGAGAAAAAGAAAACAATGTCTAATCTGTAAGATTAGTTACATCTCAATATTATTGAACAATAAATATTAGAGCAGTGTACTGAGCTGCCCATATCTTCCTTTAAACCAGCTCACACTGGAAATCTGAAGAATTCATCCTAACCCGATGTATTAAAAAACAAAGTCCCCCAACTTCAGTAATTCTGCTTTCCCAGGTGAACAAGTGCAGTCTTGTACCGAAGAAAGAGAAGTCATGTCCAATTACAGGCAAGCAAAACATCTGCAAAGTGTTTTTTGAAGAACCACATTCACTTCTTAGGAACTGCTTCAAAGTTGTAAGTAGAACTTCAGCTGTGAAGGAGTGTCTGAATCACCCAAGTGTCATTCTTCAAAGGAGGACACATAACCCCTGCAAGGATGTAGAAGTTTGGTCATGGATTACTTTAGAATAATCAGAACAGCAATCCAGACAGAAAAAAAAAGCTGTTATTATCACCATACATATAAATTGAGGTCCTTGACATCCACAGAGTGGAGGCATGATTGCACCACTCTTTAGGATACAGGTCTAGAATCTGGAGATAGAAATAACCCCCTCAATGTTCAGAAGAGAATAAAGGTTTATGAATGGCCCTAATGAGGTGGGAGGAGGGAGACCCACATCAAACCTTTGGGTGCAGCTGCAGGTGCCCCCTGCTCCCCTAAACAATCCCTTTGTGTTAAGGTGGACCCCGAGCCCTTCTACACCATGTGTACACAGGACACCTGTGAGTCCCCAGCCCCGGGGGCTGCCTGCAGCTCAGCAGCAGCTTTTGTTCATCTGTGCAACCGGAATTTTGTCCCTGTGGAAATCCCTCCACAGTGGTGAGTTTAATTTCTTTTCCCTCCTGAATATTCTGACTGCATTGCTCTAGTACTTACATGCCTGTAATTCAAGAATGCATGAGAAAATAAAACTAATGAACCTGACTGTGGGAATGAGCAAAACTGAGTTCCTGGAAACAGTTGTCTTGCTCCTTGGCTATCTCCCCTTCCTGCTGTTCCCTCACCAGCACACCACAGCCCACCCACTTCACACTCTTATATAAACTTCTACACATGAATATGAAATACAGAGACAAATTTTGTTAAATCTAAGTCTGAATATCCAGTTGAAAACAGAGTTTTAGAACGGCTTGGTAGTTGAATGATTGAAGTCAGCTAGTGCTGCTGGTTTATATTATCCCATCTGAAGAAAGGGATTGGAATGAAGGTGGATCACAAGCTCAGTTACCAATAACATGCTATTAAAGCATGCTCTTAAACAAGCAAAGTACACTGAGGATGTATACAAGAATAAACATATTTAAGACAAGAAATAATTCTTCTCTATTCATCTTTTGTATCCAGTTTTGTACACCATGTTTTACTTAAACTGTGAACCAGTTGAGAACAGTCATGGGGAAAAAATGGAAGGGCTGAGGCTTAACATGAGTAAAGTCTCTAAATATGTAAACACACTAAAGAGAAGGAAGTGTAACAGACCAAACTACAGTAAGGGAGAGTTGGGTTTGACACAGTGAAAGAGTCTGTCGTGGCCAGTCCAGTCACGCACAGTAACCGACAGCCAGCCATGGTCAAAGAACCAAACAGAAAGTGTCTGTCTGGAGTAACCAACCACCTCTGCACCACTTCCTAGAAATTCACTCTTGTCAGGGATCTTCCACTGAATAGCTGAACTAGCCAGAGCCCATAAACTGCAGACATAATGCTGTTCTTTCCCTCCTAAACGTGAATTTATCAAACGTGAAAGAATCCTACATCTTTCTTTCAGTTTAGTGTATCCAAGATAAAACTGTATCTAAAACGCTGGAGTACTTTTCCCACAGCTTGTTGATGTCATAAATGTATTTGATGCTATTTTTCCCTTCATAGATTCTTGTAATTCAGCGTAATAACAGGTTGCATTACATGTCACTTGTACTTACTAACCACTTACCTGGATTTCATCTCTTCTTCATTTCAGCTTGAGCCTGTTCTGAATGGCACATACCAGCCCTGGAGATGGAAGAACCCTTTCAGCACCCAAAAATAGAAGTTATTTTAGGTAGACAAGCTAGAGGCAGGAGCAGGAGAACAGTAGCAGTGCAAATGCATTAGTGTTAGACAATGAATATAATGAAGCACATATAGTATAAAAGGAAAGCTTTCCACCAGAACCCCTGAAGGCAAGAGGAATTATTTCAGTATACTGACAAGAAACTATAATCAACCAAAGGAAATTGAACATAATAGTATCAATTACTTTAAAAGAATTCTCCCATTCAGTGGCAAAATTGTGTCTCCACAAGCCTTGAACCATAGCATAAATACATTTAAAAGCTGACAAAAGGTCTCTTCCAGCTCAGATTAGTACAAGTGGAATACTTTGTGAAAGCAGCATTATCAGCTTTGAGTCAGCAGAGATGCTGACTTCTTTTTTCTCCAGAAATGAAACTCTGCTGTTCAGCGGTTCTGGACAAAGTTATCTTTTTTTTTTTTTTTTCAAGGGAAGTGCTCCAACACATGAGAGCTACAGTAGAAATGAGATGGTTAAATAATTGAAAGCACTTGATAATTTTCTCATTTTTATGCTGGCTGATTTTTCCCTTACTAACGTGTACACTGTTAAATGAGAAACACCCTTCTTGGTATCTGTGTACCAGTTTCACGTTCTCCCTTTGTGCCTTTAGAAGCCCTTTCTCAGAAATCAGCTGATGTGTTTGAAAAGGGTGATTGATATCTATCCAGCCCATAAAGGTGCTATAGCTGCTGTTGTGTGAAAACGTCTTATCTGTTAAATCCTTTTCTATATTTTAAGTCTATTGATTAAAGAAATGCATTACCTTTCTCCACCCCTACCTGGAAGGCAGCTATTCCTCAGCAAAAGGTTAACACTGCAAAATCCTTCCCTTGCCTTTACATAACATGCAAACGTTGAAATAATGGTGTTCTGAACTAGGAGATAATGCTAATAAACATTTGACTTCCTTATTGTTATGCTGGAGTACACTTTTATTGATTATTCATAAGAATATAAACCTGTACTGATCTACAGAGCTGGAATTGGCTGGGTTTGAATGGCTCACAGACAAACCCAGCACGGGCCTCTGTCACCTTGTGGATGCTGCTTTCAGCCACATTCTCCTCCTGAATACTGAACTCCCTAGTGTGACACATTCTAACTAAAACATGATCCCCACACTAGTCAGGAAAAAACCCTGCACTTGTTAGGATTTCCACACACATCAGATGCTGCTGTATAAAACACAATAGAAATCAAGTCTTCCTCTGTAGTAATTTTATAACTGCACCCTTATAGAGGTGTTTTGTAATGAAGCCAAAATTGTATGAAATATTTCTGAAAGTTAAAGAGTATTTATATCAGTTAGTGATTCAAAAAAAACCCGCATCATCTTCTCCCCAGTCACTGAATGTCATTTCACTCCCCAGCTAAGCACATCGAGCACCTCTGAAAAAATCCTGAGGTGACAGTTGCAAGAACAAAGTAAAATGTAAGCAGGTAGAGGAAAAGATTCAGAAAAGCTCAGTCAGCAATAAACAGAAGTTTAACTAAATGTTAACTGCAAACAGCAGCACTGAGCTGGATGCAGACACCAGGTCTCCTGAAAGCTGCAGGTAACTTATCACCAGTGATAAAGACACCATTTCACCCCCAATGAACATTTTAAACTACAGCCATTGCCCTCAGCTGTTGCTGGTTACCTCTGAGGTGTTCCCAGGTTATGCCTTTCACGTCCAGATCCGATCCAGCCCTACCTAAATACAATCTAATCCTACATCAATACAACTTTTCAAATGCATTCAGTAAATACGAATCACTGCCAGATGGCAAGCCACATTTAATTCTGTAAATTCACAGACACTAGCAAGGGTGCAGCAGTTTTAACTGTTCATTTTCAGGGTTTTTGCTGTTTATTTCCAGAGTTTTACTGCCTGGTTAGAAAGCATGGCAAAGTGAACATATCCGGAACAAGCTTCAGATTCCTTGCATAAGAAGCATTCAGATGGAAAACTATCATCAGCAAGAACAGCTGCCAGTCAACATGCTGACCACATGGATCATTTCTACAAGGCTACAGCATTCCACAAGTGGATTTTTTCCCCCCAGGATTTAAAATAGTAAATAAACCCAGACCATCAAAACTCTGTATCTCTGTCTATTTTGGTATTACGTGAGCAGGACTTCCATTATCCTACTGTCTCTGATGTGGTCTCATTTGGAATATCAAACTCAAGGCTGGGAATTGCACTCTGAAATCCAGTCCTTCATCTGCAAAGATCTGAAATCTTTAAAGGAGACTAGTTAATTTCCACATGCTTTGAAAACATAACCTCACAATTAAAAAATGTAGTTACCATCACTTGGTTCTCAAATTGTACTGTTCAATCAGAAATCACCTTCTCTTCTGACATGTATTCCCAATTAACACAGCTATATTCCTGGACAACACAGTCCCAAAACACAAAGCTATTCCACACAGATAATGCAATATATTCTTCAGGATTCAAGCTCTCTTTAGACAAAAGGGAAAATAAATAGTAACATTTCTTCTTTTTAAAGGCGTTTTGATGTCATACTTTTGTGTTCTCCCACACAAGGAAGAAAGAAAGATTAAAAATAAAATATATTTTAGAATGATTTAAACAGCTAAAAATAGCATACATTGGAACAAGAAACCTTCAAAGAGAAAAATACACTTAGGGGCAGAAAGCTTGTTTCATAAGGTGGTAAACGTATTTGCATCTTGGAGAACCTATTCCAGGGAATCCTGCATAATGACTTTTCAGTTTATTTCACTTCACTGGAACACAGGGGTCATTACTGTACCACTTTCAATATTTCAGAAACCAGAGAGGTTTTTAAGTACAAGATTCTGCTTTATGGTTACCAAGAGACATCTGTCTTACAAGCGGAGTTTACTGACGTGGTCATTACTGAAAGAGAAAATACAGGCAAAGATATTATTTCCAACCACAATCTAAATAGACTGAAACACATTTTGCCTTCGTTCCAGGTATTGAGTTCACCCTGGCAACACGAGTTCTGTGCAGCCCTTGCTGCCAAGAACACCCGCCCTGCTGCAGGAATGACTCCCTCAACACATGCTCCCAGGAACACCAACTAACACAGAAACATGGAGCATTCCTAACAGCATGGACACCTTACTCAAAACATCACACAGGTGTTTCTCAAATCTGCTGGTGTAAAAAGAGACAGTGGAAGACATGAACATCGCTGTTATTATCAGATAAGCACTGATCCCTACACTTGACTCCGAGTCCGACTTCTCACTTTGGTTTACTCCAAGAGTAACTGGTGGTTGGTTGAAACCACAAACACACAGAATAGTCTGACACCAAGAAAGTACATTTCCAGTTATTTTAGGCAGAAAAACAGTATCTAGGGGATGATTCTCTGCAACTCCTCCACTTCAAGGCTCCACATATCCTTATGCACGGGGTTTTCGGAGAGATCTGTCATCTTTATTGCTCGAAGAACAGGCTCAGGACTGCAGGACCGCACCACACCCATCACCATTACATATTTCCCTAAAAAAACAAGCAAGCATGAAATTAAATTAACCATTTTAATTCACAATGCAAATTATTTAAAGCCAACTAAACACTGTGAATTGAAGCTGCTGATACTTGCAAGAAAACTCAAGGCATGAAGACTGTCTAGAACTGAATTTCAGGAAAAAAAGGTTTCGTTATCTGTACAGCCGCTTTTACAGCAGATTTGACTAGATTTTCATGGACAACAAGAGCCAAACAAGCACACAATTTTTCCCTCTAATGCGTAAGTGGGTGGAGGGCAACTGAGAAGACTGAAAATTTAGGCCAAGTGCCTGTTTTGTGCCACAACTCCTGCAGCGCCGCAGTCCAACACTTCTCCAGTGCATCTGACGCTACTCGTGAAGGGCAGAAGGAGGAAAAACAGGGGGAAAAAAAAATTCCTATCCCTGTTCCTGGGCTCCCGCGTGGGGAGCGACACCTCCCAGGGGCCGGGATGTGCCGAGCTCCGCCGGAACAGGCCCGGGCAGGGAAAGCGCCGCTCCGCGGGGTCCCGCCGCCCCCGGTACCTGCGCTGAGGCACGGCCGGCCCTGCGGCACCTGCTCCACGCCCCAGCACGGTGAAGGCGCGCTGGGGGTCCCAGGCCGCGGCCGAGCCGCCGCGCTGCACCTCCAGCACCGTTGCCCTGCATCCACACGGCCCGCAGCGCCAGAGGCGCCCGGCCGCCCGGCCAGCAGCCACGTTCCCGCCCGCGCCCCGCTCCGCCCGCCGCAGCTGGCCGACAGCACCTTCACCGGCGGGCCCGCCGCCTGCCCGGCCCATGCTGCGGCGCGGCCGAGGGCGGGAAGGGCGGGAGGGGCGGGCCCCTGCGCTCTGCCCGCCCCGCGGCGCCTTCAGGGGCGTCGGAGCGCTGGCTGAGGGGGCTCCGGGGCTGCAGCTGTGGAAGCGGTGCTGTCAGTACACACTGCAGCTGCGGGAGCGGTGCTGTCAGCACACACGGCCTGGGGCTCATCGCCTGTCCCCCAGGTGGTCTCATTGACCACAGCGCTGCACCGAGCCGGCACCCCCACCCGCGATGGGCACCGGCACCCGGCTGGTCCTCGCTTGCCTGAATTCGGCTCAGGATCGGCTCCTTAACGTGCAAAAAACTAACGTAAAGAGTCCGATTGAGTGGTGTGGTACCGTTCGCTGTGACTCGGCCCCGCCCTGCAGACCCGCCCTGCTCTTGGTCCCCAGCCGGTGTGAGCCCTCCCGGGGGTTTTGTCGCCGCTCGGTGTTTACTGCAGAGTTGATGGAGCTCCTCCGGTTTCATGAGAAAATAGGAAAATGCCCGTCCTGATTTTCCCAGGGATGCTCTCGGGATAATTATTATTGTATACTTATTCCACCTATGTGGAAATCTGGAGTGTAATGTACTGAAAGTATGGGGGGTTTTAAGATGGGAGACTTTAATTCCAAGGCCTTCAAGAATTTATTTGCTGTCTGTTTATATTACAGACAGGCTAATTCGCTTTGCCAAAGCCTGAAATCCTTTGAAATGTTATGGTTTCTCTTGGGTGGGTGGGTGGGTTGACATTTTCTTTAGAAAATAAGCCAAGAAATAAGCTAATGCAAAAGCAGGAGGATGGAACAGAGAAAAGAATCGGGAAAACCAAGGGGATGGATTAATCAATGTCACAAGTCCTGTTACCAACAAAAGTGCAGAACGGGTAAAAATGCACAGAGAACTGACTCCCCTGCAATCATTCTTCTTTAAAAGAGCTTTTGTTCTCCACTAAAATAGCCAGTTTAAAAAATCTGGTTTTATTTTGAGTAGCAAAATACATCAAAACCCTTTTTTTTCTACTCACCCATGATGTTGTGAATTATTTATTCGTATATCTTTTTTCCAGAGATATTTTCTGTTTAGAGGTATTCTGTAAATGGGACTTTATTCTTTTTATAGTGTAAGGAAGCAGTTAACTTTTTGTTACCACTTACAGTAAGGATAAAAGATAATATTGGTAATAACAATAAAAACACTGACATCTAAGCACAATACAGAACCATGTAATCTGGCAATCAAATAATATGGCTTACAGGAATAGAAAGACATTAGATGGTTACTGTATGTGAATGCAAAATTTGAGCAAGGCCCATAGGAGAAGAATATTTGTAATTTATGTCCCTGAGCTGCAGTCACTTGACAACATCAATATTTAGTTTCACATAAAAAAAAATTAATTGTGCCAAATATTGATAAAAGTATTGTATTCCTATTTGTTACTGCATAACAGGAGGGTCTAATGCTTATTAAGCCATTAAATCTACAGATGAAGGCAAGACCCCTACAAGAGTGTAATCTTCAGGAGAGACTAAAAGGTCCCTTTTAAAGGATTTGCCTTCTAGAAACTGTGTTATAAGAAGGGCAGAAGTGCTGGCAATCTGCATCAAGAAATAGATTTGTTTTCCCAAACCAGAAAATCCTTGTCTTTCAGTAAAATGCAAAGTTGCACTGAATTATCTGCAAAGCTCTTACCAAAGAACTGTCTCAGCCAAGCACAGAGACACATTCCGAAGCTGCAAGGAAAGTCTGATGCCTCAACAGGCTGGTTTCTGGAGGTGACCCCACAGTGATAATCCTCTGATTTAAGGGGAGCAGAGGAAGCTCAACACACAGTTGGAAAAGGCAATGAGTTGGTGCCTGACAGGCTGTAAATTACAGTGGGTTAAACATGAGCGGATTTCCTGAGAGCACCCTGGGTGAGACAGAGTTTTGGTTTGCACAGATTAAAAGAAAGGAATCAATCTTCTTCTGCCTGCTACTACAATGGGTGCCTCTCTTCAAAGCAATCTTCAAGGACATTATTCCTCACACTGACGTGCATGTGAGATGGTCACAGTATGGGTAAAACACAAAGGTCAAACTACACCTGGATAACAGCCCAGAGCATAGCAGGAGCCAGGGCTCCCTCAATTACACTGGCACTGTTTTGTTGGTATGGTGCCAAGAGACCTTAGAAAAGAATTTGACCCCAGATCTCCGTGAAAAGCGATTTCCAAAGAAGCTGCAATTAGAAATTTTCTGTCCAGCTCAGACCTTTCCGTGCTCTTACTGACAGTAGTACTTAAAATGGAAGAAATTCTCTGCTCCCCTCTCTAATTTTGGTAAAAGGCTGATATTACACAAGCACAAAAATCCTCCTTTCCCTTGGCCAGAAGTTCTGATCTATTACAGCCTTTCATCCTACCCGAAGGAGTTTTAAAAAATATCTCCACCCCAGTCCAAGGGGGTTTCACTTTCCTAGCACTGAGAAGTCACTAACTGTGTTTCAAACAAAGTTTTAGGTTTTTGGGGTTGTTTTTAAGATTTGTACTTTGTACTAATGCATTACTCTTCAATGGGGGAGTCTGAGACTGACTGTCTTCCTTCCCTTGGTATTTCTAAGAAAATTTGCTGAAGGGCAACTTTTAGCACAGACAAGTATCAGGTTTCAGCTTTAGAAGATACATACTAGTTTAGATTTATTTTCTTATACTGCACACAGAACTATATGAAACAAACACAAGAATATAAAGTTCAGTTGTTCCTGGTGTTTGTTTTATACTGCATAAAAGATGCAATGTGGACATGCTGATTGAAGTCTGGAAAACCATCTTAATCCTTCAAGGTTTTTTTTTCAGACTACCTATCACATCATCACTGAATTTAATTAATTATTTGAAATTAACAGATCAGTGAGTTGGAATAAATGAGTTGGAAGTCAGTCATATATACATCCCTAACCTGAGCTTCTGCTGCTTGTAATTTATGCTTTGGGACTGATCAGTCTGGCAGTATGGATCCTAAATTGTGTTTGTCCAGGAATTTCAAAAGACCTGGAGCCAGCAAAGTCATCTGCTGAAACAGGAAAACTCCAGATTCAAGCTGCCAAAGTTAGCAGGGAGCTCTGAATAAGTGGCATTTTAGAAGTGACTTGAAAAAGGCATGTGAAAGTGAGCATCAGACATCCTAATCCCACTACTTACAACAACAAGAAGAGTCTGGCCTCTCCCATAGAGTCCCAGCCCAAACTGCAGGCAAGTCACGCTAAGATAAGATGAATTAACATAGCTTTCATGGCAAATCCTACTTGAGAACCTAATACAGATGCTATACGTTGCATGTTAGCTTATGTTTAGTGGAATCCGCAGAGGATTACGGCAAGAGCCTTCCTGCAGCTGCCAGGAGCTGACAGCTGCACCCAGTGTGTGGCAGAGAAAAACATCATCTCCTCAGAGCGGGTGGAAACCTCAGCTTGTACAGCCAGCCTTAGCATGAGAAATTATTTCATTGCTCTCCCCATCACGCAAACTTAACCAGTTCCTGTCACTCACCACAGGCCCCTGCTGAGGGGAGCCTGCAGGCTATGAACACACAGCAATGCTCTCCCACTTCGCTGACTCATTTCACTTACAAAGAATACTCAGAGGAAATGCTTAGAGAGCTCCAGTGGTGTTCTGCAGAAGTGGGTGTCACCTGTTTGCTTCTTTCCATGGTATAAATATGCTGGTATGGAACCAAAATAAATTAGTGTTCTATGGAATAGGACTATGACATGATTGAAGAAAAAAAAAAAAAATTAATCGTAGTCTTTACTTTACCAGTGTTGCTTGCTGCCCTGGGAGTAGTCTGCAAAGCTGGCTTCCAGATGGGCTTACTCAGACTCCTGCTCAAGAAAAAAAGAACTCTTTTTAAACAGGAAATATGAATGGCATTCAAAGCGTTAGATCTTCATCCCGACTGAAGCGAAGCCAGTAGTCAGAAGATTTCATTTGTTCAGCCTTTCTGCTTCATTTCACTTCATAAAAGAATTAGAGTCCCTATAAGCAGTGTTGGGGAATACAGATCACAGTGTCTTCCCTTGACAGCTGCTGCCTCTGCATAAATACACCCCAATTAGCATGGTTAACATCCAGTTCATCCAGTGATGTGGGAGCAGAACAATTTTCCCAAAGAGAAGTAACCAGAAGAGGGGCCTTTTACTTTCAAAGTCTTAAAATCTGAGGTGTCAACTATTAGAAATATACAGAGAAGCCAGTAAAGCTGAGAAGTTACAGCCATTCCAGAGCATACATTGCCAGGATTCTGCAATGTTCAAGGCCTCTTCAAAGATTTATGAAACAAATTTCTGGTGTTTAGCAGGGAGAGACATTTACTAATAGTCAAATTTTCAAGCAGGCAAAATCCTGAGGTGCAGTCAAAGACACCATCTCTCCCTACAAAGCTGATGTTGTTTAAACTGAAAGCATCACAGCTACACCACCACCACCAATCAAGGTAATTTCAAATTAATAAAATGTTAGAACAGGATTAAAAGGCGTTCAGAGTTTAAATATAAGACTCAGGAATTTTAAACCAATCTCACATTACACACACAAAAAAACTTCAGGAATTTTGAGATTAAAATCAAGCTATTTGAATATGAAAGTTTGAGGTGAGCCTCCAAGAGTTACAGGGAGCCAGAGAGGAGAAAGCCCTCCCCTCTGTTGCTGTGTGAGGTACTATTGTGCAGAGTCTTCAGGATATGGATATTTAATAGCAGGTTTGGTAGTGGCTGCAGGTTACACGACCAAGGAGACCATCAGCTCTTTTACAGTCACTGACAATTTGTGTGAAAAGTGAATTGCCCTCACTATTCTCTATGCTTTAGCCAGTTCTGTTACTTGTATTCCCATGAGTATCACCTAGGACACATATGTGGTGCCTGTCCTTGACTAATAAAATTTTGCTCTGAGATCAGAGAATCTCCATGTAAAATGGCTGCATTTATTTTCCATGAGGCTGTGACTAAAGCTTTGTCCAGGGGTGCAGATAAAAAGGATTCTGGACTAGACACAGGTCACTAACAACACTGGCATCCTCTTCAGAAACTGGATAGAGCAATGGTCCTCTGACCCACCTGGTGCTGGCAGAAACATCAGAGGAAGAGCAGAAATGGCCTTGAAAGGAGGAACTGCCAAGGGCTGAGCAGGAAGGCTCTGGTACTGGTACTTCAGAAAGCAAAAGCAAAAATCCCAGCTGAAGGCACAGCTGGCCTCGTGCTGCTCTGCAGGGGGGACCCTGGGTGTGAATTCAGGACACACAGCTGAATGACTGAAAAAGCAAAAACAATATAAAGAGGAAATCAACAGCAGTGAAACTTTTGTTTAAAGCTGCTCAGTAACAGCACTTACATGTTTTTATGTACTTAGGTGGACTGGGACCTAAAGAAGCTTGAGTTTTCATTTTCTTACATTGTGGTGTTCATTCTGTAAAGCAAGGTTCAAAGCCAGAAGTAGTTACAGGCCTGGATTTACTGCCATACCCCTACAAATAGCAGCCTGCTCCCCCACTACTGGCATGAATGAATGAATGAGTGAATGAACGAATGTTGGAAAGTTAATTTTGGATTAAAGTCATACCAGTGTACAGGCTATACAAGGCCTATTTTCATAGGTCTAAGAGAAGATATAAAATGTCAAATAAAATCACAGAGTTCTTCCTAAACCAGAACACTCGGTGTATAATTGCTGAAGCATGTTTTCACATTCTCAGGCTTTTCTTAAAATAATCAAAAGACACGAGATTGCATGAACCAATGGGGAGGCATATCATCAGTTCATCTTAGAAAAACCTTTATGACCCATATGGAAATGCCACATTTTAAAATATAATTTGACATTAAAATGTCACAAACTGCCTCCACCTCTTGATTTAAGTCATTTTAATCACAGGATCTAGTTTACAGTCTGTACAGCACCTTATATAAAGCACTGTATTGAAGCTCTCTATTTAAGACCCATCTCTCTCCACTCAGCTCAGAATATGCTGGGTAAAATATCAATTTGATGAA